TGATATGTATGTTGCTAGTTAGGTATCATTGTGGTTTTCTAGTCTTTTATTATGAAGTGTCTATTAACTGTCTTCACCAAGAACATGTGCTATATAAAGCAAAATAGAAATGCAGAGTACAACTATCAAATGTTTGGGGATCAGTAAAATAGTCATAATAGTTTATCTTTGTTATTGGTGAAGTAAAATAATGATATAGAATAGAGGTCATGGTTGTCATATCAAGGGAGCATTCGGCTGGTTCCAGATTAAAAAAAAAACTTGCTACTGCTGTCTGGCTGCTGTGCCTCAGTGGTTGAGTGTGAACCCCTGAACCAGAGGTCACGGGTTTGATTCTGTCCGGGCACTTGCCCAGGTTAGATCCCCAGTAGGATGCAGCAGGAGGCAGCTGATTAATGTTTCTCTCTCACCAGTGTTTCTATCTCTCTATTCCTTACCCTTCCTCTCTCTCTAAAAATAAATAAAAACATTTGAAAAAATTTGCTACTTACTGATGTGACTGGTAGTATTGATAACTTTATAAAAGATGTTTATGGTTTCCAAAATGTTTAACGCATATTAAAAAGATGTGCTAAATGATAGGGATTCTTTTCATTTAAGTTTTTAGTTATGAAAATTTCAAGTACTCAGAAAAGTATATAACATCTTGGTGTGTGTGTTCACCTTCAAAATTAAACAAATGCTAATATTTTTTGTTACATTTACTTCCGGTTTTTTTCTCTTTAAAGAAATAAAACATTTTAGATACAGCCAATTTTTTTGCTCCCTCCAACCCCCAGGTAAATACTATCCTGAGGTTAAATGGATGTCATTCCCATATATGCTTTAGAACTTTTCTGACAGAAGCGGTATTCATAAGCATTATGTGCTATAATTTGTTTTTATGTTGACCCAGAGAGTATCTTCTACATATTCTGCTTTTCCCCATCTAAACTCTATTTTTGAGGTTTATTCATGTTGATAAAGGAGGACCTGATTCGTTCATCTTGGACTATAATGTGAATGGAGCCCCTGCCACCGTGCAACAGCTATTGTCTGGAGTCTATCATTTAATTATATGAAGAAGGCATTCATTATTGCATTTAACATCTGCGAATATGTGTCCTTATGCATACAGGCAAGAGGGTGTTTTGGATAGACACACGGATTGTCATTGCTGGGTTGTACACGTTCCTTTATTTTGCCAAATTACTCTCAGAAGCACTGCATGACTTACAGTGTTGTGTTGTATAACACCTACTACCATCTGACATATTTGTTGTGTGGATCCCCGCACTAGGATGCAAGTTTACTAACAGCAGGACTTTTGTCTCTTTTGTGTTCTGTGACTGGCATAGAATAGGCATTCAGTATACGTTGAGTGAAGGAGTATTTTATGAATTTGATCTCAAAGAGTGTGGTAGGGTAGTCCAGAGAAATAGATTGTGATGTCTGTTTTCCTGTACCCATTTGCTGATGAGCAAACAAACAGAGACCAACTGACTTTTTTGGAAATTACATCTAGATAAAGATAAGTTCTTGGAAGTCAGAATCTGAGGAAATTAGTTTTCCAACTCTCAGTTGTGTATTAAATACTAGTGTATATCTAGGACTTAAATGTAAAAACTTCAAGGAGTTCAGATCAGTTCAGATCAGAGTGGTCTTAGATGGGTGGACTTGAGGATTACTTTTCTGTGAGCTTTTCGGTGCTTAGTTCCTGGCAGATAGATGAGCACTGTGCGTGTCTGTGAATGAAGGAGAGAGCTCTTTCACTCCGGAGTCTCACTCTGGCTGTCTTTGTGGGATTCCTATGGAAAGTAAACGGTTAATGAGAAAAAGCCAGAGGAGAAGTCAGGTTGAACAGGTAGGCCCTGCAGGTGCTTTCCCAGAAGGCCACAGGCTACTTGTTGAGAGCTCAGCTAAATGCGAGGAGACCCAGGGAGAGGCCTGGTGATCAGAGTGGACGTGGTTAAGTAGCAGAAAAAGAAGCGCCCAACCGTTGGGCCTTAGACATGCCTTTTCCTTAGCGCCCAGTCAAGAGAGAGTCTGTTAGGCCCTGGTCGGTGGCGGTGTTGGAGGAGTGTCTTTTAGCTCCAGGAATAAATGGGAAGCAAAGGGGTTTACTATAGAGCAGGCACTGAGCCAAGCACTTTGTAAACATGACCTCATTCGCCTTTTCTACAACCCCTTTTAGTAGTTGGTGGTGTGCAGGTTTTACAGGCAAGGAAACGGAATCACCTAGCAAGTTAAGCTGCGTTAACTGCTAAATTAACAGAGCTGGGGATTAATCCTAGGTTTGCCTTAGTAAAATCCCTCTGCTCCTCTCCTAGACCAGTATTTCTTTGGAGCAGAAGGAAATAAAGCCTGATTTGTCTGACATATGCAAAAGTTTAAAAAGAAAATCCTCCCAGGTCAACCAAAGGACTCGTGTACATGCATCTAAGCCTAACCAATGGACACAGACACCGGGCGGTGAGGGCATGAGTGGGGGAGTTGGGGGACAATGGGAGATAAGGACACATATGCAATACCTTAATCAATAAAGAAAAAGGAAAAAAAGAAAGAAAATGCTCCTAAAACCAATGTGCACCGTAATGTCAGGCTTCTCCGAAAAACCCTCAGTAGCAACAGTCATATTAGACAGCTGTCTCTTTTGGCCCTGAGTTGATCAATTTCAGGAATTTGGTTTGCTTGTATTTCATGAATAAAATTCAAGCTTAGCCCTTAAGATAGGCATCTTAAAAGTTCCAGTTCTCTTGGTTGGAGGAATGAAGGCCTGGTGCCTGCCTAGAGAATTGCATCGGAATGCCAGATTTTTGGTGAGCAAATGCTATCTGGCAGCCTGATAAGGTTGATGTCGCAGGCTGAGCTCCTTGTCTTGTTGCTTGCTGTGGCCTGCGATGGCCATGAGGTGGTGCTGCAGCTTTGCAGTTGGCAGAGGCTGAGGGAGAGCTGGCACTGCAGCTGTGAAGCACGGGTTGTCAGCAGGGCCTCAGGCGTGATTGTGTGGGAGCTGTTGATATCTGGCTTCTCGTTGCTCTCTTTTGTGAGGGTGACTTCTCAGTGTCCAGGAGAGGTGGGTAGAACTATACTGATATAACTATTTAGGGCTGATGTAGCCAGCCCTAGGCAGGCTGCTTCTCGCTGTGTGGGCTGGATCCTTTTGGCAGAGACGAAATAACTGCAACTGAAGAAACTCACGTAACCTCTTCTCCTCAGTTCAGAGCCCTTTGGGTGGCGGTGGTGTGGCAGCTGTCAGGCACTGTACTGAAAATTGGGGTGCACAAACCCCAGTGACATAACACGGTGACTTCTTTTTCCAAAATAAATTTTATTGATTTTTTTACAAAGAGGAAAGGAGAGGGATAGAGAGTTAGAAACTTTGATGAGAGAGAATCATCGATCAGCTACCTCTTGCACACCTCCTACTGGGGATGTGCCCGCAACCCAGGGACATGCCCTTGACCAGAATCAAACCCGGGACCTTTCAGTCCGCAGGCCCATGCTCTATCCACTGAGCCAAACTGGTTTCGGCAACAGGGTGACTTTTGAATCCAACTTCTTCTAGGCCTATTCTTCACATTTCCTGCCCTATTTCAATTTAAGGAACAACCATCCAGGCCTCATTTTAGCAACTTCCTCCCTTGCTCCTAAATAGCAAGTGTTACCTCTTTGTTTGAACCCTGGGTCCAAGTGAGTCTACTAGCCAATTCAGAACGGTGGGGGACCTTCTTGTTTTATGTAAGCAAGTACAGACTTCCATCCCTGCCACAATTAGAGCTCGTGTGATGGGATTGATCTTAAAAATCTTAAACAGCAATTCAGGTTCTGGCTTTGCCACTTACTAGCTGTGTAGCCTTGAGCAAACTAATCAACTTTCTTAAGGCTCCTGTCAAATGTAAAATAATAGTTTTGACCTTTTATGGTTACGATGAGAATTAAATAAGATAATCCATAGCTTAGCACAGGGCTTAGCCCAGAACCAATGCTGAGGTAGTTAGCTGTCAGCAGCAGCGGCAGCACCACATCCTCACATAGCTTTCCTGTTATATTTGGAAGTGATGTCCTTCTTACCTAGTGGTTCAGATCCTGCACTCAGAGCTGGTTTCCAGGTTTTTCCTGTGTGTCATTGGTCAGCAGATTTAACAGGTATTTCTCTCTCTCTCTCTTTCTATTTTCCTCCTTCCCTCCCTCCCTCCCTCCCTCGCTTCCTCCCTTCCTCCCTCCTTCCCTCCCTCCCTCCAACCTGCCTCCACCCAACACTGCACAGCCAGTGAATTTCCCATCGCTGAGGCTACATGTTTAAAGCCTGTGCTTTTTAACTCTGAGAATTAGGCTCTAGTCTCTCTTAGGTTATAATTTGGTTAAAATAATTTTATTTCTGACCAGAAAAAAAATAGAGAATATGTCTATCTTATGGACGTCTTGGTACAACAATTGAAATCTGTTTCCTTTCAGAGTCTGGGGGCCATAATTGCAGCATCCCCAGCCCTCGGCCCTTCCATTCCTGGTTGGTTCCAGTGCTGGTTTGCTTTTTCCCCTTTTACTCCTCCTCCTCCTTCTTCCTTCACATTACCTTCTCCCGTGGCCTCTCCTCTTCCCCCTCCCTTTTCCCTTTACTCTTACAATCTCCCCCTGCTCCTCTTCCTCCCTGATTTCTCCCCTCCCCTGGTTTCTAGCTCCTTTTTGCTTTCTGTTTGTGTGTCTGAGGGCAGTGCTCCAATTACCTCATATTTGGAGAGATGAAGCTGCAGCCAATCCGGTTTCTGTCTGCTTTTAGGTCAAGTGATTTCTGAACTGCAGTGAGATGCTTTGAATTTGTCTTGTTGCAGCTCTGAGCCTGTAAGATGGCTGTCTGAATCGGCAGCGGCTGGGAGAGACAGAGGCGGGGAGGGAGGGAGACAGAGTCGGAAGGATTGCCGGCACAGTGCATGTTTTTAAACGTGCATCGAATCCAATGAAGCCACGGTTGGGATTTCTCCGGGATCCCAGGACTGGCTCAGCTGCATTTTTGCTGAGACTAGGAGAGGAAAGCAATGGGAAATTCACTGGGCTGTGTTAAGGAGCCAAGAAAGTCCGTAGCTATTCCCGAGAAGGCTCCTCTATCTCCTAAGAAAAGGGTTCGGTTCAAAAGGAAGTGGAGGGGGAAGAAAACGCCTACTCCAGAGGCATCCCCAGAGGAAGAACCCTCAGAAGGAGCGGGAGTCATTGAAGAAACAGAAGCCCCGAGGAAGTTAATAGTGAGTCTCCAGGAGGAGGAGGGAGTGGGAGGGGCAGAGCATCCCCCGCCAGACATTTCAGCGCCTGAGGACTCGGCCCCCAGCTCAGGAGCAGGCGATCCAGGCATGATCCTGCAGGTGAAGGAGAGATTCCAGGGGGAGATCCAGACTGCCCACCTTTTGCTAGCGAATGACTCATCAGATGCCGGAGGGGTCTGGGATTCCCCGGAAGAGGGGATGACTGTCATCGCTCACCTGCTGGATAACCCGGCAGAGAGGAACTGTGAGAAGTCGGTGAGCCAACTGGTGGAATTTCCGAGGACGGCGTCCTGCAGCAGCCGGGCTGTGCTGCTGCCTTTGCAGGGAGAGGCTGCCGTGGAGACAGCAGACACCGCGCTTGGATGTCAGAGCAGCACCGTCCCCAGCAGCACAGGAAATGGAGACCAGCTTCCAGAGGGCTGGAGTGTACGGGGAGGACCCAGGGGTATTTTAAGTGCCTCCGAGACAGGTTCCTGGGTTGCAGAGCATTCTGTCCCTCCATCACTGTCGGGGCAGTCGAGGGGCCACAGAGGCGCAGAGCCTGCCCACATGGGTCAAGTGCCCCACCAGGGTCCCAGACTGCCTGCTTCTCAGAGTGATCTGTCCATCAGTGGCAAGACTGGGAGCATCCTGCCCTCCTCTGGCTATGGCAGCAGTGGGCCGCACTTAGGTGGCATTCGGCCTAAAGATCCAGAACCGGAAAAGAGCCCCGTGTCGTTCTCAGAAGAGGACGGCACCCTTTCTTTGGAGGCAAGCCACACCCCATCGTGGGGTCTGGAGGAGGTAGGTGGCCTGTCCCAGGGAGATGCAAGCAGCTGTTTGGATTCCTGGCCCAAAGCTTATTGAAGTGGAGTGGAGTGAGCAGTGAGGATCTTGGGGCTTCTTCTCCAACTTGGGCCGATGTCAGGGACTGGGAGTTCGTGGCTGCTGGGCTTGGCAAACAGTCTGCCTGAGGTCTGCCCCTGGATGCCTGGAGCCAAGCCTTGTCTCTGGGGAGTTCCTAATTCCAGGTAACCGGGCAGCACAGTTGCTCGAGCTTTCTGGTGGGGCAGTCTCAAGGTGCGTGGCCAGTTAGTGCTTACTCTCGGGCAGGTCTGTTTATCCGCCTCCCGCACAAGGAGTTTGTGGGGTAGAGTCTCTGAGATGAGTGGAGAGGGGGTGAGGAATGTTGAAGGCGGAGGAGCTGACTTCAGTGTAATTGCTCTCATGACGTTCTTACCAGAACTGATGCAGCCGCACTCCTCGGGGCACAGCTAGTGACAGCACTCACTCAGTGTTTGTAGGGGGGCAGGGACAGTGGTCCTTCGGTTCCTGCTTCCGGCCTCAGAGGAGAGGGACATAGAGTGTCCGGAGGTTAATCCAGAGAGGAGGTTAGGGCAGTTTGAAGGTTTGAGGCTCGAAAAAGTTGGTTTTTGGATTGGTCTTGTTTATGGCTCCGACAGGTTTTTGTTCGTGAAGTATATGTGTGTGTGTGTGTGTGTGTGTGTGTGTGTGTGTGTATGAAGGCATTGGTGGTGGTAGTAGTGATGGTGCTGGGAATGTTTTTAGGATCAAGGAGCAAGTGAGAATTCAAGAGATCTGAACCCTGAGAGGGAAGGACTCAGCAAGACCCTGGGTGGCCCGTGACTGAAGTTATAACGCAGCAGTGACCAAAGAACTTTTGTTGGCATGTCACCCTCTGCACAGAAATAAATACTTCAGGATCCCAGAGCAGCAAGAGGCGGGAGGTGAAGTAGGGCAGCCGCCTTGATGTCTGCACAATAGGGACGTGGCCTACCTGCTGGTGCCTGCTTATCCCAGCAGCACCAGGCGGGAGGACACACTCTTTAAGCTGATGTGTTTACAGAGTCCTCTTCGGGGAAGAGTTTCCTGCACAAATAGGCCCATCTCAGTGCCCTTGTATTACAGAGTTTGGAGGCTCCCAACAGTTGCAGGGGTCAGTGGCCACTGAAAAATATTCATTATATGGCTAGGCAAGAGGCCTCCCTGGACTTTCCCATATAAAAGAGTATGCGGGCGTGTGTGCGTGTGTATGTGTGCGAATGTGGGAAGGAAAGCAACCAGGTTGCTGGGGTTGGGTGTACAAGCATTTGAGTTTCATTAAATAAGAAGGAATATCAAAGTCAGCTTTCATCTTTGTATGAAATAGATCCAGAGTAATTGGGGATAAAACCAACTGCTGAACTGGTTGCTCTTTTGATACCACTAGCATTGAGTTGAAGTTCTGGAGGCATCATAATATTTTAGGGTTCATGCTCATAAATGAGAGAGATTTTTAGAAAGTTAGGAGCATAACACTGTAAGGGAAATCAGTTCTAGATAATGGACTGCAGGTGACCGTGGCACTTTTAGTATGGGATTTCCTCACTGGGAGGGAAGGTTCTTAAAGAAAAGGTTGGCCCGGCAGGTGTGCGTGGCTCAGTGGTTGAGCATCAGGAGGTCACTATGACCTCCACTAGGAACCAGAGGTCAGGGTTTGATCTCCAGTCAGGACTCATGCCCAGGTTGTGGGCTTGATCCCCAGTGTGGGTGTGCAGGAGGCAGCCGATCAATGATGTTTCTATTTCTCTCTCCCTTTCCCTGCCTCTCTGAAATCAATGCAAATATATTTTTTTTAAAAGAAAGGAAAGAAAGAAGGAAGGAGGGAGGTAGGGAAGGAGGAAGGAGGAGAAAATAGGTGGGAGAAACCTTTGGACCATGATCAGTAGTTTGGCTGTATTGAGAGTGAAGTGATTGTTTTGCTGTTCAGTATGTTTTGTGTGCTTTTTGTTTTCAATATGTTAGAGCAGTAACCCTCTTCAGAAAATAATTCAAGTTCCAGAGAAGTGTCTGTCCTTGGCATAACTCGGGCCATATAGTCTCTCCTGTTGGTCAGTCCAGAGCATGGTAATGGGACTAGGCTGTGGCTGGACATACACTTTGCAGTGAGTTTTGGTTCTTTTCAGGATAGAAAGAAATGGAAACTCATTATTTCTGCAGGTTTTAGATAAAAGAGAACTGGTCTGCTTTCTGCTCATCTGGTATAGTTGATTCTCTCCTTGTCAAGAAAGAGTTAACACAGAAGCAGGATGGCAGGGGTCAGCTGGAAAGAATGGTTTCAGAGTGACAAGTAGATGAGGATTTAGAGCTGGATAAGAGTGGGTTAACAACATTGCACTTTGATGTCAGACCGAGGCCTTCTCTGGCCCATTCCTTCTCTCAGGAGAACTCCCTACTCCATCAATATCCACAATACCTGGCTTTTTGGAACAAGGAAAATTGTTGAAAATCCCATCCTCCTCCCTATCTTGGCTCCCACTGCCAAGTTCCTGCCCACACTGTTAGTGGGTTCTATTGAATAAAGAATTTGGCTCTATTCCAGTGTCCTTGTCACACACCCTATAGATCCTACAATCTCGGGTGATAGTGACATCTATAACTGGGGGCTGGTAATGCTGAGGAAGAGATCGGTTGGTATATTATTTTCTGGGCTCATTCTTTCAGTTTTTAAGTATCCCTTTCTGAGATCTCCTTAGTTATAGGGAAAGTTCTTTTACTAATACTGATTTTGTATTGCAAGAAGAGAGCAAAATTAACTAGATACTATTGTAGGAATGTAGCAGTTAAAATTATAGTTAAGAGTTTTATTTAAAAAAGGATTTTTTTCTTTTTAAAAATTTTTTACTTAAAAGGAATAATCATTTTGTAGGTATAACAATGGTGGTATGATTGTATTAAAAAGAGTGCTTATCTTTTAGAAATACATACTGAAGTGTTTATGGAAGAAATGATCTATTTGGAATTTGCTTCATAATAATAGAGGATGGATGAAGTGGGTAGAGTATAGATGAAACAGGATAAGTATGAGTTGATAATGGCTGAAACTGGGTTATGGGTACAGTCTGTCTCTTTTTGTATGCATTTTTAATTTTTCATTCCAAATGGAAAGTTAAGAATACTGCATATACCAAAAAAAAAAAAAAAAAAAAAAGAATATCTAGAATACAGGAAGTGTAGTGTAGGAGTAGTGGTTACGAGTGTGGAGCTAAGTTGTGATTTTTGCTCTACTACTCACTAGCACTATACCTTGGAGCAGGTTACTTCTGTGATATAATTTCCTCATTTGTAAAATGAGTATAAATATGGTATATACTTTGTGGGAATTACATTTAGTAGAATTGAAAACTATCCATATTCTGTGACCTAGGATTTCCATTCTAGTTATTATATTCCCTAGAGGGAGCTTCAAGATTGGAATACTGACCCTCCACCTTATCTGAGTCTGATGTTGGTTAAACATAGCTGTCATTAGATACCTCTATCCAGGCATTTTTCATGAATTACTGTTCTGTACCCTCTTCTGCTCTCAAGTGAAAGTTTTTAAAGTCTGGTGCCTTCTCTGTTATGGGATGAGGTCAGCTAGAAACTTCAGGACATGAGAATCAAGTATCTGTTCATTACACCTAGTCTCAGCCCCTGAGAGTTATATATATGGGCTTATCCACAATACAAACCCTTCAGCCAGGTGTTCCAACCACACCTACTACCTCATCCTCTATCTAATCTTTTCTCCTACATCAGTTGCCAATGTGTACCTTCTTAACAGGTCAACCCCTTAATCATCTACTATTCCTGTTTTAACTTATTTCAACTTCCAATCTTTGTATCCACTTTCTGCCTAGAATTCATTTCCTCTTTCTCTTCCTCTGTTCTATAATATCCTTCAAGTATGAGTTGAAATCATACTTCTTTAAGAAATATTTTTTTATCACTTCAATCCATACTTAGTATCCATTCTGCTAAGATCCTCTTTTGGATAACATCATATGCTATATTATTGTTGATCTTTTGGATCTTAAACAATATGTAACTTTTTCATGTAATCTACCACATATGACTAAAAATAAGGTAAGACTTTTTTTCCCTCTGGAAATTAGCCCTCAGAAAAAAAGAGATTCTCTTTATAAAGTCAAATACAATTGTCAGTCAGTGAAATCATAGTCATTTCATGGAAAAGGATGAATGAATTTGGATCACCATCTACTAGTTCAATTTACTAGTATATAAATTTTTATAGAGATCAATTGATATAATTGATTAAACAAAAAGGAGAGACCAAAAATTTAAGAAAGTTTTAGTTGCTGTTCTTGGGAATTTAACCTCCTAATTTGAGGGGTTAAAGATAATTATATATAAGTAGTAATCACATTAAAAACTTAAAAAAATTACTCAGATATTTATAAAACACCCTCAGACAACAAGTGGTCACATTACAGAAATCATAAGTAAGCACCAATAGAATGAATGAAACCAAAACTAATCCAGTATTATGCAACTGAATTCTTGTGGCTGGGAGTGAAATTTCCAGTGACTGCATGGATTTAAAAAGTGGTGTATCTCTGAAATCTTAGAAATGTAGAAGATGTTTTCTAGAATGTTCAAACAACAGTTTTATTTTGTTAAGTAGATTTATTGGTGGGAAAGACATTGATGTCAAAGATGCAGAGTTTGAATAACATAGTTTTATGAAATGTAAAAGTGAAAAAGCATTAAACTAATGCATTACAGCCCTAGCTGGTTTGGCTCAGTGGATAGAGCGGCGGCCTGTGGACTGAAGGGTTCTGGGTTTGATTCCAGTCAAGGACACGAGTTTGATTCCAGTCAAGGACACTTCCCCGGGTTGTGGGCTCCATCCCAGTAGGGGCATGCAGGAGGCAGCCAATCAGTGATTCTCTCTCATCATTGATGTTTCTATCTCTCCCTCACCCTTCCTCTCAAATCAATAAAAATGAATATTAAAACAAGAAAAAAATTAATGTATTAGCTATATCACTTAATTTTAAACAATTGTATGTGTAAATAAATTTTAATCAGTAAATGTATTCAGGAGAGCCACAAAGTTTCCCTTCTTCCATCCTTTTCTTCCATTCACCTGTTACCATTTGGGAAAGTTTGGGGACTGCCTTATTTCAGCCAGATACGGCATGACTTAGAACTTGCAGAGCCCTGCCCCCCTTTTTACCTGGCTAACGTCTACTTATATCTTAAAACTCCTGCATAGATGTTGTTGTCTCAGAGAAGTTCCTTGGAATTGCTAGTTGGGTCACTTGCTTATCTCTCTATTGTCTCCTCTACTAAATGGCTTGAACTTGAAGCTCATGCTTGTGCTTTTATCTTGAGATACCAAGAACTTAAACACAGCTCCTTGAACATAGTTGTTGATTGCTCGAGAAATAACAGCAGAATAAATAAATGGTGTTACGCTTTTTTTTGTTCTTTGTGGTGCCTGGAATTGTGTTAAGCACAGATGAGTTGTTTAGTAAATACTTGTCAAATTATTAAGAACTAATGATGTTACTAGGTATGTTTCGGAAAAGGAATGAATCCGGCCTTCACACGGTAGGCATGCATGGTCTCTGGAGTGGCAGCGAGGCTGCTCTCCCTGCGGAAGGCTGCCTTTTAAAACCAGAGGAGGGAGAGAGCTCCCCGACATGGAAGCTGGTTTCTGCATTTGGCAGATTAAGGTAAAAGCTTCTGTGTATTCCAAAGGACAGCACTGTGCACACCATGTGTGAGTATTAAATGAAGAGGGACAAACGCCAGATTTAATTCCTGAGATGGCTGTGACAATAATCCCATTTCTCTCATTCAGCTCACAGTCTAGGAAGAGCCTTAATCCAACCCTCCAGGGACCCAAACACTTCCCTGTCTCATTAAAGTTTTGTAGAAAATCCCAAGTAAAGCTGTTCATTGAACTATTTTCAGTGCAATATACAAAGATACTGTGATTGGCAGATAGGTAATGCCGTCAGAGAGACTGACTGTGGTTGTACTGGACATACAGTCATGCAATGTCAATTAACTGAAATTTCTTTTTTGAGTAAAAAAACACAAAAACTCATTTTGTTTATTCAAGTTCTACCCCTTTTAACTTCAACAAATCTATTTCCTGTGCCCAACAATGTGTTGCCTTAATATGTATGTGAAGTGGCTATAGTGGAAGTTCTGGGATAGGTCACTGGTGAGGGGTGACCTAGTCATTGAAACAGTAGCTCGAAATGTGAGGGAGAACTGGAGTAGAATTGGCACCAGGGAGGGGCTGTTTTCACCGGACTTACAGGATGATGGCTTGGGTGCTACTATCCATTATTGTTGGGTCCTCAGCTTTGCAATCCTGTAGCTGCCCCTCACCCACGGTACTTGGAGTTGATAGAGTTTTAGGGGAAGACTTATAGTGCAATAATACTTGTTAGAGATTGATTTATGCCACTTAATTACTTTATAATAAGAATAAAAAATTATTGAAAAGTATCCTTGGGTGAGGATTAACAAAACAAAAAAAGAATTTAACTGCCCAGTTATACAGTATTTGAAATGGCTACTTTGCATTTTGTTGCTTTAGGATATTATATGGGAAAGACATAATAATCTGAAGGAAGTCAGATGAATATGGAGTCAGAGCAAGGAGGCGGTGGGTGGAGGATGGATTTGTAGGATGAATTTATCAACTGGCATTGTCAAAGTTTGGCAGCCTGATTGAAAAGTATCTATTAAGGGACAAAAATCTTAGAATGTGCTGGGTAGGCCACCATTTTACTATCAAAATCTTAGAGGCAATACTTACTGATTTCCCCTTTCAGGACTCCATGCCGGCTACCCACATTCTTTCATTCTCATAGCCTTTCTCTGGACATCTTAGGAAGAGAAGCCTGCAGCTTTCTTTCATACTCACTCAATAAAGTATTAGTAAAAGTTTCTAGCCCTGGTGTTTTTTGTGCCCCCCCCCCCCCCCGCCAAATTTTAAAGTATCTTCTGCTGATGTTTAACCTATTATGAGTTGAGTTTATAAAGTTAGTATTCATAGTCTCAAAAGTGCCTGTTGTCGATTGTCCCTGTACTGACCATAGAGAGTGGCTACAGTCAAATACTGGGATAGGTCACTGGTGAGGGGTGGTGACCTAGTCATTGAAACAGTAGCAGGTTACTCCCTGCTGCACCTAATGGGGATGTGGGATGTCTGAGAGACCATGCCTTCCCTGCCCACACCTCCTTCTAACAGCCGTGTGTCTGAAGAGAGGTTACTCCATGTCCTATCTTTGGCAGATCTCTGACATCTACATTAGTGGAGAGTCCGGGGACATGTCAGCCAAGGAGAAGCTGCTCCTATGGACCCAGAAGGTGACAGCTGGTTACACAGGAATCAAGTGCACCAACTTTTCCTCCTGCTGGAGTGACGGGAAGATGTTCAACGCACTTATTCACCGATACAGGTAGGTGCAGTAGAATTTCAGTATGCCTGGAGGGGCTTCTTCTCATCTCTTGTTTGTAATTAATGATTATGTCACTTTCCCCCTCAACCAAGAATCAAGAATCTGATTCATTGTATTCACTTAAAAGAGGAATGTGTACTGAATTCCTAGTGTTCTAGGCACTGGACACAAATAACAGTGAACAAAACAGCAGAAGTTCTTGCTTTCATGGAGGTTATTTGTTTATTAGGCAACATACAAATACATGTTTGCTGTCCTACAGTGGTAAGTGCAATGGAGGGATAGAGAGTGACAGATGGGGGTTGTGGTATTTTGCACAGAGGGTCAGAGATGGTCTCTCTGATGAGGATGTTGGAGCAGAGCCATGAGGGCGTGAGTTATGCAGGCCTCTAGGGGGCAGAGTGTTTCAGTTGGAGGAAGTAGTGAGTACAGAGGGCCTGATATAGAGGCTTGCTTAGAGAGCTGAGGAAGAGCATGTGGCTGGAATGAGATTTGCGAGGAAGACAGGAATTTTTGAATGACAAAAATAAAAATTAATACACTTTTAGTGGTCATAAACATGCCGCCCAATTTTCACTCTGTAGTAGCTTATGATACCTTTCCCATGAAATACAACAGGGCTCCTGCTGCGTACGTTTTGAATCAGGGAGTACGGGGCTCCTGGAGTGCAGTTGAGAATGGAATTAGTACTAGGCACTTTTAAGAGTAAGGAAGTGGCTACCCACATTCTTTGTGTGGACTCACGTGTGGCGTGTAGACAGAGACTTTCCATGTGTGTTGGTGACTTTCACAGGCCTGATCTGGTGGACATGGAGAGGGTACAGATCCAGAGTAACCGCGAGAACCTGGAGCAGGCTTTCGAAGTGGCAGAAAGACTGGGCGTCACCCGGCTACTGGATGCCGAAGGTGAGAGTGGACCCCAGTTAAGGATGTTTGGCAATATTTACTGTTCCTTCTCCTGGCGGGTTCGTTTGTTCTGACTCAGACATTTCTTACCCTTCCTCTCAGATGTGGATGTGCCATCTCCAGATGAAAAGTCTGTAATCACTTATGTGTCTTCGATTTATGATGCCTTCCCTAAAGTCCCTGAGGGTGGAGAAGGGATCAGTGCTACGGTAAAAGAACACTTAAAATAATTTTTGACTTTGGTTTGTTTGGGTAGAATGTATTGACTCAACCATATTTCTCACGGTATACAGAGCATTTTTAGACAGAGCAAAGTGAATCTACACCGTATTCATACACGGTCATTGTCCTTGGTCCCTGGGAGTGAGTCTGTCACTAATTTTGTAGCATCTAGCCTAGACTATTCTAGGTGTCAGGAAATTGAATCCCATCTTGGGAGCCCTTGAGGAGCTTTGAAACTGGGACTCTGAGTGTTACACTGAACAGGAAAAGGCTTTTATGTGGTTTGGGATGGCCTGAGCTACTTTCTGATGTATTTGTTTTTCATACTGCTAATCAGAATGAAAATGTGTGGTATTTACCCTTTGACATTAGGAAGTAGACTCCAGGTGGCAAGAATACCAAAGTCGAGTGGACTCCCTCATTCCCTGGATCAAACAGCATACAATATTGATGTCAGATAAATCTTTCCCCCAGAACCCTGTTGAACTAAAGGTAAAATTATGGACTTGCATTGATTTTTTTATAAATTAATTCTGAGGAATAATTCTCGGAGCTGTTGCTGCTTGTTTCTGGGTGAGGTGGTACCAAAATTTGGGCCATATTGTTTGTATCTATTTATTCACCACATTTTAATTTTGTAGGCACTTTATAACCAGTATATACACTTCAAAGAAACAGAAATTCTGGCCAAGGAGAGAGAAAAGGCAAGAATTGAGGAATTGTATAAGTTATTGGAGGTAAGGAAGCTTATCCTTTCTTTGCTGAGACTTGGGGGTTGCTGGTTTGCTCTTTTGTTGTTTCTTTGTTAGACTTCCTGCATCTTCTTCCCAGGCTGCATAAACAGCAGTATGCTAGGGTGACAAATCTGGCATCACTCTCAGCTGGTCTTGAAAATTTGTGGGAAGGGACAGTAGAAACCAACTACATTTTCTAAAGGGCCTATTGAAAAGCGAGATACATGTAGCACTGGCTATGTGACTCAGTTTATTGGTCATGTGCTATGCATCTAAAGGTTGCTGGTTCAATTCCCAGTCAGTGCACATGCCTGTGCTGTGGGCTCCATACCTGATAAGAGGTTGTGCAAGAAGCAGCTGCTGGATGTTTCACTCTCACATCAATGTCTCTTTCCCTCCCTCCCTCCCTCCCTTCCACCCTCCCTCTCTCTTCTTCCATCCCCCCTAAAAAGAAAACAAAACAAACAAAAAACAAAACAAAAAATATATTTTTAAAAGTAACATGCATTTATTCAGAAATTTAGAGGGTTTTTAAAAAATATATATTTTATTGATTTTTTTACAGAGAGGAAGAGTGATAGAGAGTTAGAAACATCAATGAGAGAGAATCATTGATCAGCTGCCTTTTGCACACCCCCTACTGGGGATGTGCCCACAACCAAGGTACATGCCCTTGACCAGAATCGAACCCAGGACCTTTCAGTCCGCAGGCCGATGCTCTATCCACTGAGCCAAACTGGTTTTGGCTGTGTGAGTTTTCTCATTTCTCAGAGAAACTAAATCTTCCCTAAGATGGAAAGAAAAGAGACTTCCACTCACATTTTTATTCCTAGAGAATTTGGAGCTATAGAGATGAGCATTTGAATGGGGGTTATTGAGAGGACAGGAGGAGTTACATAACATGTATCAGGAATGGAAAGCTTTAGAGTAGGAGTCCCTGCATTTAGAGGTGATTATTTTGCTCTCACCGCAAGGAGGGGTACTGCTAAATATTCCTATGTGATCTCTTATTAGACAGTGGAAAAACTGTTAATTGGCTGGGTAAAGAAGCAAGAAGTGATGGCAAAGAATAAATTAAAACCAGGGCCTGGGGCATGGCTGTGCTTTGGACTAAAAGGATCTCTGGGTTTTTTTAGGTGTGGATTGAATTTGGCCGAATTAAACTGCCTCAAGGATATCACCCTAATGATGTAGAAGAAGAGTGGGGAAAGCTCATCATCGAGATGCTAGAGCGAGAGAAATCACTTCGGCCAGCCGTGGAGAGGTGAGTCCTGGCCTGGAGTGGATCTGACATTACTGGGCTGCTTTGGGTCCTACCCTTCACTGTGGTTTTGATCTTATTTTAGGCTGGAATTGCTGCTGCAAATTGCAAACAAAATCCAGAATGGTGCTTTGAACTGTGAAGAAAAACTGACACTAGCTAAGAATACACTGCAGGCTGTAAGTCTGACTGTTTTGTCTCACTTCTTGTGTCACATTTTTCACTTCTCACCTTGGGTTCCAGTAGTTGAAGTTAACATTTGAGGCATCCAGCTGTGCTACTTCCTTACTCTTGGAATTTCAGTGGCCCCTTGGCGCCCTGGTCCTAGTGGGTGGGAGCAGTGGGCGTGTTCCCACTCTTACTCTCCCTTTCTCCCTCAGGACGCTGCTCACCTGGAGTCAGGACAACCAGTGCAGTGCGAGTCGGACGTCATCATGTACATTCAGGAATGCGAAGGTCTCATCAGGCAGCTGCAAGTGGATCTCCAGATCCTCCGGGATGAGAACTATTACCAGCTAGAAGAACTGGCTTTTAGGTGAGGAACATGGAACTCATATAGGAAGTTTGCTTACTGCTGAGGCTCATGGCTCAAGAGTCAGGTATTGAATTTTGTGACTTGACCTTAGAGTTCAGGAATACTACAGGTATTTTGGCTGGGAAATTCTCATGATGGAGGACAATTTCCCCTTATTGCAGGCCCTGCCCACTAAGTAAGTTTAGGGTTTCCTGATCATTGTGGTATCTTATAGCACCCCACATACTTCAGAGTGGCCTGCAGTGGTGGGTAGCAGGTCTGGTTTAGAATGCTGGGGATCTGATACGTCACTTTGTAGAGGGGGAAACCAAGACCCACAAAGGGGATGAAGATCACCCACGACACACGGCTTATACAGAGCCAAGGCTAAGACTTACATCTTTGGACCCCTAACCTGTTGTTTATTTTGTTATACCCCCTTCAAGCTATACACAGCTATTTGCTTCCCTTAGTTAACACTGTAATTTGATATTTGCCTCTCTGCCAGCTCTGTACAATGAAGATGTTAATAATATCACTTTCCATTCATATAAAACTTTCTCTTTCCTGATCTCCTCATCCTTGTCAAATGGATAGGGAAGATTTTATTTTAAAAAGGACATTACAAATGTAAGTCTCCTCCTCCTTTCTCTTCTGACATTTCAGGGTTATGCGTCTGCAGGACGAGCTGGTCACCTTGCGCCTAGAGTGCACAAACTTGTATCGGAAGGGCCACTTCACTTCACTTGAATTGGTTCCACCCTCCACGTTAACCACTACTCATCTGAAGGCAGAACCCCTGACCAAGGGAACCCATTCTTCTTCTACCTCCTGGTTCCGAAAGCCCATGACTCGGGCTGAACTTGTGTCTATCTCGTCCTCTGAAGATGAAGGCAATCTCCGATTTGTGTATGAGCTACTGTCTTGGGTAGAAGAAATGCAGGTGGGTGAATATTGCAAATGCTTGTACAGTGCACAGCAACTTACCTAAGAGGACCATGTTGCTCTGTGTCCCTTAATTATTGATGCTGCCTAGGACTCAGACCCCTGTTTTCTTAAATTTTAAATAGATTGGATCAGCTCACATCCTCAAAATTCCACACTGAATAGCATAGACCTTTCTAACTTAAAGCCATTAGAGAATTTGTTCCCTTCAGCTAACTGTGCTACAAGTGGGAGATTGTGGGAGAAGTTGCAGAGTTTATAAATCTCAGTTATTGTTTCTAAAATTTCCTCATTGGCAGAGAAGCTTATTCTTCACTTTTTGTGTTTGGCCATAAATTTTACGTTTAAGCAAGGCTTCTTTGTTTCACAATTCTAAGGGGCGCTTTAAAAGAAAACTATTTTTCAATTACAGTTGACATAATATTATAGTATTAGTTTCAGGTGTACAACATAGTGAGTAGGCATTTATATACAATTTATGAAGTGATCACCCCAATAAGTCTAGTATCCATCTGACACAATACGCATACTATCTAATAAAAGAGTAGTATGCAAATTGACCATACATCCTCTACATCTACAAGCCACACTCATCAGCCAATCAGGAGCGAGTATGCAAATTAACCCAATCAAGATGGCTATAGCCAAGGAGCAAACAGGAAGCTTGGGTTTCCCCAGCAATGGAGGAAGCCAAGCTTCCTGAACACCTTGGCCAGCCCAGGCCTCTGCTCAAGGCTACAAAGTTTCAATTATAGAAGATAAATAAATCCCAGATACCAGGGCCTCCACTTGGGTTGTTGGGGGTTGTGGCCAGCCTGCAAACTACCACAGGCCCCTCACCTAGGCCATCCCATGCCCCAAGGGAACCCCCACCATGATCTGGGACTCCCTTCAGGGCAAACCAACTGGCCCCCACCCATGCACCAGGCCTCTATTCTATCTAATAAAAGAGTAATATGCAAATTGAACATCATTCCAACACAGAAGATGGCTTCCCCCATGTGGACACAAGATGGCCAGCATGGGAGGGCAGTTGGGAGGGACCAGGCCTGAAAGGGAGGGCAGTTGGGGGCAATCAAGCCTGCAGGGGAGGGCAGTTAGGGGTGACCAGGCCGGCAGGGGAGGGCTGTTAGGGGTAATCAGGCTAGCAGGGGAGTGGTTAGGGGGTGAGCAGGCTGGCAGGCAGAAGCGGTTAGGGGCAATCAGGAAGGCAGGCAGGCGAGCAGTTGGGAGTCAGCATTCCTGGATTTTGAGAGGGATGTCTGACTGCCCATTTAGGCCTAATACCCTCAAGGGGTCTCATATTGGAGAGGGAACAAGCTGGGCTGAGGGACACCATCCCCTCCCCTGTGCATGAATTTCATGCACCGGGCCTCTAGTTTACTATAATATTATTGGCTATATTTCCTGTGCTGTACTTTACATCCCTAGGGGACACTATTTACATGCATTCTAGAACAGCGGTTGCCTACCTTTCGGACCTCAGTGACCATCAGTTGGTGACAGCTGTTCTAGGATAATGATTCAAGTTCAATATTGTCTACCTTATCCTTCTAACCCTTTTGTTTGTGTGAGATATTCCCCATGTACCAATAAATGACATTCAAAGACAAGCTAATGTTTTAAAATTTATTGGCCAATAGTTAATGCTGTGAATAAAGCTTATTATTTTCAGATATTTCTTTCTTATATTTGTTTTATTATGAAATGAAGAGACTCTATAAAGGGAAATGCCTGAACTATAAAGTTAAACATCTTCAGCCAGTGGAAACACCTTCCTGGTTGGTAAATTTAGGAACATCTTCCCATAACGCAGCAGCAAAAGCCTGCCTCTGCTGCTGTAGCTGGTGGGGGTTGGTCTCTACCTCCTTGGAGGGTGGTTATGGCACATTTTTCTGTAAGAGGTCAGAATGGAGAGATCCTTTTGCCAGTCTCCTCTCTCTAGCCCCCTTGTCCAAATGTTGATTGTGATGATTTTCTTTTTCTGCCAACTTAGCAGTAAGTTATTATATATGTGTTTTTCTTTTTCAGATGAAACTGGAGCGAGCAGAGTGGGGCAGTGACCTGCCTAGTGTGGAGCTGCAGCTGGAGACGCAGCAGCACATTCATACGAGTGTGGAAGAGCTGGGCTCCAGTGTCAAAGAGGCCAGGTTGTATGAGGTGCGTGGCAGTCAGAATCCATTAGGGAGGGTGGGCAGGGTGGGAACGGGGAAGTACGCACGATGCAGCTGTCCCTAAGGAGAAGGGGGCTTTGGCAAGGAATGATAACCATAGGCAGCACTTTACAACAAACTCCTTTTCATGTGAAATATCCTTTTGCTCTTTCAAATAATCTTGTGGGAAAGATACTTTTTTTTATTAACTCTTTTTGGCAAAATGAAGTGATCCTGAAAGCTGAGGTCAGTGTTGGTAAGTAGAGGATGCAGTTTCTAAGCTCAGACCCTCTGCTCCAAAAGTTCATGCTCTTTCCGCTTCACCTTCTGTCCGCAGTAGAGAGCTGGTGTAGAGAAATGGTTCAGTCTCTCTTCTTTACTCATTCTACCTTTCAATTTTTTAATTTCTTTTTTAAAATGTATTTTTATTGATTTCAGAAAGGAAGGGAGAAGAAGGGAGAGCTTGAAACATCAATGATAATGATGAGAGAATCTTTGATTGGTTGCCTCCTGCACATCCTACACTGGGGATTGAGCTGCAATCCAGTCATGTGACTTGACCAAGAATCAAACTGTGATTGATATCTGGTTCAGAGGTCAATGCTCAACCATTGAGCCACACCAGCTGGGCTCCATTTATTTTTTTTTACTTCAGCTCTCCCCTTCAAAAAAGAAGTTGAATGATTTTGGAATCATTAGGCATAGGTTTTTTAAAGAAACTTTCTAGCATTACTAGTATAACAAGACAGTGTGGTCTGTCTGTTGTATTTTCCCTGCTGAACTTTTCCTCATGTAGTGCTGCTCCAAGCTGTAAAATCTGACCCAGAGGTTTATTATCTAAGCTTCTACTTTCTACCTGTGTGCAGACATAATGTTTACATAGTTGAAACCATGTTATAAGTATAGTTTATTTATCCTTTCTCTAATGTGTTTCTGTTTCATTCCTTTCTTATCAGGGAAAAATGTCTCAGAATTTTCATACTAGTTATGTTGAAACTCTTGGAAAACTGGAGACGCAGTATTGTAAATTGAAGGTAAACTGACTAACTCTGTGTTCTGTTCCTGGAGAATCTGGTTTCCTCCAAACACCTCCTTTCCCTAGGTTGGCTGTCTTGGCTTTCTATTTATTAAATTACATCATGTACTTTGCCATTGTTCATATGTATATAATATTTTCTTAATGGAGCAAAAACACTGCCCCAGAAAATTTTATGTAGAGCTCTCCTGCTTTCCCAAAGCAGTGGTTACTTGTGCTTTGAGACACCAAAACTAAAAGTTTGAGGTTGATAGGGAAGGGACTTTTCTCTGAAGTCTTCCTTCCTGTCATTCAAAATTCCTCAGAGTATGACAGGCCCAGGTTCATTCTTTATCCAGGGAGCCCCACAAAAGGCCAGGTGAGTTCCAACGTTTAGCTAAAATTGACAAGGGTTCTGGAATCCTGTGCCAAACTTGTACTAAATCTAAGTCAATGGAGAAGCACCCAGAGTTTAAAAAACAAGACAAAATTCATTTCCTGAGTTATTCTTCACTTTGATGTCAAGTGTGCTGTCTTCTGTAGATGAAAGGCTGGTGGTTTAACCTGTAATCCTTGCTTTGTCTAGGAAACTTCTAGCTTCCGGATGAGGCATCTTCAAAGCCTACATAAATTCGTTTCCAGAGCTACAGCTGAGTTAATTTGGTTGAATGAGAAAGAAGAAGAGGAACTAGCATATGATTGGAGTGACAACAATCCTAATATCTCAGCCAAGAAAAATTACTTCTCAGTGAGTCTAGCACAACATGCCTGTCATATTTATGTAACAGCAGCAGAAGGAGACAGAGGGTCTAGCCTGCTGAGAGCTAGGGTTCCGGGATTTTCATTCTGCTAGACAGAAATAGGGACCCTGCTGAATGCATCTTATATGTGAGAAGTGTCCGTGGGGAGAGGGAAATCCAGCCCTGGAATGAGTTTCCTTAGAATGCATTGAGAAAAGCAGAGTCTTGGGTTCATGGAGCAGCCTGCAAGTAGAGTCATTTCAGAAGCAGTATAGCTTTGTGGTTAAGATTATAGGCTTCAGAGTGCACTAGACCCAAGTTCACTTATCCCTCCACTTACTAGCTCAGTGACTTTGAGTAAGTTTTTTAATCTCTCTGGACCTCTGTAAAATGGGCTATTAGTACCCCTTCACAGGGATTTATAAAAGACTCAGTAAGATTTAATAACTAATAATCTTAGTATTGTTTAATTGAAGTATACTTTTAGCTTCTCAGAAATGCTGAATTCTCTAATTAAATAATTTTTTGGTCTCAATTAAAAAAAAGTTTTTATTGATTTTTAGAGAGAGAGGAAGGGAGAGGGACAGACAGATAGAAACATTGAGAGAGAAACACCAATTAGCTGCCTCTTGCATGCCTCCTACTAGGGATGGAGCCCGTAACCCAGGCATGTGCACTGACCAGAAATCAAACAGGTGACCTCTTAGTTCATGGGTCAATGCTCAACCACTGAGCACTGACCGTAATCAATCTCTTTATTTGTGAGATGGGAAGGAAAATTCAGCATTGGACTATGGGACAATGTTTTGTATTCTTTTCAGTGAAAGATGTATATAAGTAAGTAGGGTTATTTTTTGCTACTTTTAGTGTTTCTACATCTCAGAGGATTTATAGACATTTTATAAACCCTATGCAAATAGGAAACATTTTTACTAACACTTACTTTAGATACTTCAATTCCATTAATTTAGAAGTGTGTGTGTGTGTGTGTGTGTGTGTTTTAATATAAGCTATTCCTGAGTAGAAAGTGGTAGAGGATCCTTCTGAAGTAAAGAAGAAATAATAGATATGATAATACAATAAACAGTCTGTATGAGGATGGAAATGAAGCCATGAAAGAAGTATAAATAAGGTGCTTGGAAAGCATCAAGGAGGACCAGTCAAATCTGATCCTAAGGATCAGTACCCAGCTTCACAGAAGAGCTGGCATCTAAACTGGATCCTGTAATGTGAATAGAATTTCGAACCAGAGGAGGACACCAAGTCTAAGGGAATAGTCTTAGCAAAGCCAGCCAGTCAGTGATACAGATCCACTGGTGTTGGGTGTAGTGTTGGTGGGTGCTGACATGAACTGGCCACTCTGGCCAAGCTATTTCCTTTCTCTGCTTCCAGTGCTCATCCTGTGTTGCCCCACTTACTCGGCTCTGGCTGGGGTCCCAAGTCCTTTGTGAATCATTTGCCAGTAATTCCAGCATTTTTGCTCTTCTCTGAAATCCTTTGGCGTGTACTGTTCATGCATCTCCTTTTGGCACTGGCCACAGTGTTGCAGGCTTTTTAAAAGTAGATCAGGGAACAGCCTTTTATTGCTACTCTTCCCTTAACAGCACTTAATGCATAAACTTGAATTCAATTTTCAGGAGTTGACAATGGAACTGGAGGAAAAACAGGATGTGTTTCGATCTCTACAAGATACAGCAGAGCTGCTATCGCTTGAGAACCACCCAGCCAAGCAGACTGTGGAGGTATGTGACTTGAGAACATGTAAGGGCCACGTGCTCAGAGGTGATTGTTTATAAAAGTACTCAAGTCAGAGGCTTTGTTGGAGGAACTGGAGGAAATGTCCGGGATCATTTGTCTTGGGGTTTCTCCCTTTTCATTTCAATCCCCAAAGACTGCAAACAGTTTTGATGGTCTATGGGCAATACCACAAGAAACAAGATTGAATCCTAACTTCCTGGGGAAAATGGCTTGGACTACAGATTTCCCAAATAACTGTCCGGATAGGTCCTTTCTTGTTGATGTGGTGCCTTTGCCCAGAGAAGTGGAGCAATCCAGGAGGGTTTATTTATGCCTGGATTTTGCTGTCCAGATCATGTAGTTGTAACTGAGTGTGGAAGAGGCCTTTTCTATGTAACGCCTTCTAACAAAATCATGTTGGACAAAAGATAAGCCTCTTGCTTATGGAAGCATTTAGCGGCTGCCAGTCAAGTATCTCCATGTATCTTCTGTATCCTCTATCATTAGCAGCCTTGTCCTTGGACGGGAGCATTGCACGTGTATTTTGGGTCAATCTCATGCCCTGATGTCTGTGCTTGGTGGTTGCAGGCTTACAGTGCCGCTGTCCAGTCCCAGTTGCAGTGGATGAAGCAGCTGTGCTTGTGTGTCGAGCAGCATGTGAAAGAGAATACTGCTTATTTCCAGGTATGTGGGCTTTGTGTTTTTCTGTGTGCATGCTTATGTGTAACTGTGTGTGTGTGTGTGTGTATGTTATAGAGGATGAGAAGAATATTTGTTTTTATTCTGGCAAGAGATTTTGTGGATCTGTGCATATACACAGGGGTGGGCAAAAGTAGGTTTACAGTTTATTTGGCAATACAATAATCCTATCTGATAAAGAGCTAATATGGAAGTGGTCGTCACGTCCTCACGTTGTCACGTCCTCACGTCCTCATGTCCTCATGTCCTCATGCCCTTGCACAGGAAATGGTCAGACATTCAATACTGGAGAGAATGGCATGGGGACCAGCTAGGCACAAATGAGCTCTCAAGAGAGGCAGGGGGACCAGCCAGGCTGCGGCCCGGGAGAGGAACAATCTGCCCACCCGGTGGTCCCGGGTGCCAGCAGTTGCGCCTGCACCTGTGGCCCTGGAGAGGAACAAGCTGTCCACGCCCCGCGGTACTGGGCGTCTGCTGCTGCAGCCTAGGCAAAGCCACCCGCCATGGTCCCCTGTGGCTGTGGCTAGCCCTGGTCCTGGGTGCCTACAACCGGGTTTGATTCGGTCAAGGGCACATGCCTGGGTTGCCGGCTTGATCCCCAGTGGGGGGTGTGCAGAAGGCAGCCTATCAATGATTCTCATTTTTTCCCTACAATTTGTTACAGCATGCAAAATATACTACTTGTTTTCAAGTGAGGATGGGCAGAGGAAATAAACTATTATCTCTGTTTGGTTTTGTCCTAAGTTAAATCATCTTCCTGATCATGTTGTAATTACATTAAAACATTGATAACTCAGCATTTAGGCTTTTGTGAACTCTACCTCACAACCAAGTGCTGTCACTAGCCAGAAGTCAAGAGGAATGAGCAGTGATTTCTGAGAGGGTGAAGCAGACCGACTTTTCCATGGGGTTCAGTAGGCTTTGTGCTGGCCTGCACTAGTTCCCAGCTGAGACAATATAACGCCTCCGGTTTATTCTTTCGTGGCCTTTGCAATGAACTGTCACTCTCTGGAGAGTCTAATCAGCTTTGCTCAACTCTGCATAGTAGGATCTTTCTTTCTCAGTTAAGATCTTGGTGTTGTAACGTAATGAACACAAGGCACCCCTTCCTTCTGTCCCCACAGTTCTTCAGTGATGCACGAGACCTGGAGTCATTCTTGAGGAACCTCCAAGACTCCATCAAACGGAAATATTCCTGTGACCACAATACCAGCTTATCCCGCCTGGAGGACTTGCTCCAGGACTCAATGGTGGGTGTTGTATCAGTGGGATGATTACAGAAACACACTCTGAGCAACAGAGTAAACCCTCTCAACTGCTGCTGTTTATATCCTTGAAAGCTACAGGGCAGTGGGTCATTGTTATAACGTTTGCCTCACATTCTAATAGAACTTAATCCGTTTTCCTTTCTTTTTCCTTTTCTCTTTCTTTCCTTAAAGAGGTTGCTAATATGAGGCCTTTGGGTATGTTATTGAAATAAAAGCCTAGTCATCTTCCCTTGAGCCACTTAGTGTTTATCATGCTTTTCTTTGCATTGTTCCTGTTTATTTCAAGTCTGTAGTTGAGGCCAAAGATGAGGTGTAGAGTCGAAGGGCATTGACATCAAATTCTTTTTAAGTCTCTCATGTGAAGAGAATTTTTTAAACAAAAACTCCCAATGAACAAGACCTGAACCAAATTTTTTCTCCTTGGCAATTTTCTTTTGGTAATGATGAGGCACTAGAAAATGGAATTTAATTAAAGACATTAAATCTTTATATATAATGCAATAGTCAGTTTATTTATGTAGCAATATTTACTTTTTAAATATTACTGCATTCAGTATTTAATCCAAAAACAGTTTTACGTTTATTTCTTCCAATGAGCTATTCCTTCGGGAGTGCTGGTGTAAATCAGCAGCAGGGCTACTTGCATTCATTGAATGGATTATTACTTAGAGTTGGCAAGGCAAGGCTCAAGGTACATCTCACAGTAAGACAGAAATATGTAGTATGTAATAGGAAAATTACTTTTTCTGTATGAGAAGTCAGGGAATTGTCACATTTCAACAGAATAAAAGAAACAGAATAACACAAAACAGTGCCATTTTTTTGTGTGGGTGAGACTAATTTTAAAAATATATTTGCAGGTATTATAAACCTATGAATGGGTTTACATTCAGTGTTTTACCTGGGCAAATAATCTGTTAATTTAATTAATTTGGAATGAAGGGTAACAAGCTGATTTTCAGATGTTGTCTCTAGAATGTCTCTCTTGGAGGTACTTCAAGTATGAAGGAGGAATACAATAATCCTTGGCTATTATCTCCTCCTTCCCATAGAGTACCTTCCTGTTGTAGGGTAACTCCTCTGCGCTTGTTGTGTCTTCTCTTCTCGAGGGCCGCTGCTCTGTTCCCTCCTCTCCAGGTCAGGGCATCGGGTTGGCGGCGGCATCTGGGCACGGAGTCACCTGGGTCTGCTCCTCGGCTTGTCCTCAGCTTCCCGTCAGGTTCGGGAGCATCTGTCCTGGCATCTGGTTCTTTGCAGAGCTTTTACCACGCTGAGCACTTGGTCTCTGGAGTTTGAGATGTTTGGCTGTGGGTTAGACAGAAATTGACTTCTTTATTGCAAGGAAAATGGCATGGGTAGACCAGTTCTCAAGTATGAAACCGTGTGGCTGTCTCCCTGATATATTCCATTCCTCTTTCTTAACTAATAAGTTAAAGTTGTATTTCTTCCAATCATGCTCCCCGGGACAGGCAAAGGTAGTTTATTTAAGCATTTCTTTCTTTTTTACTTGCATACTCTTAATTCCTTAATGGCATTTCTTAACATTATTAACTCTTTATTCTCATTACATCTACTTCCATCCTAAGAAAGCCCTCTTCTGGGGAGTTTTTATACCTCAAAATGGGCTTGAAACATCCTGGTTAATCTTTTACTTTAATGGAACTGGCAGTAGATTGCTACCCATTTTGTTGACAAGAGGTTCATTAGTTTTTAAGAATACTGGGTTTGCAGAGACTTGGGAGTTTTAATTTTGCATGATACTGCTTTCAAACCTATCGAATTTACATGGCTATCACACAGCAAGATACTAAAAGATAAATCCTAAATCATTTGTCATGATGCCTTCACCAACTGCATTAATTGTTGGTTGAAGACCTAAAATCTTTCTGGAGAAAGTTTGATTCAACTTAAGAAACTACCGTAAAACATTTGTGGTAGATACGATTATTTTTAAAAATTTAAAGAGCTTAATTCTGGCTTCTCTTAAGCAGAAGGCAAGAACTGGCTTCTATAATAACAGAGAAAAATTGAATAATAACAACAATAACAACGTAGTTGTTATTGTTTTTAACTTCTATGTTCTCTGAACTTATTTGGGGAAATCCTTTGCTAACTTAAAGCTGTATTTGGCAGCTAGACGTTCTTTTTTGTTTTATGTTTTGTTATTTTGCATGCTGCTTTATGGTTGGTTAATTGAAAGGGCACAGGGAGAAAACTGCAAAATTTGAGTACAAAAGCACCTGGTAGAAGACAAAAACAGTCTCTCCTTTTTTCTGTATCCTTGTGTTTCTAAGATGGCTCCACCAAGGATTACTTAACTGAGAAATGACATTCTCTGAGGGAGTGGAGCACTCAGTTTTCTTTTTAGTCACCCTGAGTAGCAACAGTGTCCTTTTGATGTTCTTCTCATTTTGTAGGATGAAAAGGAACAGCTTATACAGTCCAAGAGTTCTGTTGCCAGTCTTGTTGGGAGATCAAAAACAATTGTTCAGCTAAAGCCACGAAGTCCCGACCATGTGCTAAAGAGCACCATTTCTGTGAAGGCCATCTGTGATTACCGGCAGATCGAGGTAAGTAGGTGGAAAGGATATTTCTGTCTCCAGAGGGAAGGGAGGGAGAAGGGAAGCCTTTGGTTAGGGCTATGATAATGAGGAAAGATAAAATACTAGAGTTTTTAAAATTTAGAATTTAAACAAGGTTCTTTCACTTGGATCATTCCATTCAGTTCATCTTACCACCCCGCCCCCACCCAATGCATTCTTTATCCTACCACCAGCCCTCACAAACAAGTGTCATTCCCCTGCTTCACTCCCACAGCAATTCCCTTTTCTTTGTAGAAAGTCCGAATTCCTTAACGTGGCCCCCTGAATGATTTTTCTTTACCTCTCTAGCCGAGACTCAGTCATGTCCCTCCTGTGCATTCCCAGTAAACTGCATGTGTCACTTAGTATTGTAGCTGTATATCCCACCAGAACATGTGGAATGTGGACCATGTTTGTCAGCATAACATTTCTCCATTTTTACCTCTAGTGGCCTCACATACTTCCAGGTAGATAGAGGCTCCATAAATATTTGTTATACAAAAGAATGAGTGATTTTTTTGAGTACTTTTTTGTCTCAATTCTGTCCATAAAATAGGGGTAATACTATTGGTTTCTTATCATCCAAGAGAAAGAACTGGTGATCCAACTACTTAAACATTTTCAGGGATTTGGGTGGGGCAAAAGAAAGGGAGGAGGAGGAAGTATCAAAAGCAAAGTTGTGAGTACTCATGTCCCTTTTAATTTTCACTCTAATGGTTGTATGTTTGAAAGATTGCTCTTGGAGGCCCTACTGTCTCTTTCTACCCTTCATTCACTGAGTTACTTGACATGTAACAGGCATTTCATAAACACTTGCTTCCTGGAATTGTTTGATGTCCACAACCTCTCCTGTGGTGTGTATTTTTACATTATATCTTTTTGTCAGAATCAGGGACTCTCACTAAGTGATGGCAGATCTCCAAAATGTTTTTTTCTTGATTTTGTAGCCTTGGGATCAGGTGCCAGGTAATAATGGTTTGTTATTTACCCATTATCAATAACTTGCAAATCTGTCTCTTTCAGATTACTATTTGCAAGAATGATGAATGTGTGTTGGAAGATAACTCCCAGAGGACCAAATGGAAAGTGATCAGCCCCACAGGGAATGAGGCCATGGTGCCATCTGTCTGCTTCCTCATTCCTCCACCCAATAAGGATGCCATTGAGATGGCCAGCAGGTAACTTGGCTCAACTGCCACTGTGTACTGCCACCTCTGCTCTTTGACCTGGGAGAACTGATCTCAACTGATCTCCTTGAACAGAGCAATTAAATTTAAATTTCCTTTTGAGAAAGATCCTCTATTAGGATATCAAGCCAGCCACATAGTAGATTTTCAATAAATGCTTATCTTCAATTGAGATATATTTGGTGATAGTTCTTTTTTATACAAGTTCTTGTTTATAAACAGTTTAATTTCAGAAGATTGATTTATGTAGTGACAGCTAATTTTCTTCTTTAATTTTTATTTTATTAGAATAATATGTACATATTTTTAAGAGTTGGAAGTATACCAAAATACTTATAATAAAAACTACTAACTACCCTCTCCACCCCAGAGTTCTGTTTCCAAGAGTCAGTTATCTATAACTCTTTGAACAGATTTTTTTAGTTTTAATTCCAAATTTATAAATAATGTGATTATTTTTCTGCTATTTTCTGATTTTTTTTTTTTAACTTTAGAAATTATCTATTGACTTCCTACTCTAGGATATTAACATTTAGCTTGCTATACCTGCATAAAATTCTCCTTTTCCCATCTTCCAATGTAGTTATGCCATAGTTTTTGCTTAACCTGGTATTTTTGTGTTATTATATTGAATGGCTTATAGCTGAGCCACACAGTGCTGTCGGGGATTGTTGTGAGATTTACCCCTGTTGTGTCTTTCCTCTCTAAACTCATCCGTCTTCTGCCGCTCTCCTTGCTCGGCTCCAGTCACCCTAATCTTTTTCCTGTTTCTCAAACACCACAAGCATATTCTTGCCTCACGCCTTTCACTTCCTCTGCTTGTTTTCAAATATTTATGTGATTCACTCCCTCGCTTCATTCAGTTCATCTTACCGCCCACCCCCACTCACTGCCTATCACTTTCTGTCTCCTTTACTCATCTTAATTTTTTTTATAACACTTAATACAACCTAACAGATTATATATTAGTTTATTGTCTCTCCCCTCCTGTTAGAAGTTCCAAAAGAGCAGAGGTTTTTGTCTGTTTTGTTTATTTCTGTAACCTTAGCACTAGAACAATTGCTGGCACGTAGTAGGTGCGCGGTAGGTGGTTGTTGAAGGAGAGAATGAATGAGTGGGTGATAGAATATAATTATAAGTAAATTATTTCGTTTGCTTTATTTCTTTTTCCATTTGCTTTCTTGTATAACTTTTTGTTTTATTGGAGTTGATAATTTTAATTTTTAAATACATTGTTATTAATTTCAGAGAGGAAGGGAGAGGGAGAGATAGAAGCATCAGTGATGAGAGAAAATAATTGATCAACTGCCTCCTGCATACCCCATATTGGGGATCAAGCCCGCGTGCAACCCGGGCTTGTGCCCTGACCAGGAATCTAACTGTAACCTCCTTGTTCATAGGTCGATACTCAACTACTGAGCCATGCTGGCTGGGCTGGATTTGATAATTTTTAAAAAATATATATATATTTTATTGATTTTTTACAGAGAGGAAGGGAGAGGGATAGAGAGTTAGAAACATCGATGAGAGAGAATCATTGATCAGTTGCCTCTTGCATAACCCCTACTGGGGATGCGCCCGCAACCAAGGTACATGCCCTTGACCGGAATCGAACCTGGGACCTTTCAGTCCACAGGCTGACGCTGTATCCACTGAGCCAAACCGGTTTTGGCTGGAGTTGATAATTTTTTAAAAAATTTTTATTAAATTTATTGGAGTGACGTTGTTAATAGGATCATATAGTTTTTAAGTGTGCATTTCTATGATATAGGATCTGTATATTGCATCATGTGCCTACCACCTAAAATCAAATCACCTTCTATCACCATATATTAGGCCCCCTTCTGCATTACCCCCTTCCCTCTGCTAACTATCACATACTCTGTGTCCACGAGTTGTTATAGGTATATCCCATGGATGAGTGAAATCATGGTTCTTAGCTTTTCCTAGCTGACTTATTTCACGTAGCATAATATTCTCAAGGTCCATCCATGTTGTCACAAATAGAAGTATTTCATCTTTTCTTATGGTTGAGTAGTATTTGATTATGTATGCAAAACCACATCTTTATCCAGCTCTCTGTCTAAGGACACTTTGGTTGTTCCATGTCTTGGCCATTGTGAGTAATGCTGCAATGAACATGGGGGTGCATATGTCTTTGCAAAAGACACATTTTTTTTGTTGTTTGTTTGTGTGTGTTTTTGGTGGATACCCAGAAGAAAGATTTTTGGGTCATATGATAACTCTATTCTTAATTTTTTGATAAGTCACCAGATTGTTTACCAGAGTGGCTGTACCAATAATTGTTTTGTTTTTAAGTTTGCTTAGTTGTCTATTTGCATATTATGAATTTATTCCCAAACTCTCCTACATTACTATAAAAGGCTGGCCAAACACTATAGGTACTTTTTGTTTTATCATTTTCTCTTGGAAGCATCTCTCCAGTCTGAACCTGCTGTGAAGGCCTCAGTATTGCCTCCCTGTCATTTCCCTTCTTCTTCATCCTGAAGACTTGCTGTGCCTCTCTTCTGTTTCCTAGAAATCCTTGTTGTTTATTCCCTGGTTTAGGAGAGCACACTCTCCAGGAGCCTACTGAGAAAAAGTCCATAAGTTTTTGAGAGCTCTCATATCTGAAAATGTCTTTCTTCTCTCTTCATAATGAATGGGTCAGTTACAAATTTTCATAATAAAATTCTTTTAAAAATTACTTCAGCCTTGAAGACACTGTACCACTGTTTTCTATCTTCCAGGGTTTGTTGTTGAAAACAACATTTTCATTCTTTATCTTTCTTTTTTTTAATTTTTTTAAATAAATCTTTATTGTTCATATTATTACAAATGTTCCTCATTTCCCCCTCTCCCCTCCATTGCTCCCCTTCACCAGGTTCCTACCTCACCTCTGCCCTTCCCCCACCCCCCATTGTCCTCATCCATAGGTGCACAGTTTATGTTCAATCTCTTCCCACACCCCCCTCTTCCCCTTTTCCCTGAGAATCGTCAGTTTACTCCCCTTCCATACCTCGGATTCTATTATATTCACCAGTTAATATTGTTCATCAGATTTTTTTTTTAATTCCCTTTGTTTTTAGATTCACTTGTTGATAGTTACGTATTTGTTATTCATAGTTTTTATCTTTATTTTCTTCCTCTTCCTAAAAAACACCCTTTAGCAATTCAAATAATTCTGGTTTGGCGGTGATGAACTCCTTTAGCGTTTTTTTATTTGTGAAGCTCTTTATCTGGCCTTCGATTCTGAATGATAGCTTTGCTGGGTAGAGTATTTTTGGCTGTAGGTTCTTGCTATTCATCACCTTGAATATTTCTTGCCATTCCCGTCTGGCCTGCAAGGTTTCTGTTGAGAAATCAGCTGACAATCATTTGGGTGCTCATTTATAGGTAACTATTACCTGCTTTGCTCTTGCTGCTTTTAATATTCTCTCTTTGTCTTTTGCTCTTGGAATTTTATTTTTTTTTAAAAATATATTTTATTGATTTTTCACAGAGAGGAAGAGAAAGGGATAGAGAGTTAGAAACATCGATGAGAGAGAATCATCGATCAGTTGCCTCTTGCACACCACCTACTGGGGATGCGCCCACAACCAAGGTACATGCCCTTGACCCGAATCGAACCTGGGACCTTTCAGTCCCCAGGCCGAAGCTCTATCCACTGAGCCAAACCAGTCCCGGCTGCTCTTGGAATTTTAATAATGATGTGTCTCGGTGTGGTCCTCTTTAGATTCCTTTTGTTTGGGGTTCTGTGCACTTCCTGGACTTGTAAGTCTAATTCTTTCACCAGGTGGGAGAAGTTTTCTGTCACTATTTCTTTCAGTATGTTTTCGGTATCTTGCTCTCTCTCTTCTTCTGGGACCCCCATAATTCTGATGTTGGTTTGCTTGAAGTTGTCCCAGAGGTTTCTTACATTATCTTCAACTTTCTGGATTCTCTTGTCTTCTTGCTTCTGCGGAGGAATGTCCTCTGGCTCTTTATGTTCCAAATATTTGACTTGATTCTTGCAATCTTCCATTCTGTTTTTATTGATTTTGTACAAAGAGGAAGGGAGAGAGATAGAGAGTTAGAAACATTGATGAGAGAGAGTCATCGATCAGCTGCCTCTTGCACACCCATAACTGGGGATATGCCTGCAACCAAGGTACATGGCTTTGACCGGAATCGAACCCGGGACCCTTCACTACCCAAGCCGACGCTCTATCCATTGAGCCAAACCGGTCTCGGCTTCCATTCTGTTTTTAGAACTCTGTAATATTTTTTATTTCAGACAGTGTATTCTTTATTTCTTGTTGATCCCTTATTATTTCTAGTTGTTCCCTTTTCATATCCTCATAGGTCTTATTTATTTTATCGGCTTTTTCTAGGAAATTCTTGAAAAACCTTATAAGTGTGGTTTTGAACTCTATATCCAGTCGCTTTTTGTCCTCCATTTCTTTCGTTTGTCATCTGTTTCTTTGTCTCGGCATTTTCTTTCTTTCTTTCTTTCTTTTTTATAAATATATTTTATTGATTTTACACAGAGAGGAATTGAGAGGTATAGAGAGTTAGAAACGTCAATGAGAGAGAAACACTGACCAGCTGCCTCTTGCACACCCCCCACTGGGGATGTGCCCGCAACCAAGGTACATGCCCTTGACTAGAATCGAACCCGGGACCTTTCAGTCTGCAGGCCGACGCTCTATCCACTGAGCCAAACTGGTCCCGGCTGTCTCGGCATTTTCGCAGCTTCCCTGAGTTGGTAGCCTTAAAAGTCTCTGTGTTAAGCTTGGATGGGGTGGAGTTTCAGGGTGGAGCCTACAGCCTTGGCTTCCGTCAGCCACACCCTATGAGGCTCCCGAGTCTCAGTGTTCCTCAGGGTCCTTCAGTACTTGCTGCAAGCACCTCGGAGAGTGAGGTGCCCTGGAGCTTCGCCTGCTACCAAACAGTCTAGGCTCTCCCCCAATGAGCCTGGAACTGGGGTTCAGTTCAGTTGGAAGTGGAGTTGGAAGTGGGGTTCAGAGCAGTCTGGAGCTTTTGTCTCCTTCCCGCTAGAGCAATCAGCGGCATAGTCAGCACTCAGTTCTCTGCACGAAATGTGCACGCCTCCGGGACTTCCTCTCACTGCTCCCCTGGGTTTTGCTTTACAGCCCAGGCTCCCTCTGTATGAGCCTGGATCCCCAGGGTCTGGCCTAGAACTGGGGTTCAATGCAGTCGGAACTGGGGCTCAGCACAGTCCGGAGCTTTTGTCTCTCTAGGGTAATCTAGCAGCAGAGTCAACAGTCCGTCCTCTGCACAAAATGTGCGCGCCTCCTGGGGCTCTGCCTTTTGCTGCTCCCCTGAGATTCCGCCTTACAGCCCAGGCTACCTCTGTATGAGCCTGGGTCCCCAGGGTCTAGCCTAGAACTGAGGTTCAGCACTATTGGGTCTGGGGTTCAGCACAGTCCAGAGCTTTTATCTCCTTCCCGCTAGGGAACGCCAGCCAGGCATTCAGCCTCCTCCTCCTCTCCGGCTCTGTCCTCTTCATGCGCGCAGCGTGTCTCCGTACCTTAGGCTTTTACAGCTCCTCTGATTTTCCTTCTGGTTTTCTCTTTCCTTCTTGTTGTAGATTTTCCAGTCAGTCGACTTTCCTGTAGTTCTGGGTAATGTCCATTTTGTATTTTAGTTGTATTTTATTGAAATTGTTGTGTGAGGCTGTGGTTAGGCATCCACCTATGCAGCCATCTTGGATCCCCTCCTTTTTTTCTCTTAAGTTTTCAAAACTGTCAGATTCTCCCTTTGTATTGAGCAGTACTATGCTTTTGACAGATGCACAGAACTGCATATTGTCCACTACAGTCACAATACGGATCAGTTTGATACTTTAACCTTTTGAATGAAATATTTTTCTTTCTGAAGTTTTGAAATCCTTTTTGTCTTTAATCTTTGGAGATGCTCTGTCCTCAGGTGAATCTTTATGCTTACCTTTTATACAGACTGTCAACTCACATCTTTAAGCACTGGGGAAATTTTTGTTGGATTGTTTCTTTAATTATTTCCTTCTCTACGAACTGCTCTTGCTTTTAAGAACTCTCATTTGATCTCCTGAACTGATTCTCTAATTTTCTTTCTGCTTTATATTTGTGTTTTCTTCTTTGAAATTTCCTGAACTTTCATGTCAATTTTGCTGATATTTTAGTGGGATTTTTGGAAAAAAGGAAGATCTATAATAATAAAAGCCTAATATGCTACTAGACTGGACACCCAAACTACCTTCCAGATGAAGCCAAGGCTGCCAGGGCCGAGCCCCTTGCATGAATTTCATGCATCAGGCCTCTAGTAAACTAATGAATTTAGTGGCTTTTATTTTTAACTGACTATCCTGGCTTCTAGTTTTTCATCCTATATTAATATCTCACATTTCTCAATTCAAGCTTATTTGGTATTTGTTGCATGTATCTGTTTATCTGTCTTCCAGAAATTGAGACTGAATTAGGCATGGAATACTTGAGAAAAAAAATCTCAAGCAGTTTCCCTCTATATACCAAATAATTAATTGCTATTAACTTTTAAACATTTTAGGAGTTTTGAAAATATATAGAACATAGCAAATTACTTTTTAAGTGTTGATGTCATTTTTCAACAATTCCAAATAAGATTATTTTATCTCTAATTTTCTCTGCCATTGCTTTCTCTGAGTATTTTCTCCCTCTAACCTCTTGTAATTATGTTATATTCAGGTAACATTTATGAGATTGCTAAGTGTGTGCTGACATAATGTAACAAATGAGATTGTGTGAGATCTCAAGTAATTTTGTTGGTGTGCATTTGTTTTTAAAATATTTGGCTTGTTTCCTTTCTCTGCTCAGCATATAAGCTCAGATCTGCTAAAGTAATCACATTTTTTTCTGAGATGGTCTCAAATCTTAGAAAAGCTATAACCAGGTTCTGGGTTGTTCCTAGAGTGGAGCAGTCTTATCAGAAGGTGATGGCCCTTTGGCATCAGCTACATGTCAACACCAAAAGCCTTATCTCCTGGAACTATCTGAGGAAGGACCTCGACCTTGTAAAGACCTGGAACCTGGAAAAGGTAATTGTCAAAACATCACCCCAGGCTCACATCCTACTGGCAAGCGTTTTTCAGAAGGACCTTTTTTTTCATCGCTGAGATCCTACTCACCCAATCAGAATAAAATGGAATCAGGGAGACTGGTTCAGGGTTAGGGGCCTGAGACTCTTAGGAACTAGAAACAGCAGCCTGAATGGTTAAGAAATTCCTGATGAAAATAACATATTTGGTCTTCTTGGTAGAGAGAGAAGGTTGTAGGCTTCTCACTGTAGGATGAGCATCTCTTTTGCACAAGTGTATGCAGTAGGGGAGTCTGGTGAATTAACCAGTATTAAAGATTATGTCTAAGGGGGCGCAAAGGGTGCTTCTGGGGTGCTAGTGCTGTTCTACTTCTTAACCCAGTGCTGATTATATGGAAAGTTCACTTTGTGAAAAACCAGCATAATTACAGTTATGGTTTGTATAATACATTATTTTGTGTCTACGTTAAATGTAAAAAGAGAAAACAGGAGAGAAAGTTATGTTCCCATTCTAGTGACGTTTTCCCTGGCTTTTCCTGTCTAGCTTCGGTTGTCAACACCAGAGGAGTGCCACCAGGTTATGAAGACCCTCCAGGCCCACTCTGAAGACTTCCTGCAAGATAGCCGTGACTCCGTGCTCTTCTCCGTGGCGGACCGTCTGCATCTGGAAGAGGAAGTGGAGGCTTGTAAAACCCACTTCCAGCACCTGATGAAATCCATGGAGCACGGTGCGTGTGCCTCGGGAAGAGGAAGAGTGCAGGTGGAATGAGAGTTCTGAAGGGTGCTGCAAGACCCTGCATATAAACTCAAAGTACTATTACCACTCACATTAAAACTTTGAGAGAGAAAAACTCATAGAGATAAATTCAGATCATAGAAGAAGAGGCCATATTTTAGTCTTTATTGCTAATCAACCCATCACATTTTGTTATGGAAGTAACATGTTTGGGTCCTGAAAGATAATACTTATAATCATCTTTATATAGTTACATGATTGCGGGACTGTAGGATCAGGCATTAGGTTTCCCATTTAAGGTGGAATATCAGGTCTGCTGGAACCATTGGTACCCTCTTGTCTGAGGGTCAGTCTTTTTTTCCCAGACTTGCTGATCTCTACTGTGGTGCGTAATGGTCTCCTTTGCTTGTGTATTCACAGAGGACAAAGAGGAAACTGTAGCCAAGATGTACATCTCAGAGCTGAAGAATATCCGGCTGCGCCTCGAAGAGTGTGAACAGAGGCTAGTCAAACGAATTCAGACCCCAGCCAGCTCTGGGACTGACAAAGATGCCCGGCAGGACAGTGCATTAAGGATTGCAGAGCAAGAGGTAAGCCCTAAGAAAAAGGTGTGTGTTCGATGCACAGTAAATGCTTTCAGAATGAATTGGACAGCAAGAGAGTATTGGTCTTAAGAAATAAGGCAATAGACTCATGGCGATCCTACTTTCTGGCAGCCTGTAAGTGCCTTTACTTATGGAAAAGCTTGATTTCAGCTCCCACTATATTGCTGAACGTTGATTAGTTTCCTACACGGTTAGGAAGGCAAGCAGACTGGTGAGCTGCTCTAAGCACTGCATTTGGCTTTGTATTTAAAGACTGCTTTGTGGAGATGCTCTCTGTTCTATCTCTTATGTGTATGTTACTTCCTATTACGTAGTTCCTGCCAGCTATTTGACTCAAAAATGTTAAAAGAAAGAACAGATTCTACTCTGGGTTTTAGTGCACTTTCTCTGTGACTTTGAGCAAATTAACTATCATCTTTAGTTTCCTTTCTTATAAAATGGAGATAATATGAACTACCAATAAAAATTTTAGTTAACATTTTAGGAACAGCTTTTTGTCCAGTGCAGTTAGTTTTTCTTCCTTTTGCAGTATTTAATTTCTATTCTATCAAATGGAAAGAGCTTGCCTCCCCACCTCTCTCCTTCTTTATGTCAGAATAGATTGATAAATTAATATTTTTTTCAGTGGTTTGTAGTTTGCTACTACCTTTATTTTGATGTTCAAAATATTCCAAATTTAGTAATTGGTAGCCCCCTCAAGCTGGTTCCTATGTCATTTTAGTGTTTTTGTCAGCTTAATTGTTGCTTTATGGAAGGATAGAATTTTGGAGTTATTAATCCCACCATTTTTGGTGATGTCACTCCTAGTTCCTATGTCATTTTACTATGTCATCATTATTCTTTAAGTGCTTTATTAATTCTCAATAAAAAAAAATATTACAGGTTCACCTTGCCCTAGCCAGCCCCAACCCTGGGATCAGTCATTTCTCCAAGGAGTCCTGCTTCTTTTAGGAGGAGTATGTTATTTAGAAACCAAGATTTGGGTGCTGAGTGTGCTCACTGTTGTTGGGATGTCATTGCTCTAGGACTGCTCAGCAGATAGAGCTAGAAAACTTACAAACACATATGCAAACACATTCAAACACACTCCTGTGTTTTACACACATACTTATACACACATGTACATATAAATATACATTCGTGTGAGTATGTACATATAAATATATCACAAAAGTATATCAATATCAGTCTGTCACACATATACACACACAAAAACATCTATGATTTCGTATGTATCCTATCTCTATTCAGTTCCACAGGGCTTATTCTAACCTTTCCTCCTTCCCTTCCCCAAGGCCCAAAACCTACTTGATATTATCCTTAGCAAATTCTCTTCAGTTCTTACATGTACAGAGAGTACTTTTAGAATTGCTAAGTCATATTACTACAAAAAACAAACCTATTAACTGGAGTTCAACATTTACCTTTAGTTCTTTTTGTTGTTCGCCTAAAAGTATTTTAATAGTCCAAATACATTGTTCAGAAATTACCGTGTGTGTGTGTGTGTGTGTGTGTGTGTGTGTGTGTGCTTCCCCTTTTCCCCCTGCAGTGCTGTTTCAGAGTTTATTCAACCACCCTGTTATAGATGGCATTTAAGTGGCTTCCAGTATTTTGCTGTTATAAAGACTTCTTTCTAACTTGTTTAATCTATCTCTATCTTTGTTGTATGTCTTGTTCCTGACAGCATACCCAGGATGATTTGCAACAACTGAGGTCAGACTTGGATGCTGTCTCCATGAAATGCAACAGTTTTCTTCATCAGTCCCCATCTGGTTCAAGTGTTTCAACTCTGCACTCAGAACTCAATCTGCTGGTAGAGAAAATGGACCGTGTATATGGTCTCTCCACTGTCTATCTGAATAAGTGAGTGAGCTGAGGACTTGGGTCCAAATAGCAATGTTTCCATTGGGGTGAAAAGGGGAGGTGCCGGAGTGTTTCAATCAAGAGATTGCAGATCTTGAAGATCGTGTACCCATGATAAGAGACCATGGCTTTAGTTCAAGTATGGAGCGGGTACATTTGAGCTCCACTGAACAAATGTCAGTGGAGAGTGATTTGCAGTGCTGGGATCCAATTCTGTTTGATTACGTATCTCTAAAAAAATAAAAATAAAACAGAAAGCAAGAAAGAAAAAGGGACACTAAAGAATAAAAAGGAGAAATTTAAGTAAACAAAGTACAAATCTTTGAAGCTCTTCCCTCTAACTGCCCATGTCCAACTGTGACCTGGAGGATAAGCAGATTGTCGATGCTTCATAGTGTTGAGTGGGTTTCTGGCCTCACAGAGTCTACCGTGTGTGTGTGTGTGTGTGTGTGTGTGTGTGTGTGTGAGTGTGTGTGTCCATGTTCCACTGCTACCTAGAATTTTATTTTGAATTGGCACCACATATACCATGCTCTCATATTTTTATGAAATTGCTTTCTTATAGTTATGTTTTGTGAACTTCTCCTTAATGTTCCAGGTCTGTAGCCCATTTCATGTGTTAATGAAAGCGATTTTATCCTCACAGGCTCAAGACAATCGATGTTTTAATGCGTAACATTCAGGATGCTGAGCTCTTGGTCAAAGGTTATGAGATCAAGCTGAGTCAAGAAGAAGCAGTACCAGCAGATCTCTCAGCTCTGGAGTCCCATCGCTCTACATTACGGGTTCGTTGCTCTGAGTTTTTTAGGAGGTTGTCTTAATACAGGGATAAGCAAAAGTAGGCTTACAGTTGTATGTGAAAGACAGAGTTTCTACTTGTATTATTTTTTTAAATTATTGTATTATTTATTTGTATTACAATTGTATATCTAATTTTGCCCACCTTTGTATATCCAGGGCTTTAAGGTAGCAGAGAAATACAGTTTGGATAGTATGACACTGATTTTAAGTTTGTATTTGAACTAGGAAGAATATCATATTTAATATATTTTAATATGTATTCAAAGAATAGATAGATAAGAAAACTGAGAGTCAGATTGACTAGATGACTTACTTTGGTTTCATAGCTTATAAGTGATAGAGCCAGGTTCCAAACACAAGTTCTTTGCGCATTTCTCTCTACTGTACTGCCTGCTCTTGGCTGCCTGTGTGCTTGAGAACATGGAGGCATTTCTGGCACAGACATTATAGGGTCTAGCTTCTGAATCACAGATATAATGTGACAACATACCCTTGTTATCTTCCTTAGTCTGAGTCTTTCTTACCTCTTAGCATGGAATATTTTTAATCTTGTATTGCTGTGCTTGTTTGGAATAGCGCTGGCTTAGTGATGTCAAGGACAAGAATTCAGTGTTTTCAGTCCTGGATGAGGAAATTGCCAAGGCCAAGGTGGTGGCAGAGCAGCTGAATCGTCTGACCCCAGAGCGAAGCCTGGATTTGGAGCGCTATCAGGAAAAAGGCTCCCAGCTACAGGAACGCTGGCACCGGGTGGTTGTGCAGCTTGAGACCCGGTGAGTGGTAGCCCTACCCTTTTCTCCTAGTAGTGGTCAGGGACTAGATCACATGTGCCAAACACAAGGCCCTCGGGCCAAATCCGTCCCGCCAGGCCTTGCAATGTGGCCCGCACCGCGCTGTCATCACTGCACCCCGCTGCATTTCCATCACAATGACAGTTTATGACTGTTCAGTAAACCATTCGGCCCACGATTTAGGCTGGATTTTAGATTTTGGCCCCTTCTCTGATTGAGTTCGACACCCCTAGACTAGATTTTAAACAAACCCAGAGTAATATCTGTGTGTTCGTGTTTAAAGGCAGGAATTGATAGGGAGAGGTAGAAATGAAGTAATGTTATGAATTCTGAACAAGATACGTGACAGGAAATTGGGACCACCAATCCCAAGGTAGACTTGAGTCTTGCTTTTGAGTCTGCATTGATGGTCCTGGTGCTTCTCCTGTGTCTGGGTCGTACCTCCTTAAGTGATGATGACAATAGGATGGAAAGAAGATTTGGTGATCTACTCTCAGGGATAGCATCTGGGTTCGGGCCTCACTTTACTAGCTTTGAATCTAAATTTGAACCAATTTAATAGTGGGCCTTTGCAGAATTTCTTGCTTTCTTTCATTTGCTAATTCTTTGGTTTTATCCCTATAACTTGAGATCTTACTTCTGATGACTGATTTGAATAAGAAAGATCGAAAACTACTTATCTGGAGCTAGGCTGGGTAGGCAGATATATAAGGAGAGGAGTTATAGTAACTCCTAAGTTTGGATTGATTCTCTATAATTGAGTTACTATTCCAATGCTAGCTAGGCTAACAAAAATGTTATAAGAAATAACAGTAGCCCTAACCGGTTTGGCTCAGTGGATAGAGCATCTGCCTTTGGACTGAGAGGTCCCAGTTTCGATTCCGGTTAAGGGCATGCACCTTGGTTGCAGGCACATCCCCAGCAGGAGGTGTGCAGGAGGCAGATGATCGATGTTTCTCTCTCATCGATGTTTCTAATGCCCTAACCCTCACCCTTCCTCACTGTGAAAACATAAAAAAAAAAAAATATTTAAAAAAAAGAAATAACAGTAAATTATTATTTTTCACCCACCCTACCTCCACTGCCCTCTCCAAGAAATTAGAGTGATCATAAATAATAGGTGGGTTAATCTGACAGGTACTCTGTTATCAGGGTCAGAAGTGTACACTCAGTACTACCTTACTGGCAACCCTGGTAATCCTTGGCCTTCTAGGTAAAAAATTTGACAAGGATTATCATGGGATGCCAGGGCACTGGGTACATGCATAACTCTCTGCATTGTTTGATGTTCCCCTGTTTTTTACTCACTTTTTGCCCCATAGGGCACTGGGTACATGCATAACTCTCTACATTGTTTGATGTTCCCCTCACATAAAAATGTATCCTCTTTGGTTGAGCTCAGCTGGACGCATAGGTTGCTGAGGGAATTGTCTCATTTACTTCATTGTATTGACACCAAATATCTAACGACAGTTTTTCTCTGCTCCTCCAGCCAATCTGAACTAGAAAGTATCCAGGAAGTTCTGGGAGATTACCGAGCCTGCCATGGAATGCTCATCAAATGGATCGAGGAAACCACTGCCCAGCAGGAGAGGATGAAGCCAGGCCAGGCAGAGGACAGCAGAGTGCTGTCGGAGCAGCTCAGCCAGCAGACGGTGGGTACAGCAGTAGCACAGTGGAAGTTGGCAAGGGCGGGGGGTTAGTTCATCATAAAAGAAGATGATGTGCTAGCAGTTAAACTTCCCCTAAATGGTAAGACATTCTGAGCCGTCTTCTGAAAAGGGTTCAAGCAGGATGGTCTCAAGATACTGGTGTTGCATTTAGCCCAGATGACCTATAAGGTCCCTTTTAATGCTGAGTTTCTTTGAGTATAATATTGAAATCACTTGATGGACAGGTTAAAATTATTTTGGTTTTGCCCTGGACAATTTTGCTCAATGGTTAGAGCATTGCCCTCAGACCAAAGGGTCAAGGTTTGATTCCTGGTCAAGGGCACATACCTCAGTTGCAGGTTCCTTCACAGGCACATGCATGAGGCAACCAACTGATGGGTCTCTCTCTATCACATTGACATATCTCTCCTCTCCCTCTCCCTCTCCCTTTTCCTCATTCCCTCTCCTTTGCTTTCTAAAAATTTAAAAAAATCAATGGAACAAATATTCTCAGGTGAGGATTAAAAGAAAGTATTATTTTGGTTTATTTTGTTCCTTATTTTGGTTTATTTTTTTAAGCCTCACCTGAGGTTATGTTTTTATTGATTTTAGAGAGAGAGGAAGCAGTCGGGGGGGGGGGGGGGGGGGGGGCGGGGAGAGAAAACACATCAGTTGCCTCCCAAAGGCACCCTAACTGGGGATTGAACCTGCAACTTAGGTATGTGCCTTTACTGGAAACTTAACCTGCAACCTTTTGGTGTATGGAATATTGCTCCAGCCAACTGGCCAGGGCTGGTTTATTTTGTATCTTGGTATTTAATTTTATTTTAGAAGGACTAGAGTATGGAGGAATGCAAACCCAGGGAAAACTGTGAGTGTAAGAAAATTATTACATCCAAAGCAGTTTTTATTTGTTGGTATCTTGGGGTCTATTGTTTAGCGTTATGGTTAGGTTGCCTGGATTTCAATCCTGGTTTGCTCACTAAGCAAATTACTTAATCTCTCAGTGTTCTACTTCCCCATCAATAAAATAAACTAGTCTATTATTTGTTCAGTTGACCTCAAAGTTATTGTTGTTAGGATTAAATGGAGGGATACATGTAAAATACTTAGAATAGTGCTTTTCAAAGTGTGGACTCCAGACTAGTAGCATCATTTGGGAACATGTCAGAAATGCAAATTCTCGAACCTAAACCCAAACCTACTGAATCAGAAACTCTGGAGGTGGGGCCCAGCAATCTGTGATTTATGCTGTCTTCCAGATGTTCTGATGCAGGTAAGGTTGGAAAACCACTACCTTAGAACCTAACAGATGTTCAGCTGATTCAGTGATGGTAATGACAATGGTAACGGTGTGATATTTTGGTTCCTAGGATCTGTTTGCAGAAATTGAGAGAAATCAGACAAAACTGGACCAGTGTCAAAAACTTTCCCAGCAGTACTCCACGGTTGTAAAGGTAACTGCCATGTCCCATAAGTGACCTTCAGCTTAGGAAGACCTGCATTGTCACTGTAGGTTTCCCACTGCAGCTCTCCTGCTGCAGGCTGGCCCTATCCTTCAGGGAGTGCAGCTTGTACTGCTCATGGCCCACAGTGGAGGTGCTCAGAGAGGCACCAGGTGTCAGCTCTGATTTGAAGATTCTTCATTTAGGTGACTCACAGGCCTCAAACTTAATATGTCAAAAACAGAATATTTGGATTTTCTCATATAGTATCACCATTTTCGTATTTACTGAGGAAAAAAAAACAAACACAACAACAAAACCCACAAAGTGACCCTTAACAGTTCTTTTCGCCTTAAACTTTATGTTCAGTCTTTGAACGAGTTGGCTCCATCTTCCAATATGTCTTGGACCTGACTGCCTCTCATTACCCACCCCTCACCCTGTCCCTGGCTCACATCTAGTGAGACAGCTTCCTTAGACCACTGCACTGCCTCCGAGCTGAATGTGGCTTCTGCTCCTTCCCCCACTGGCTGTTTTCCCACACAGTCGCAGAATCACCTTTTTAGAACATACTACATGTCACAGAATTTCAGATACCACATAGTATATGCTCTATCAAAAAAGAAGAAACTCTGCCACTTATGCAAATGCCATTGATTGTAAAACATATTCTAATTCTAGAGCTACTAAAATGTGGGGGAAATTTGCACCTTACAATAGATGAAACAGTAAATGGAGCACATTATTCTCCAGCTCAAAATTTTCCAAAGACTTTATATCATGTTTATAATAAAATTTTAGATTCTTATTTGGTTTCTGAGGCCATGTCTGACCTCCCCCCATTTCTCTGATAACATCTTTACATAAAAATGACCTGTGATTATTATATATGCATTTGTTTATTATCTGTCTTCTCACTACAATGTAAGTTCCAGGGGAGAGGCGAGGTTTTTTCTGGCTTGATTTCCACTATGTGTGTAGCACTCAGAACAATGGCAGACACATAGTAAATGCTCAACAAATAATTTTTGGTGTAGGGGATGATGCTTCAACCAACTAAGTCTCCAGGCCAGGGCTATTTTTGAATGAATGCATTTCTCTAGTTAATAGCAGAAGACTTGGTGTCGTAAGATTTGAGTTCACATCTTAGCTTCACCATTTTCAGGCTTTAGAGCACTTAGCCTCTCTGATTATCTGTTGCAATATGTACACAGTGGGTACAGTAACAACCTCATCGAGTGATTGTAAATATTAAATGGGATAATGTATGCATAGGACAATGCTGCAAACCTAAACTACATTCAGTAAATGGCAGCATGTGCTTATATTATTATTACTATTTTATTATTACTACTACTATTGTTTTTCTTTAGGTCGCTTAAGGAACTCATTCCATGTTTTCCTCCTGCATTCTGTTTTCTATGTAGACAACACAAAGCAGGATATTCTAGGCAAAAGGAGCTGCATAATCAAAAGCACAGAGGAATGAACATACAATGATTGCATGAGGAAATAGGGAATATTCTAGCTGGAAGGAGGCTGGGCCCGGCCTTAGAAAGGCCTTGTTCAGTTCTTTTGCTTTACTCATTATTCTTGCTACTCAAAATGTGGCCTTTGAAACAGGTCACATTTTGAATAGCAAGAATAGTAACCAATTTGTTAGAATGCAGAATCTTCAACCTCCCAAGTCAGAATCTGCATTTTAACAAGACCCCCCCCAGATGATTTGTATGCATGTTGATTTTTGAGGAATTTTCGCTGTAGGTCATTGAGCAGAGGAAAAAACTTTTAAGCAGAGAGAAAAAGTGATCATCTTTGTTTTAGAAAGGTTACTCTGGTGGAGAGTAACTAAGAAGCTCTTGTACTTGTCTTGTGAGAGATGGAGAGGGCCTAACTAGGGCATCACTCAGAATTACAGGGGACGTGGCAAGAGCATGGCCATATGAGTAGAGCATTAGTTTAGGGATTCTAATCTGGCCTTTGTTGCTCACCCGCTAGTTAAATAGAGAAATTCACTTCCTGTCTTTGGGCTTCACTTGCCCATGTATGAAAAGGATAGTCAGCAAACAGACTTTAACTATGACCCACAGGCTAAATCTAGCCTGTACACCTATTTTCATATGTCCCATAGAGGTGGCTAAAAAAAGGGGGGCCGATAATACTTTGTGACACATGAAATTTATAGGAACTTCATTCAGCTGTCAGTGTCCATAGGTAAAGTTTTATTCTAATACAACCACACTCTCATTTACATATTGTCTGTGGCTGCTTTCATTTACAGTGGCAGACTTGAGTAGCTGTGACAGAGACAGCATGGTCCCATAGTGTCCATCTGGCCCAACACAGGAAAACTTTCTAACCTTCCATTTAAAAGACCACCAAATGCTTTCCAGTAATGAAATATTGTGATTTCTATTACATGATGTGTGTGAGCTATAAAGCCCCGTGTAAACAGTGAAATTTTTTTCCTTCTCAGGACTACGAATTGCAACTGATGACATATAAGGCCTTTGTGGAATCCCAGCAGAAATCCCCTGGCAAGCGTCGTCGCATGCTTTCTTCTTCGGATGCCATCACACAAGAGGTGAAAGGGTGGGGAAAGGACATGTGCCACTGTCTTCCCTTAAGGAGATTCCTTGTCTGGGTCGTGCAGTTTGATTTGCAGCTTACCTTTCTGTTGAGCATGTGAATTCATGAAAACTTTCTCTTTACTTTCAACTATTTAAATATACTTTTCTGGTGGGTAATTTATCTAAATTGTTTTTTTGAACCATAGTTCATGGACTTAAGGACTCGCTATACAGCATTGGTGACTTTAACAACTCAGCACGTAAAATATATCAGTGATGCGCTCCAGCGGCTGGAAGAGGAGGAGGTAAGGACAGTTGGGTTCTAAATCGTCTTGAAAGTGGAATTTAAAACCTTGTGCCTCAGCCCTAGCCGGTTTGGCTCAAGACAGAGCATTGGCCTATGGACTGAAGGGTTCTGGGTTTGATTTTGGGCAAGGGCACATGCCCGGATTTCTGGCTTGATCCCCAGTAGGGGGTGTGCAGGAGGCAGCAGATCAATGATTCTCTTATCATTGTTGTTTCTCTCTCTCTCCCTCTCCCTTCCTCTCTGAAATAAAATATATATATATATATATATATATATTTTTTTTTTTTTTAAAACAACAAAAAAAATCCCCCAGAAAACCTATGCCTCATCTGTCAAAATGTAAAGTGTACACACAGCCAATTTTCTTAATTCATAATAGTTGTGTTCTATGAGTTGCTGAAAACACTGCATTTGTGAATACTGAACTCTTTGCAGCTGGAGAAATGAGGGTTAGGTTCCAACAAGCCTCTGGTCACAACATTTTTGTTCACAGAAAATGCATAAACTAGTATTATATGTGTTGTGCTTAGGAATGCAAGACAGCACCTCAGCACTGCATTTGGGTCCATTTTAAACAGTGAAACCACTATCAGAAAACACAAAAATAAGAAAACCCCGGCACTCAACAGACACTTGTTTACAGTATAAAAGCTGGATCAAGGCAACAGAGTGTCACCTTATTCTACCCCAGCTGGGAACATTGGGCACCTGAAATATTTTGCAACCACTCTGCATGTCTGGGAATGACTGTGAAAAATGCACAAATATTGATTTTGGGGTTATAAATAAATTTTAGAGAGTAGGTAAATATGGAATCTGTGAATAATTATGAGGATTGACTATATTATGTCCAACATTCTCACTTCCAAATATCTTTAGTATGGATATATTTTAAGTATGAAGGAATGATGTGAATAAAAGTCATTAATAAAACATGATTTGGTAATGGGAAATATTGGAAACATCCAGATTCTATACATGAAATGCTATGAAGCTGTTAAAAATAATGAAATAGGTTTACATGCAGTGACAAGGGAATATATATAATTAAAATATATTATTTGGGGGGGAAACAAGTTAGAATACTATGTATATTTATGATTTATAATTATAAAAATCTATGTCTTTGTAAAATAAATTTCCATATATCTAACTACGCTTATAAAAAGAAATGCTTTTGGAAACATTAACCCATCGCAATTTTTGCCTGTGTAAATTAGCAAAATATGTCCTTTATGTCAATATCTATCTCACTTAATCTCTGTAAACTTTAATTTCTTTACCTGTAAATATAAGAATTATGAAAATAAGTAAGCTGTGATTGTGAAGGGCTTTTTAAAATCACTAATTACTGAATATCTATCACATATAAAAAGTGTGCTTTTAAAGAAAGGTGCTGCCCTACTTGGTTCAGCTTAGTGGATAGAGCATCAGCCTGCTGAATGAAGAATCCCAGGTTCAATTCTGGTCAAGGCACATGCCTGGGTTGTGGGCTTAATCCCAAGTAGGGGGCATGCAGGAGGCAGCCAATCAATGATTCTCTCTCATCATTGATGTTTCTCTCTCTTTTTCTCTCCCTTCCTCTCTAAAATCAATAAAGATATTTAAAAAATAATAATAAATAAATAATAAGAAAGGTGCTAAGCTGGATATAATGAACTTACATCCCATAGTTAGGCACCTGTGAGCAGTGCTCTAGGCTGGGTAAATTATGTTATTTTAACTACTTACTGATTTAGGTAACTCTTGTGTCTCTATTTTAGGAAATCTGAACTTAGGCAAGTCCAATAAGATGAACCAACATACTGATTTTCTATTTCCTGTTCTAGAAAGTGGTAGAAGAGGAAAAACAGGAACACGTGGAGAAGGTGAAGGAACTTTTGGGTTGGGTGTCTACCCTAGCAAGGAATACACAAAGCAATGCTACCTCATCCCAGACCAAAGAATTGACAGACATTGAAAAAGCTATTTTAGAACAGCAGGTAAGTAGAAGGTCTATCTTACTCTTCCTGGGTACAATCATATAGGATCATGCATTCGGTGGTATAATATAAGTCACATATGGGCCACCGAGGAGGGATTGTTATCTCAGTAAATGTTATCTTTGAAGTTATCTTATTTATAGTTCTACCTTTTTTTTTTTTTTTTTTTAATCAGCTCTACATAGACCACTATAATCTGGACTATGCTGTTTTCACCTTGAATTTTTTAAAAGTTACTTCACATAATTTTTGATTCTTTAATTATTTTAGGTTCTGAAGCTTTTCTCTTTATTTCCACTAAATAGGTTCTGGCAGAGGAGCTGACAACCAAGAGAGAACAAGTTTCTGAGGCCATTAAAACTTCACAGATCTTCTTGGCCAAGCATGGTCATAAGTAAGTATTAGATGAGAGATTATGGCACACCTGGGAGACCAGATCTACCTGGCTAAACCTTAGGGTCATGAAAAGAATTCAGGCTGGAGAATTCAGGGCAGCAAAATTCAAATGATGAAGAACTTTGTAGTTCATGTTGAATTTGCATTTTACCTTGTTGGCTTTGTGGAGGGATCATAAACATGGTTGAATTTTGTTGAAAAAGATTTCTAGAACAATTTATTTTTATTATTTATTTATTAATTAAGATATTACATGTGTCCTTATTCTCCCATTACCCCTCCAAACCTCTCCTCCCCCCCATTCATGCCCTTACTCCCCTGTTGTCTGTGTCCATTGGTTAGGCTTATATGCATGCATACAAGTCCTTTGGTTGATCTCTCCCCTTATCCCCATCCCCTACCTTCTCTGAGGTTTGATGTTCTGATTGATGTTTAATAGAGAATGTGTTGACTTGGGGCAAGAGTAGAGGTCTGAGCGACCACTTAAGAGGTTGTTCTGATAATATAGGCAAGATATGATGAGGATGGAAAGGAGACAAATATTTTAAAGATATTAAGAATTATGAATTTATAGAGTTCGGTGACAAACAAAAATGATCAGATATAACTCTGGTTTCTGGCTTAAGCCATTGGATGTATGGTGCTGCCACTCACCAAGAGAGGTATTACAGGAGAAGTTATGAATTGAGGGAGAAGAGGGCAGCTTTAGTTTCATATGTTAGGAACGTGAAGACCCCACAGGACATCTGAATGGAAGTACCTAGTATGCCTTAGGAAGCACCTAATACATTAAGTTATCCAATGGGCAACTGCATATGTAAATTTAGAATTAATAAGAGAAGTCTAAAGCGATGGAGATTTGAGTCATCAGCAGCGTAGAAACCGTAAGAGTGAATTAGTTTATAAGGCTCAGGGGCTTCTCAATGGCTTCTCACCCTGTAAAGGAAGCCTTAGAGAAATAAAAGGAAAATGATGAGTTATACCTCAGAACCCAAGAGAGAACAGAACTCTAAAGAGAAGGGAGTGGTTAGAAGTAAAAAAAGGTCAAGACTGAGGCCCATCTATTAAATTCCATCTATTAAAGTTGGAAGTTTTTGGTGATTCTGGTGAAAAGTTGGGGAATGATGTTAGATTTAGTGTAGTGGAGAGCACTTGAAGTAAGGAAGGTAGTGACAATAAAATTAGATACTCTTTTTAAAAAAAAATAAACAAACAAACAAACATGTTTTTATTGATTTCAGAGAGGAAGGAATAGATTGAAACATCAGTGATGAGAATCACTGATCAGCTGCCTTCTGCATGTCTCCTACTGGGGATTGAGCCCGCAACCTGGGCATGTGCCCTTGACTGGAGTGAAACCCAGGATCCTTCAGTCCACAGGCTGATGCTCTATCTACTGAGCCACACCAGCTAGGGCTGAAATTACACACTCTTTAAAGAAGCTTGACCATAGGAAAGGAAAGGAAAGAAATAATAAAGTAGAAATAATTACAATAGAATATAACCAATAAAGAGTTTTGTTTTCTTAAAGAGATCAGTGGGAGTTAACTGTATTTATGTACTGTATCTCAAGGGATGTTAAGGGAGAAAGACTGACGTGCTAGGGAGAGGTGCTGGAGGATGTGAGAGGATAAGATTCATCACTGGGTGGAAAGGACACCTTAAAGGTTGAGACAGCTTTTCTTCTGGAGTCTGAGAAAAAGGAGATTAAGAAAAGTGTGAATAAACATTTAAAAATTAAATAAAAAGGGAGCATTTGAGATCTTTCTCTCCCTGGCATATGTCACCAGTTGGACTCAAATAAACTCATAAAAATTCTTTTTATAAAAAGGAAAGAAAGATGTGAATATATGTTAATATGACAGGAGTGAAGCCAGAAAGTGAGAGAATTAGTGCCCCAGTGGTCTGTATGTTGTCTTTGAAATAGGTAGAGAGCCCAGCCAGCGTGGCTCAGTGGTTGAGTGTTGACCTATGAACCAGGAGGTCATGGTTCAATTCCTGGTCCGAGCACATGTCTGGGTTATAAGCTCAATCCCCAGTGTGGGATGTACAGGAGGCAGCAGATCAATGATTCTCTTGAATTCGTCACTGATGTTTCTATCTCTCTCTTCCTCTCTGAAATCAATAAAAATAAATTTTGTTTTTAATCCTCGCCAGAGGATATTTTTCCATTGATTTTTAAAAAGAATGGAAGAGAGATGGAAAGACAGAGAGAAATATCGATGTGAGAGAAATGTATAGATTGGTTGCCTCCTGCACATGCCCTGACCAGGGCCTGGACGGAAGAAGTCTGTAACCAAGGTATGTGCCTTTGACTGGAATCGAACCCGGGACCCTTTAATGCAGGCGAAAGCTCTATCCCCTGAGCCAAACCATCCAGGGCTACAAATATGTGTGTGTGTGTGTGTGTGTGTGTGTGTGTGTGTGTGTGTGGTGTGTGTGTGTATTTTAACAAATAGATTGTTTGCCGCAAATTAGAGTAATGTTGAGGGGAAAGAAGGAAGGATTAACTCAGACGGCGCTGAAGTCTAGTGGAGGTCAGAGCCCAGTAGGATCTCTTCTGCATGGCTGTGGGATTTCTCCCTCACTGGTTATACTTAGCAGCCTGCATGTGGGAGCAGAGTTGGATTGATCTGGGGCTGGAATTTTATCAGTTTATGAGCGTGTAAGGAACTAATGGAGATGATGACTATGGGGTCAGGAAAAGAGAAGAAACTAAATATAATAGGTACACGCCCTTGACTGGAATCGAATGTTTCTAACTCTCTCTTCAGTGTTTCTAACTCTCTATCCCTCTTTCTTTCTCTCTGTAAAATATCAATAAAATATATTTAAAAAATAAAAAAATAAAAGCAATAACCTCATATGACTTATAAAAAAAAAGAATCATGACTTGATTTGAGATAAACAGGAAACTATGAGTTAGAAGCCATTGTTCAAGAAGTATGGAGCTTTGACCAGATGATCCACAGTTAGCAGTGACCAAGAAGAATACCATGTGAGGTGGAGAAATCATGATTATAAAGCCATAGAGGAGAGTTGGAGAAAGGTTTTTCTCTAAAAGAGCTTTAATGCTTCATCTTCCAGGCTCTCAGAAAAAGAGAAGGAACAGATATCTGAGCAATTGAATGCCCTGAATAAGGCTTACCATGACCTGTGTGATGGTTCAGCAAACCAGCTTCACCAACTTCAGAGCCAGTTGGCTCAGCAGACAGAGCAAAAGGTATTTTCAATTTTACTCTCCACATGTTGGGAGGGTATCTTTTCAATAGTATGAAAGTATCCTTGCTGATTGAAAGTCATGATCACTAGCTTCCCATGACCAATGTGACTTAATTTTTTTAACCTCACCTTAGCAGCCATTTGTCTTGCGTTTCTTACCTGGGGTTCCATGATGTATTGGTCAGTCAAAACTCTGGAAAGCATTTATGGCTAACTCTTTAGATGTGGTTCACCATTTTTGTTGTCTTCCATTTTGTGATGGACCACAGTCAAGGAGAATATAACTTTTAATGTCACAGGCAATAAGATTATTCCTTTGTGGCATTGTTACTTAAAAATTGATAGCCAAAAGTTCTGAATATTGGGGGGAAAAGATCATGAACCTCTTTCCCTCATGCTATTTTCCATATCTACTAAATAAATAAGAAATGTTTATTTTCAAAGCAAATTGGTGGGTTAGCTGCACTGACTGAGACGCTGGTTCCCCTTATCCATGGTCATCCCGTCATGTGACATCTTTACCAGTTCCCACTCATGTTCATTTCCTGGACCATATGGAAGTTGTTAAGTTTTTGCTGGTTGTCCTGAGTTCTTCCTGGATACTTGTGTATATGTAAACTTACCATATTATATACATGTGTCTCTGGGATATACATGTGTGTTTGCCTGCTTATTTCCTATGTTGTGAAGCAATGGCCAACTTATGTGGGGCAGGCCAAAATTAAAAATCATGTGGTAACCAAATTTAGTCTAGATGATGCTAAAAATTACATTCAGATAAATATTCTTTGACTCTGGTCCTTGGATATGAAATTTGTGCAGCAGGAGCTAGAGTTGTAAAGACCATAAGACAGAACCAGCTATGATTTATTTGAGAATAGATTTTCAAAAAGAAGTGCTGGTTTAGCACTCTCTGTGTAAGGTAGCCCACTTCTAATGGCTCGTTGCTTCACCATATACGGGTGTATGTGAAAAGTTTTAACAATTGCTTGCTGAGAACATCCAGTTCTCATTTTGAAAGGTTAAAGCAAAAGGGAGAAAATAAAGGGAGAAGCTGCTGAGCACCACTACATTGAGCATGATGTGTCCCTGTTACCGTTTGTGTGTTTCATGTGAAGTATTGTTCTGATTAACTGACATCCTTGCTTACAAGTTTCACTAACCCTTTGGAGTTTAAGCACAAATGCACAAAGGGAAAAGAGGACGACCTGTGTGGGGTTCTTTTTTGCAAAAACAAAACAAAACAAAACAAAAGTCGCATGCTGGATGCTAACACCAAGCTTACACTGTGTGTGCGATACGGCTGAGCTGCTCCATAAGGCTCTCTCTCTTATCTGCCCATGGCGTGCCCTGCGATGCTGGTAAGTAGAAGCCTTTTTGTTTTTTCTTCTTCTTTCCCTCTTCTGCTTGTTTAGGTCAGGATGCCCATGTTTGGTGGGTCTGAAAAGGATTTCTCTGGATATTTCCCAGCTCAGGGCTTCCTGCCTGTCCTCCAGTTCTGAGGGTGTTGAAAGGAACAGTGTGTAGTCTTTTCTCTCAGGCAAAACTCCAGGCATTTCTTCAGTATCGGCATTCTGAGACTCTGTGAATCTCACAGAAGAAATTAGAACTTCACAAGAGAACATTTTCCTTTGCTATATTTTCTGCTTCTGAATAGTTTTACATGGATTTTCTCAAGTTTTTTCATATATGTCAAAGGAGTCATATGGCTGTGTAATTTCTCCTTTGCTCTCTTTAGAACAGATACCTAATAGATTTGCATAGCATACATTTACCTTATACAAGTTAAACTCTGTGTTCTGGGTAAGAAAACAGGGGGTGTATATTGATTAATATTGTAAATAGTATGGAGAATGTCAGTTATTCCATTATTTAAACAAATATAGTGATATAGAGAAATGAGCCAAATTGCCATCCATTCTGTATCCCTTATAGTGTGCAATTAACCAAGCTTGAAATATTCAGTGAATATTTTAAAATCTGGGGGAAATAAGTTAGAGTTTAAGAGTTTTCTTACTATTTATCAATCTGTTTGTTTATTCATGAAATGTTTATTGGAATCCTGGTACTGCTCCTAGACACTGAACGGGCAAAGTATCTGTCTCTCTGGTGCTACTTCTCACAGAGACAGAATTGAAATGCATTATTTAGGCGTCAGGGAAGTGCTTGGCAATTGCCTCAACAAGATCCTCTATGGATAAGTTAAAGAGTTAAATAAGGATCAGAAATTAATACTGACCAAAGAAGGACAGATAAAACTATCCACCGAAAATGAAGATAAAGAACAAGAAAAGAAGAGGTAGAAAGTTGGAGAATAATAAAAAGGATGAAGTGTTGTAGGTGGTAAAACACTTGAATAATTTAATTTTTGAATACCATTACCTTCTATAATAATAAAAGCATAATATGCTAATTAGACCAGACAGCTGAATTACCTACCTGATGAAGCTGGGGCTGTGACGGCCGAGCTCCTTGCACAGATTTCATGCATCAGGCTTCTAGTTTCATGATAAAATGCTTCAAAATAAAAATCCTTAAGGAGCTGCTTTTAGGCTTTCTTTTTGAGACATTATATAAGAATTACCTTATTCACTCACCTCAGAACCTGACTCCTTTGTAAGATGTGAGTCTACTGTACTTACCCTTCCCACTCCTGGATTCAACTGGGAAGGAAGTATAATACCTCAAGATTTAGAGTCAGACTTTTATTTGATTCTGGAACTCACTAGTTTTGTGACGTTGAACACATTACCTAACTTCTCTGTGCCTCATTTTTTTATCTTCAAACTAAAGGTTAAAATAATTGTTTTCTTAGGATTGTTGTGAGGCTTAAAGATTAGTAACCAATAAATATATTAAGTGTCCAACAAGTGATAGTTATAATCATGGTTATTACCCATTCTAGCCTGGACTAGAAGAAAAGTTACTGGTGGATTCAGTGGCAAAGGTCCCAAGTCTGTTCTTTCCTTGACTTGCTAATTTCAATACCTAGAGCTAATTTAACTCAGCCATTGCCATGGCAAGTGCTAGCATTAACCACCAAGAGTATGATTGCCCCAGTTGCTAAGCAGCTGCTTGAGTAAAATACACAGGATGCTTTATTGAGATACACAACTGTTGTGTGGATATTGGGATGCTTAAATCTGTCTTCTAGTCCTGGGGACTGGTCCTGCTGAACTCATCAGCAGGAAAATACCACTTCAAGAGGCTTCTACAACACTGAGAAGTTGTTATATGGGGTTGAATTCTCATTTTGGGGAACTGGTATGTGTCTTAAGAACCTTTGTGGTGAGTTAGTCTTAGAAATAGCTGTCCTCTCACTTTCGCTGCTTGCTACTTTGTAGAGCTTGTCACTCAGGTATGCTTAATGCTGTCATTCCTCAAGTAATCTCTGAACTTCTTTTGGCCATGTTAAACATTCTGCAGTTTAGACTAATTCTTTTTTAGTATTAACTCTGGCAGGCTTCAGAATATTTCCTGAACTTTGGGGCCCTTCCCAGGCTGGGTATTTCTTATGGTCAGAATTTGATATACAGGGTGGTGCAAAAGTAGGTTTACAGTTCATGTGGAATATAATACAATAAGTAATAATACAAGAATAAATTGTTTTGCATACTCAGAACTATAAACCTATTTTTGCCCCACCCCGTAGTATAATTCTTTGAATGACTCCTTTCAACACTGTGCTTCTCTAATTTAATTTTCTTTTTCATTTTTTTCTTTCAGGGTTGCAGAGCAGTTGCTGGGGTGATTGACCTAGGCACGGTGGAGATATTTCCCATCTTCAGAGCCATGCAAAAGGGCCTCATTGACCAGGACACAGGCCTGGTGCTCCTGGAATCACAGGTTATCATGTCTGGCCTCATTGCCCCTGAGACCGGTGAAAAGCTCTCTCTGGAGGAGGGCCTGGCCAGAAACCTCATTAATCACCAGATGTACCAGCAGCTTCAGGAGCTGCAGGATACACTGTCCTTAATAAGCAGGCTTAGTGAGAGCAAGGGCCCTCTTTCTGTAGTGGAAGCAATTGAGAAGAAAATTATCAGTGAGAGAGTTGGACTGAAAATCTTAGAAGCTCACCTGGCAACCGGAGGCTTCAGTCTCCCCCTTCATGAGAACTTTATTAACCTAGAGGAGGCTTTTCATCAAGGCCTCATTTCTGAATGGCTTCGTTCAGAGTTAGAGTCCCACCTGAGATCATCCAAGAATTTGATAGACCCCAACACAGCTGAGAAAGTTGGTTTGCTGGATTTGATGCAGAGATGCATTGTCCACCAAGAATCAGGGTTGAAATTGCTGCCTGTCAAGCAATTGGCAGGAGGAATGGTGAGCTTGAAATCAGGCCGGAAGGTTAGTATTTTCCGTGCAGTTCAGGAAGGCCTAATAGATAGGCAGGTCACTGTCCGGCTGCTAGAAGCTCAGCTTTTTGCTGGTGGCATAGTAGACCCAAGAACAGGACACAGACTTACAGTGGAAGAGGCTGTAAGACATAATTTGATTGACCAAGATATGGCCTGTGCTATTCTCATAAGGCAGCTTCAGACAGGAGGTATCATAGACACTGTCACGGGGCGTAGGCTGACACTAGATGAAGCAGTGAGCAATGATCTAGTAGCTGCTAAGATTGCTCTCGTGATTCTGGAGTCCCTTTGGTCATTCATGGGGTTGCTATGGCCTGAATCTGGAGAGATCCTCCCAATTACAGACGCCCTGGAACAAGGTATTGTGTCTACTGAGCTGGCTCATAAAATTCTTAGTGGACGACAGCATATTAAAGCTCTATTTCTACCAGCAACCACAGAGATTTGGTCCTGGAAAAAAGCAATAGAAAATGGTGTATTGGACAAAGATCTTGCCAATAACTTAAAATCAATTTGCATACCTGATGTGATGCCCCACATGCAATTAGCAGATTCTTCAGAACAAAGCAAATTGAACATTAATCCTGGAGCATCAGGTCTGCCGTGCAGCAAGGACCAAACTGAGGGCATGGCAAGCCACAGCGATACACTGTTGTTCCAACTGATGACTCACAGCTACATTAATGTGCGGAATGGACAAAGGCTGCTCCTGCTAGACAATGAACTGATAGAAACACTAACAACAAAAGGTGAATATCAAGCAAATCCTCTAGAAATGTTTGGAATTGGACATCAGAAACCAGAAACTTCCAAAGAATTAGAAGAATCAGTGAATGTGGAAATAACAGAAACTTTCTGTGATAGGCCGACTGTGCAGTCACATGAATTCCACTCTTTTCAGAACAAAGAATATCCCAATCAAACAATTTGCATGGAAGCAGAAGGCAAAAAGACCATCACAGTAACAGAAGATTCTCCTACAGAGAACCCTGAAAAAGACCTATCTGTAGGAGGAAAAAAAGTGAGAAATCCAAATATTGATACTTTGAAGGTCAGAGGTCAAGTTAAATCAGAGTTAAAATGGCAATTAGAAGGTACCAAAAAGGAAGATCTAACAGAAGTGTCTACCAGAGAAAATATCAGCCGAGGATTTCTCCTTATAGTACCCTCTGAGGAAACAAAAGAGGTGACCTTAGTGGTAGAAAAAGATCCTGTTTCTATTGAAACACCAGATGAAGAATGGCAGATTCTCAGAGATGCTTCCTTTATATGTCAGAAAAAACAAACAAACCTACTTGAAATTGAACATATTCCAGGTAAAAATAGAAGACCTCTCATAAAATCCCAAAGCAATAAGTCACAATTTCAGGTAGAGAAAACTCTAGATTTAGACTCAGAACTCAAGTCTGAAAATGACTTAAATGTTCATTCTCCGGACAAGAGAAGTAATGATGACCATAAACAAAGTCCAGAAGAACAAACCATTATAGGCGGTAGTATGATGATGTTAGAAAAAACAGATGAGGCAGATCATGGTAGTGAAACTTCCTTGTCATGCAGTCCTCCTTCAGAATTGCTTGAAGAAGCTACCTTAAACAAATTATCTACACAATTACTAGATGGTGGTATCTTGCATGAACAAACAGGTCAACAGCTGTTACTGAATGAAGCAATAGCCAGAGGCATTGTGCCCAGTCACACTGCTGTGAAACTTATGGGAAAGCTGAACATGTTTCGGGGCTTCTTTGACTCTCAGACTTGCGAATCTTTGACAACTGAAGAAGTCATTGATGAAGGTCTGATGGATGAGAAATTACTACAGAATGTCCTCATGGCAGACAAAGCTATTAGTGGTGTCTTAGACCCCCGTACCCACACACTCTGCTCTGTGAAGGAAGCAGTTGCAATTGGACTTCTTGACACACAAACAGCCACCAGAATATTAGAGGGGCAGGTGGTGACTGGTGGAATCATTGACCTGAAACGAGGCAAAAAGGTTTCGGTGACTTTGGCCTTAAATCTTGGCTTGGTGGACAGTGCTGACCAGAATGAACTTATAAATTTGGAAAAAGCTTCCAAAGGCAAAGATGCTGAAAAAACAGTAAGGGAGAGATTAATTAGCTTACAAATGGAAACAACTGGAATTATGGACCCCGATAGCAAGGCCCCTATAACAGTTATGCAGTCCATCAACAGAGGACTTTTGGAGAGAGAGGAGGCCATTCAGTTATTGACTAAACAGGTGGTAGATGGAGGAATCATTCACCATAAATCTGGGATGAGACTTTCTGTTGATAATGCCTTTAAACATGGCATCATAGATGAAGATTTAGCCGAGCAACTCAAAAAAGTTGAGAACTTAAGCTTCCATCAGTTTTCTCATCCTGAAACAAAGGAAACTATTTCCCTCCCTAAAGCTATAAAATTAGATCTTGTTACCCCAGACTTAAAAGGAGAAATTCAAGAAATTCAGGCATTGACTGGAAGCTTTGTAGATCTCATTTCTGGCCAAGGATTGACGTTGGCAGAAGCTGAAAAAGAAGGACTGTTGACTAATAAAGCAATATTGTCTTCAGGATTGATGCATAGGATTGTAGATCCTGAGAATCATAGAATTGTTCCCTATTCAGAATTAGTGAAGAAATGTAAGATTGATATTGAATCTGGACAGAGATATCTAGAAGTAATTCCTTTCTCAGACATTAAAGATGGAGTGAGTGACAAAGTTCTTACATTGTCTCAAGCAACTCAGCTGGGAAAAGTAAACTTTTCATCAACACTGAAGGTTCTGGAAGCTCAGGCAAATACTGGGGGAATCATAGATACTGCTACAGGACAAGGACTGACATTGGCATCAGTTCTGGAACAGAAATTGGTGGATGAAAACATGGTCAGAATTATTGCGTCTCATCAGGTACTAAATGGAGGAATCATTGACATATTTAATGATCAAAGAGTTACTTTAAAGGAAGCTATTGAGAAAAAATTAATTAGCCCTGAACTGGCAACTTTGATCCAAATAGATACTTTAGAGTCCAGTGATCAGGGGTCTCAGATTGAAAAGCAAGATGGAATTGAAGTATGTGAATTGAAGGAATTTCTAAGGAAGGAAACATTAATTGCTTGTAATCAGACTGCAGAAATGAGTTGTGGTAAAGAAGAAAGTGAAAAATTATTTCAAATTGGAAGTCAGTCTGCACAAGAAAAAGTTAAAAGAGTTTCTGGTGAGGAGCAGGCAAAAAAGGACAGGGAAATTTCATTAAAAGAATTCGAGTGTAAGAATCAAGATAAGAGGAGAGCTTCCTCAAACACCAAAGAGTCTGTCAGTATTATAATTCCTAGTAAAGGCAAATCATTGGGCCAAGGTTCAGTGACATGCCCTCGCTCAGAAGTTTGTGATTCTAAACTCAAAGAGGTGGCTAGTACCAACATGGAAAAAAATATAAATGAAGATCAGGAAAAAGTAGTGTCACAAATAGAATTTCTTTCTCCTATGAAACAGTCTGCATCAGATTTAGATCATAAAGAAATAAGGGAAAAACAAAGAGAAATTATTTCAGTAGCACACGAATCAAATTATGAAACTTCAGGCAAATTTCTGAGTGAGCAGCTTATTCAGAAACCAACAAATACTAAGGAGAAAAGGAAGAGAGAGAAGAAGGAGATATTTAGAGGAGACAGTGTCAAAACATGCAAACCAGCAGTTCTTTCAGAAGAAAAGTTAGACCAAGAAACTGCCATTAGAGGTGACCATGACTCCAGTATAAAGAGCCAACCAGTGGAAATTGCCATAATTGAAAGAGTGAAAGAATCCGATAGAGAGGTGGGATTTTCTATTCTATGTAAAGCTGAAGAATCTTCTGCCCCAATGGTAGCCAAAGGAGTTTCCATAAGAAATCAAGATACTTCAACATTTTTAAACTCTAATCAGGTCAATGAAAGAGAAGGAAAAAATCTAAGCCTCTGCTTAACTGTAAAACCAAAAGAAAATTTATCACAAGAAATTACAATAGGGGCTCAGAGTGAAGCATTCTCTTCTATGACCCCAAGACCATTGAACTACCAGGAATCAGTTGGAAAAACCCAAATTGCAAACGCATCCCAAATTTCCAAAACAGACAAGTCTTTTCAAGGAACCACCAGACAGGAGACCAACTATGGTGAAGATGCTTGTATTACTTCTAAGACTAAGGAAACCAAAGATCTGGTCTTGTTATCTAATGAACAGAAAACAAAATCATACCAAGAAGTACCTTTTGACTCAACAAAAGCTCTTAAATTAGAAGGAATTGTAGATTCTAGAGTAGACCCAGAAGAAGTCAGAAAGGGTAGCAAAAGTGATAGTGAAGTTTATGGGATTCTTGAATCTAAAATGGTAGCAACTAAGGAAATAACTGGAGAGAAATTTCTAGAAATGTCAAACCCCATAGTTACAGGTGCAGAAGCAGAATCCTTTGAAGGTATTGTGACTCAGGGAGTTCCCAGAGTCTTGGTGTCCCTTCCAGAGAAATTGTTCAAAGATGTATCTCTAAAAGTGAATATAGAGCAACAGGGTGCCACCATTAGTCCCACTATTCCAGAGGCCAATGAGGCAAAGACAGGGCCCCTCATATACTCTACAATGAAGGCGGATGAGGAGACACCACCAGAAAAGCTCAGAGAAAGTCCTGGAAGTGAACAAGCTCCCTTCCTAACTGCACCGAGGGGAAAGGGACATGAAGGTGTAAACACGGAGCCCTCCAGAGCCACTAAAGTAAGTTTCCCAGTGTTGCATTGTGTTTAAAGATATAACTGGTTTAATGATCAAACCCTTGGCTGGATTCTGAGTTTACGTATGAATAATTATATGCATGCATATATTTCAGGGCATTAGATAATTCTATAAAGTATAACTTAGTTTGGGGAGTATTTGAGATCTTGCTTTCCAGCAATTGTCATCAGTTTAGCTCAAACTTTTATAAAAATCCAAAAAAAAGGTATAACAATATACCTTTTTTTTTTCTTTTTTTTTTTTAACACAGTTGTTGAAAACTTAGGCAATGGCTCGAATGTTTTTCTGAAATTTGCAAGAGTTTTAATGTAAAAACTAACATTAAAGCTAATTTGAAATACTGGGGTGATGCTATCTAAAGTTAGAATAAGTTTTGGAAATTTTGCTAAAAGGATGCATACAGATTGATAATTATGAGCTTCTGCTCCTGGAGAGAAAAAAATCACTTTTTTCTCTCTTGATTTGAGACAAAATAACCTAAGTGTAGTAAAATTTCATCTCACCCTAAGTGTAGTAAAAATTTCTATTTATCAAGAAGATACAGCCTGCTTTAAAAAGCACACTTAAAGGAGAATGTCAGGCCTGAGTGAGTTTTCTTTTGGGCTCCACAGAATATATTTAACCGGCGACTCTGTCTAGAGCATGATGAGAAGCTGGTATCCTATCTGTCTGTATTACGAGACATTGAAATGAGGACCAAACAGATTCAACCTGTGGAGCGGAGCCTGGCAGAGCTACAGGATCTGCGATGTCAGGCCAAGGTAGGTTCCCAAAGACTTCTTCCTCCTGGCCCACCAACTGGGAGGAAGTAGAGACTATTACGGAAGAAAAAATATGTTCAGCACACCACGATTTAAAGAACAAAAAACAGATTGAAAAGTGGTAACTGGAGACCTCTGACTGGGAAATACTGGTTCACAGAAACTACAACAGAAGAGACTCAAGAGAGGAGTAGTCTGAGTGTTAACTACAGTAGGGAGACCACGTACAGTGAGGACAAAAAGGGTGAGTAAGTAGCTAGTGACCTTGGTAAGAGTGGTTTCAGTGGAGTGGATTGGTGGGCTATAAACTAGGATGCAGTGAGAATAGATGGGAGATTGGAAGGTGGGGACAATTAATGTACATCGTTCTTTCCAGAAGTTGGGGGTGCAGGCAAGGAAGGAGGTAGGACACTGGTGAGAGGAGATAGACTGAAAGAGGAATGTTTTGAGTAGATTTGGGAGGTTGAGGAGAAAGAATAAAAGGAGAACTTGAAGTTAGAGGAGAGAGGAAGTGATCACTGATGAAATGAGGTTCCTGAGGACATAGACTTAGCCTTGAGAGGCAGGAAGAGTAGCTTTCACCAAACCTAGCGGTTAAGAGTCGTCACAGGATTGGAGTCACAATGAGGGCAGAGATTGTAGAGGTTTACCAGATCTCTCAATATCAAAGTATTAATATGACCTGGGGAAGGGTGACTGAAGGGGAGGTAAGGGGATGCCCAGAAGAGCTATCTAGCTTTTCACACTTTATTTTGGGCTTCTCTACTGAAAATTAGAATACTATAGACTAGCTGAGTAGGAAGGCTGGCTTGGGTTATTTATATGCTCTGGTTCTGCCCCCTTGGAATTTAGAAGGGGAGTTGTCCTTTTTGATTGACTTATTTTACATAATATTAATAAGACATAATGACATTCTCAGAGAGGCAGCCAGCTATAGTGGACCAGCACTGCCCTGAGTCAGAAACCTGAATCCAAGTCCTGGCTCTATAGCTTACTGTCTGGCTAACCTCAGACAAAATTTTACATTTAAGTGCTGAGGCATCTCTTCTGTAAATCCAGAATTATAATATCTACACAGCCTACTTCAAGAATTAGTGATTGTGCCAAAACCGGTTTGACCCAATGGTAAAGCATCGGTCTGCGTACTGAAAGGTCCCAGGTTCGATTCCGGTCAAGGGCATGTACATTGGCTGCAGGCACATCCCCAGTAGGGGGTGTGCGGGAGGCAGCTGGTCGATGTTTCTCTCTCATCAATGTTTCTGGCTCTCTATCTCTCTCCCTTCCTCTCTGTAAAAAATAAAATAAAATAAAAAATAAAAAAAAGAATTAGTGATTGTGAGAACCAAATAAACTATTTAATATAAAGCCCTGAAGCCTTTATAGCCATGAGGTGAGAGAAAAATATTTTCACAGCTAATTCCTACATAGCAAGATTTCTAGTCTTGATCTTGGAGGTAACTTCACTTTATCCCCTCAGGTGTTAGACAAGGAGCTAAAGGATCTGTCCGCCTTGGTGAGCCAGGAATTGGAGTGTGTAAGTCAGATTATCATTAGCCAGCCTGAGGAAGTCCCTGCTCAACTGTTGAAGGCTCTAGAGAAGGATGCCAAGAATCTCCAGAAGTCCCTCATCTCTGTGAGTGACAGCTGGAGTTCCAGACTACTCCAGCTCCAGAATGCTGTGGAAGTAAAAAAGGTAGTTTCTTGTTTTTTTCACAAAGTCTGGGCAGTTTTGGAGACTTTTATCATCGTCTAATTTGCCATTTATTTGTTTAGACTAGAGTGTTAAATCAGCACAAACAGCTAGAAGGCGAACTTCAAAATCTGAGAGCCTGGGTTGGCGATACCATTCTCATTCTGAAAAGCAAGGAGTGTAGCAGTGAAGCAGATGCTGACAGCCTGAATCAGTGTCTCCAACAATGTGAGGTAAAATCTGTACCCATTCTCAAGCTTTTGTCCTTTGAGTTGTCAGTTTTATTTTCTTTCACAGAAACCAGTACTTACCTTTCTTGGAAAGTTTGATTTTCCATTCCAGAGATAATAAAGTCTTCTATGTTTAGTTTTTTAGGCTATCATACTTTTAGCACTTCAGTGATTATGATCATTTTTCCTTTCAGCTATTTTTGAGAGAGTCTACAAAATGGCCTATTATTATCAATGGCCTCTTTATAACTGAGCATCTACTGTCTGTTCCTTGTTTCTGTTTTGCCCAAGGTCTAATCCTATGCACACACATCAATTTCAGGAGAATTTTGGTCAATGATCTGGATTGTGGCTTGGCAAACTTTTTCTGTAAAGGACCAGATAGCAAATGGCCCATTTCTGTGGCATCCACTCAGCTCTGCTATTGAAACATGAAAGCAGCCATAGACAGTATATAAATGAATGGTTGTGAATTTGTTATAATAAAACTTTATTTACAAAAATAGTTGACAGGCAAATTTGACCAGGCACTGTAGATTGCCAACTCCTGATCTAGAGAGATGCTTTTCTTCTTGTTTAGCCCCAAACATAAGTCAGTGAGAGAAAGATACAGGCTCTGAGATGCATATGAGCCAGAGAATTTTCCCCTGAACATTGTTCCTTTTATTTTGGGTGGGTGGGGGGTGTTATACTCAAGATACTATTAGATATTATTCACACAGGTTTTTCCATCCTTTGCTTAAACTCTTTAAGTCAGAGCAGAACCAGAGATGTTCCCTCCTTCTGTTCCACCCTCTCCCTTTTCTCTAGTCTTAAGAGAAGCAGACATAAAGGTTTGTCCATGGTCGGGCTTCCTGTATATAACTCCATTTCTGTTTATCTTGCATGTTTTGTTTCATGGGAAGAGATCCACAGACTAAGCCTTGTTTTCCTAGTGATAGTTTCCCAGTCTATGTGTTCACAGTTGAAGGAAGCATGGTCTAATGATAAGTAACCAAGGGGCCTTCCCAGCCTGCTCTGCAGGGTTGCTGACTGCTCTCACTTTCAAAGTGATAGAGATAGAGGTATCTTAATTGTTGCTTAAGATAGAGGTATCTTAAATATTGCTGACTGCTCTCACTTTCAAAGTGATAGAGATAGAGGTATCTTAATTGTTGATTAAGATAGAGGTATCTTAAATATTGCCATTGAAATATCCAGTGTAACAGCTGGTGGCCACTAAATTTTTGTGGGAAAATTGCGTGCTTTTATTTATTTATTTATTTATTTATTTATTTATTTATTTATTTATTTTTAAAATATATTTTATTGAATTTTTACAGAGAAGAAGGAAGGGAGAGGGATAGAGAATTAGAAACATCAATGAGAGAGAAACATCGATCAGTTGCCTCCTGCACACCCCCAACTGGGGACGTGCCCGCAACCAAGGTACATGCCCTTGACCAGAATCAAACCTGGGACCTTTCAGTCCGCAGGCCAATGCTCTATCCACTGAGCCAAACTGATTTCGGCTGCATGCTTTTAATTGTCTGAAAATAGATAATTATAGTGTTTAGGCATTTATTACTGCTTAAAGGAGCAATGTAACTATTATATAAGAATGTCTGGAAAAAAAAGAAAGTCTGACTGTAATCCTTCACAGTTCTAAAATATATAAGCAGCAATATTTACTGTAAAAATCATATTTTAATGAGCCACAAATAAATCAGATATTTTCTCACTTCTGACCTACCATTAACTAACTGCTGGACAAATACAAATAAATTTTGAACTTAAGAAAATAAATTAGGCAGATATAGCTCAGACCATAAATTTATGTTGTACTTTTCAAACTTTAGGGGGGAAAAATTCTGCAGAGATCTGAGATTAGTTCTGGTGTGATTCTGTTAACAAATAAATGAAAGTTGCTGCGTTTGGCCGAAACCGGTTTGGCTCAGTGGTAGAGCGTTGGTCTGCGGACTGAGGGGTCCCAGGTTTGATTCCGGTCAAGGGCATGTACCTGGGTTGCGGGCACATCCCCAGTAGGGGGTGTGCAAGAGGCAGCTGGTTGATATTTCTCTCTCATCAACATTTCTGGCTCTCTGTCCCTCTCTCTTCCTCTCTGTAGAAAATCAATAAAATATATTTAAAAAAAAGAAAGAAAAGAAAGTAAGTTGCTGCATTTGGATGTCAGTACATAGTAAAGGAAACTAACTCGTGAGGAGTGTGGAAAGACCAGAAGTGCGAGACTTCCAGTGCTTATTTGGCTCTAGGAATGATCAGTGTCAGTTACAAAATAACAGAAAATTAGCCTCTCGTTGACTATGTTGGTTTTTTATTAAAACCAACAGCTTCTGCTTCAGTAGAGAATTAGAAATTGCATTTATTTTTCCCCCCTTTTTCTGCTTACCTTAGGATTTGAAACAGCCCATGGCTGAAAGGAAATCTCAGCTGGATGCTCTCGCTTTTGATATTCAGTTCTTTCTCTCCGAGCATGCCCAGGACTTGTCCCCTCAGCAGAACCGGCGGATGCTGCGGCTTCTGAATGAACTGCAGAGGTCTTTCCAGGACCTCGTGGCACACACTGCAGCTCAGATGAATGCCTTGCAGGGTCATCGTCAACAAGTGGAGCAGGCAGCCCTGGTCAAGGTCAGGCTGAACCAGCAGCTCGGCCCAGTTTGTCTTTTGGGATGTCCTGTGTTTGGGTTTTCTGGCCAGAACACATCTACCATGATTCCAGGAGCCTGCGTTTACCAATTTTGAAATTTCATGTCATTCAGGCCATTTTACCACTATTCTGGCTGTTTTTCTTGCCATGTTTTGGTTTTATGTATGCGTGCGTGTGAGAGAATACATGTGTTTACATGTGTATGCATGTGCAAGTATTTTCTTTTTTATAAGACTCTCCCCTCACTGTGTCTCATTGTCTCTGACTTTCAAATGAAAATCACATCCCCAGTCCTCTTTGCTCCCTTAACCTTCTTTTGAAGGCTGTTAAAAATATTTAGATACTCTGAGCTCTTGAGAAGAAGTATTAAAGTCAGTTTTATTCTGGGCTTTTGAAATGTTTAACACTCAGATTCCTTGACAACCTTCAAACAGCTGACAAGGAAATTTTTATCAGAATCATAGTAATTTTTAGGACCCCTAAAGCAGCAGTCGCCAAGCTTTCTGACCTCACAAACCACCACGGGTCCACAGACCACCGTTAGCGACCACTGCTCTAAAGTACCATTTCCCAGCACCTTTCTTCACACTGTCCTGCCCAGTGCTTACTTTGGAAAACGATGTGTAGAAGCAGCAGCGATCCATTTTTGGGGAAAAACTAACCACTCTACCACTTTTCATTGCGACTCTTCCTTGCAAAAGTTAACATTACTGTATAATGGTAACAACCTTAAAATACCAAGAATGATGCTTATACCATTTCTGCTGTTTGAATAATAAATTGGAATTCATCAAGATGATATTAGAATTGCCATTATTACCACCAGCAAATCCATCTCAGGATCTGCTTTATTAAATAATGCATAAAGTAGATGGAGCTTTTGAGTCAGGCTTAAAGGAAAGTGCGTTAGTCAATTTTACATGTCCCCCATTACTGCTTAGCTGTTTCAACTCTTTTAAAATATAAATAAAATACTAATTAAATAGTTTAGGTTACTTTTGAGATCTGAAAATTTGCACTGTCTTCACTTAGAAATGTATATAGCCTGTGGACAGTTACTGAAATAGCGTTGGTCTGAGCCGCCTTAAGTAAGACACAGCCCAGATCCAGGGTCGGCCCCTGAGCAGTAACCAGTGCTACTACTGCATGTGACCATTCTCTCTGAGCACATAATTAATTCCACAATGTTTATTAACCTTGTAATTGTCAGAAATGTTCTGCTTCTTTATATTTGCCCTGGATGCATGTGTATGTCTGTGTGTTAACTTGTTTGCTTTGCTTTTTTCAGATTCAGTCTGCACCCATCCTAACCCATGAAGATCCCGTTTTACAGCTGAAGAGCTCTTAGGAGTTCTCTTGCAGAGCCCTTCTATTTGTCCTAAAGAGGGGGAGAGAGGGCCAATTTTGGCACCTGTTTGTAAGTGCAGGTGACTAAAATGCCATCAGAGGGTAGAAACTGGTGGAAAATGGTTTTAGAAGGATGGTCAGGAGAACACATCATGCTCAATTGCTCGGTCAGGTGCTTCAGTGTCAGGCAGCTGAGATGAGATCTGGGATCAGGCACAGAAACATATTCCCTCCCTCCCCTTGGGCCTGGCTTTTCTCTTGATATCAGTGTAGACAACTGAATGACAGCCAGTTGCTAATGTTGGGCACTTTTCTTTCTCAAAATAGACAAGCCCCTCATTTCAATTTAAAGGGTGTCTACATTTGTGAGACGTTGGATTTATAAGTCTGCTAAATTATTAAGCTTAATTAAATTATGAATTGTCCAGTTTCTTGAACCCCCCCCCCCTTCTAGTACTTCCTTCTAATTTTCCACATTTTGACTAATATGTAGCATATCCTCTGGTTCTGGTAGAGGAACTGGTCAGAACCACTATTTATTTTCATCACCATTATCATCTCTGGCTTTTAAGCATCTGGGCTTTGTTCCCAATTCTAAGGATAACAGCAGTCTGGCAAAGGAGCTCCCAGACCCAAACCTGGGAGCGTTCTCACCTGAAATTGCCGTACCCCTCATTATAATCCAGACCATAGGCCCAGATCGGTGGGTTTTCCAGATGAGGGGAGCTTTTTAAATATGGTTCTGTGCTTTTCCTGTTCTAGTCTCCCACCAACTTTTCCGTTCTTAAACTGTAACCTTGTTTTATATTTCAGGGAGTTACCTTGTTTTTATAAAATGAGAATTATTAATTGTCTTTTGGCCCCTTTGCATTTTAACTAGACCTTGCAGAAACAACAAAATACTTGTCATGAGAAACTGGAGGATCTTTGCAGCTGGGTAGGACAGGCAGAAAGAGCATTGGTTGGCCATCAAGGTAGAGCCTCCCAGCAGGATCTTTCTGCTTTGCAGAAGAACCAAAGTGACTTGAAGGTCAGTCTAAGTTAATTCATTCTTTTGCATTTCGTCACAGATATTTAAAAGGCTTACTGTGTGCTAGGTACGTGCTTAGTGTTAGGAACATAATGGTAAATAACCCTGCTCACGTGATGCTTACAGTTTAGTGGAAGAGACAGATACAGATACTCACAAAAATGTACAAATAATTATTAACTAATATACATATGAAGGAAAAGTTACATGAGAACATATAACAGAGACTCAACCTAGTCTAGGATGTCAGAAAAGATTACCTTGAAGAAATGTTGCTTAAACGGAGAAATGAACAATGTGTAGGGGTTAAGGAATTCAGGGGTGGGAGATGGAAGAGAATATGCAGGCTGAGGTCTATGTATCTTTCTTCAGGTGGGAATGGGATCGAGCACCACATACTCCAGAACTGAAAGAAAGCTAGTTCAATTGGGCTAAAAAGAACAAAAGGAAGATTAATTAGTGAATGATGAGGCGTGAGACTAGGCAGCACCCACATCTTGCTAGTTCTTATAGGCTACAGTAAGGATAAGGAGAGGAGGAAGGACCAGCCTGGCCATGACTCAGCTAGAATCCTGTTGTCAACTCTTCTTTATAGAAGAATGAACTCTTCGAGGATAACTCATTACAAAATAAAAATCTCTGCTAGTCATCATGTTTATGGGTCTCCTTTTTTTGTCTTCACTAAACATTTTCTCAGAAATTTCCATTTAAATTTTGCTTTAGAAATTGAATATTAGCAGAGACATGTCTGTTGCAGATATGTCATCCCATTCCACCTTCGTACTATTAGGTCTTAGGCATACTAAAGTTGAAGGCTCTGCTATCCCTGTTTTCATGTGTTAGGATTTACAGGACGACATTCAGAATCGCGCCGCCTCATTTGCCAGCGTTGTCAAAGACATCGAAGGGTTCCTGGAAGAGAACCAGACCAAGCTGAGCCCCCAGGAGGTGACAGCTCTTCGGGAAAAACTTCATCAGGCGAAGGAGCAATATGAGGCTCTTCAGGCACGGACGCGGGTGGCCCAGAAGGAGCTGGAGGAAGTAGTGACCTCAGCCTTACAGCAGGAGACTGAAAAGGTAACCAGGCTGCTGCGACACTTGGTATTTTTTGAAAAAGAAAATATTGGTACCTACACAAATGAGAGGTGATGAGGAGGAACTGCCTTACGCAGAGCAGAGTCATGAAAAGGGGCTGTTTCAGGAACAGATCTTTGAGTCAGTACTTTATCTTCGTGAGAAATATTCTGAAGAACTTGAAGTTGGGAATAATTGGTAGGAAGTTTATATTAAGGGAAAAAATGGCATTCTGTATATTTAGTACTCTGAATACTAGGAAAATGACAGAAAGAATTTAGTGAGTAAGGGTGGTACCTTGGGGAGGAAAATGCAAATGGCATATTTCTTACATGAATCTAGACTGGTGACCCAGGAGTGTCTGTGTGTGTGTGTGTGTGTGTGTGTGTGTGTGTGTGTTGGGGGGGGAGGGGAGTATCTGGGGAGTCTCCAAGCTTTTTCACTGTAGTTTTAGGGCGATCTAGGCACTGGGATAAACCCATGACAAGGTAAAGTCTCAAATGGTCTTCTGCACCCCACTTGGTGCTGGCAGATTGAATTAAAATACTCTGTCCAGCCATGGACTTTGATGCTAACAGGGAGATAGAGAAAATAGAAATAAGAGACCTGAAGATAAAGTCTGAACTATGTGAATGTATCCCTTGGCATATCCTTTTTAATTAATTAAAATACTTGAGGAATCGTAAACTCGTTTCAGTACTCGGTGTTCTGTTTGGCAGAGGAAAGGCTGGAGGAGTCTATATTTCCCTTAGGAAGGCACAGCCAGGAAATTGAGTATGCCAAGCCAGTGTATCACCTTTGCGTGCCTAGAAAGAATGCTGTGAGGCTTTGCTGGGGTGCCAGGATTAAGTCACCTCTTAATAAAATAAAGCCTTTTAAATCCTAGGACTCCCCCCGACCCCCCCCCCCCCGCTTTTTTATTTTTAGACAGGAAGGGGGGGGGGGAGAGAGAGAGAGAGAGAGCGAGATGTGAGAAACACCAATTAGTTGCCTCCCATGTGAACCCACAACCTAGGTATGTGCCCTCACCAGGAATCGAACCTCTGACTCTCTGGTGCACAGGACACGGGACAATGCACCAACCAACTGAGCCACACTGGCCAAGGCTCTCCCATCTTTTAAAGCAGTAAGATATACACAAAAATCTAGAGATTATTTTCAATAATTATTTTTTCAACAGATTTAGCTGCTCATTCTTTTTTGTGAGTTCTAAGATTGACTATACCCAATCTTAGAGCTTCTCATTTTCTTTAGCATAAAAATTTCCCTCTTGATTTAACCTGTAACCTATAATTGCTGAGTATCTAAGGCCTTCTCATTAGACTCCCTTTACTCCTTTAGAGTAAAGCTGCAAAGGAACTGGCAGAGAACAGGAGTAAGATTGATGCTCTCTTGGATTGGGTGGCTTCAGTGGGATCACCTGGTGGACGGATGGAGCAGCTGTCAGGAGCTAGCCTGGAGAAAGGAGCCTTGGATACCACCGATGGTCACATGGGAGTGCACCACGCCTCAGAGAGACTGGACAAGCAGTATGAGAAGATGAAGGTGAGGGTGTTGCTTGTCCTCACTGTGCTGGGGACTCCCTTCTACCCTGAGCAAGTCACCAGTACCTCCTTGCTCTTGAATCCAGGGAGCATTTCTCAGTTCACAGTCTTTGATGTCTCAGCAGCTTTAGCATGGCTGGGCACGCCTCTTGAATACTCTCTCCCTTACTTCACAAGGCACTACTCTGCCTTGATAATTGTATTCCTTCCCTCTAGGCACTGTTTCACATACTGGTGTGCTTTTAACATAGTCTAGACTTGTTCTCATCTTTCAAAATATACTTTCCTTGGGTAGTTCAATACATTCATGATACTTCAATTACCATCTGTACTAAATAATTACATATGTATATTTGACTCTAGCCCAAATGCTGTCCTGAGCTTCAAGCCATTAAATAAATCTGACTTCCTCTTGACAAGTTGAAATCATAAGCATCTCAAACTGAAAAATGGAATGCCTGTTTACTATAATACTCCTCTCCTGATCAAACACATTCTCCTTCCTGTGTTAATTGCCTGAATTAGATATCATTCAAGACTCCTTTCCATGCCTTGCTGTCCCATATCGAATCAGTCATAGTGCTTGTATCTCTCTCACAGGCAGCCACACATCTATATCTCCATTGAGTTATTGTAGTTTGGACTTGTATTATTACAGTAGTTTCTACTGGTCTCCTTGCCTGTTGGCTTTAATCCTCCCATTCCTTTCCCACACTAAGTAGTCTTTCTAAAATGGTATATCTTTTTAGTGGTTTCCTATTTTACTTATGAGACCATTTCTTTCTTACTGTTTATCTCTATTCATTTATTCCTTCATTTAGCAAATATTGAGCATCTGCTCTATGACAGGCATTGGAGATAAATCAGTGAACTAACCAGATAAACTGTCTCCGGGGACATTAACTGGCACATGCAGGCACATTATATGGCATTGTTGAAAGATAATTGTATATTCAGGGCACTTATAAAACACACGTATCGCATATTTTAGTAGTGTTACCTTCTGAGCACAAAAAGTTGGTTTAGCTGGAGTGCTTCTGTTGAACGGCTTGTGTGGACCGTTGTCTGTTGTGTACTAATAGGACTTCTGCCTCTGGCAAGCCCATTCTGTGCTTGGGAGATTCATTGTAGTGTGTCCCCCCCAAAGCCCTGGCACTCCTGTAACAGCACAGAGCAGAGATGGTTCTGCTGTCTTAGGAGCCTTCCTGACCCCTCTTGCTGGTAGCTGTCAGCTTGACTAAGTAGTATTTCCAACCTAGTAAGGAAACAGCCTTACTTATAGTTGGATGGGTTGGAGGATGAGAAGGGGACATCGGGATGGTACATAGACACACTGTGTTACTAGATGCTCCTTACTAGTTATTTGAGCAGGATATGTTTCTCACCCCAGATTCCCTAAGAGGATGTTGTAATCTGAGGCTATCAGATTATGGTTGACACAGGTTGAAACCGGACAATATTCTGAAGGCTTAGTCCTTCTCTAGGTAGTTGCATCAGCAATATAGATAGTTAGGAACACTGAGGGAACTCCCTCTGACTTCTGTTAGACTCGGGAAGAACATTGTTTGAACAACCACTATTGTCTTTCTTTCACTTCCATCCCATTGGAACAGAAAAAAGTCCACATTGAAACATGGAGACAGCACAGACACATTACCTATGCTGTCCGGAAACACAGCTCACTCTCATTAATGTGTAAATCATTTAGTTAATGAATTAATTTCCCTAGATCTTTCCTGTTAGGACAGTCTCCATAGATCATTGACTGATAGATTTCATGACTAAGAATTGGCAGTTTTTATGTTGTTTCATGTATGGCTCACCCAGCTTCTTCTTTCCTTGCATTCATATGGGTAATTATGAGTTGGCTATTTATACCTTCTCTTAGACTTAGGATGATTTAGTGAAGAGAGTCGGGTCAACAATTCATCCCTTAACTACCTGCATGACCTTAATCAATAGTACATCTTTTTGGTATTTACTTTTTGGTAATACCCATCTTTAATATGGATATTATATTGTCTTCCAACATTGTAGATTGTGCCGCAATCAGATGAGATAAAACATGTAAAATACTTTTGAAAATGTTAAGATTCTGTATGTGTCAGTTCAGCTGAAATACGGCATAATGCTTAGAGAGATTGCTGATTTCTGAGCAGCTATAAAAGGGGCCTACAAAAATTTCTCTATTTCTAGTTGTAGACATAACCACATTATTGTGGTGTCCCTGCTAATTGTTCTTTGTTTGGGGGGATTTTTTGCCAGGCCCATCACCAAGAATTGCTATCTCAGCAACAAAATTTCATCCTGGCCACCCAGTCAGCTCAGGCCTTCCTGGACCAGCATGGCCACAATCTCACACCTGAGGAACGGCAGACGCTGCAGGAGAAGCTAGGAGAGCTAAAGGAACAGTATGCAACTTCCCTGGCCCAGTCAGAGGCAGGGCTGAAGCAGGTGCAGACACTGCGGGATGAGCTGCAGAAGTTTCTGCAGGACCATAGAGAGTTTGAAAACTGGCTCGAACGGTCTGAGAAAGAGCTGGAGAGCATGCACGAGGGAGGCAGCAGCCCCGAAGCCCTTCCCGCCCTGCTGAAGCGGCAGGGGAGCTTCTCGGAGGATGTAATTTCCCACAAAGGAGACTTGAGGTTTGTGACTATCTCAGGACAGAAAGTGTTGGACACTGAAAAGAGCCTGGAGGAAGACAGAGAGCCATCAGCAGCTGGAACCTTAGTAAAGGACAAGCTGAAGGATGCAACAGAGAGATACACTGCTCTCCATTCAAAGGTATGGGAGCGGCTCCTGGCAGCCTCTGGTGAACCGATCCTGGCAGCCCTCAAAACTGTGGGTGGTTTCTGAGACTTAGAAACCTCAGGACACAGTGAATGAGCTAATTTGTATATTGACCACAGACAGAGTGTCTTTATGAGCTATGCAAAAATGCAAAACATGAAGGCTCACGGGCTAGTGCCCGATCCTAGCAATATCAGCAGCTCATCTCACTCCAGAGGTGCTGGTGCAGGTGCTTGCCTTCTGTATCATGACCAGCCCACAATGGCTCCTCGGAGGAGGAGATATAGTGCAGGGGAAACTTAAACCCAGTGCACAGTCGATATTCCTGGACAGAGCATCGAGGGTAAATCCATATCTTCCTATCAGAGAACTCCTTTTAGCTCCTAAGGCATAGAATCTAGTCAGTTCTTCTCACCCATCTTGTGCTTTGTATCAATACCTCTAACCCTCAGAGAGAGACTTTTCTCAGTCCCATTTCTCTTACAACCTGACATATATTTCTTTGATGGCTTATCATATAGCACTAAATATTTCCCAGTGTGTAACAGAGTTGAGGTGAATAGAATAGGTCAAACGATGAGGAACTCACTCATAAAAGGTAGTTCTGCTTATCTATTCAAGGGGGCGCTACCCCTACCTGCAGTTACAGTGACTTCCCTGTAACAAAGCCAGGCCTCTCCTGGGCTGTGCCGAGGACGCTGCTGCCTACGGCCTGGCTCGCTAAGCTTTCTTTCCCTCCTTTCTCCGGCACAGTGTACACGATTGGGCTCTCACCTGAACATGCTGCTAGGCCATTACCAGCAGTTCCAGAGCAGCGCTGACAGCCTGCAGGCCTGGATGCAGGCCTGTGAGGTCAAAGTGGAAAAGCTCCTCTCAGATACTGTGGCCTCTGACCCTGGGGTCCTGCAACAGCAGCTTGCAACAACAAAGGTAAGCCAGGACACAGGCTGTTGTACTGCGTGGCTTACAGTACCCAAAAGTAAAGCAAATGTTGGCCTTTAGGTTAAAAACCATGGTTGGGCTGCCTTGGACAAGATCTTGTTCCTAAACAATGTATTCTAATATCAGTGGCTCTGGTTAAGCTGAGAATTATTTTATACAGAGGCTTCGTAGCTCTAGGTTCCTAGAAACAGCTTTGATTACGCACTTAGTTGTTTTTCTTTTGTCCTTTTGCACCAACGAGCAGCAGTTGCAGGAGGAATTGGCTGAGCACCAAGTACCTGTAGAAAAACTTCAAAAAGTAGCTTGTGACCTCATGGAAATTAAAGAGAAACCAGCCCCAGACCACAAGCGTGTTCAAGAAACTACAGGTATGAAACAGCGACAGGTATAGTGCTGTCCAATTCCTAGTATGTACCTCGTTCCGTAGTAGATCCCGTGGTGTTGTACAGGTATCTAGTGCTCACTGGGTGCTGAGGCTATAAACGTGAATAGCTCACCCTCCCATGAGCTTTATTCTTGTATCTTTGAAGGACCTTTACAATCTGCCTTCAACACCTTTTCCCCCCAGGCATTCTGCCTTTTAGATACATCCTATGTCTTTCCTTTCCCAAATAAACTAGTCATTTCTTCATTGCTTTACCCCTGAAGTTTTTCCTGTTGCTTAGCTGATAACATTAAATGAGGGCTTACATGCATGGTGAAATCTTACTCATGCTTAAGATGTAGCCAAGAGATTGCTTCCTTTGTAAAGTCCTGACCACCACCACCATCACCTCCCAAAATAAATAAAGGATAAGAAATAACTGATTTTCTTTCAGGCCTCTCTAGTACTCTTTTTTTCTTTTAACTTTTAAAATATGTATTTTTAAATTTTATTTTAGAGAGAGAGGAAGGGACAGATAGAGGGAGAGAAATATTGATGTAAGAAAGATACAGAGATTGGATGTGACCAACTGGGGGTTGAACCTGAAACCTAGATATGTGCCCTGACAGGGGATGGAACCCATGACATTCTAGTGCATGGGATGATGCTCCCAAACCACTGAGCTATACCAGCCAGGACAAATCAGTTAAACTTTTTTTTTTTCTTTCTCTCACTAGTACCCCTTAATACCACTGTAGCACTTAGGATTTTATTTTCATGGTTAGTTGTGCCTACATCTGCTTACCTTCTCTTTCAGAGCCTTAGGTTTGAAGAAGGCAAGGTTTTTATCACACTTATCTATAGTCTTCAGTATCTACTGTAGCACAATGTCTGGCACGTAGTAGGTGCTAAATAAATTGTGCTTATGGAATTTGGCTCAAATACTAATGTCCTTTAAGCTTATTCCTTCTATTTGTCTTGATGTCTGTTATTATAATTAACCTGCAACTTAATACATTCTTTTTAAAAGCACAACACAAAAATAGTCTCCACTCTCTTTTCATGGCCATGTTTTTCCAGATTCCATACTTAGCCGTTTCCAGAGCCTCTCCTCTAGCCTGGCTGAGCGCTCTGCTCTGCTGCAGAAGGCAATTGCCCAGTCGCAGAGTGTGCAGGAAAGCCTGGACAGCTTGTTGCAGTCCATCATGGAAGTTGAAAAAAGCCTGGAAAAGGAACAGGTGGCATCCCTGACATCAGGAGTCATCCAAGAAGCCCTGGCCACTAATATGGTAAGACCTCTATCCCAAGAGTTAGCATAGAGTGTATTTGCCATGTTCCATAATTGCATCACTTTGAAAAAGTATCAAGAGAAGAATTCATGTTCATGAATCTTCTGATAACGAGGCTAAGACATGATGACTAATCCATTTGAAGTTATCACTACCCATTTCCAAATCATTGTCAAGTTTCAAGAACAATGGGGATTTCAAGGCCATTTGGTGGAATGGGTTAGAGAACTAGGAAGATGAGATATATGATGTTCCAAAGGCTCAGTTCCAATCCTCCAACCCTCCAGAGGAGATAAATGTGTAGTTATTAGAAGTTTGACACATCTTCTTGATGACAGAAATTGAAGCAGGACATTGCTCGGCAAAAGAGCAGCTTGGAGGCCACTCGTGAGATGGTAACCCGGTTCATGGAGACGGCAGACAGCAGCACAGCAGCAGGGCTGCAGGGCAAACTGGCGGAGGTGAACCAGCGCTTCCAGCAGCTCTGTCTGCAGCAGCAAGAAAAGGAGAGCTCCCTAAAGAAGCTCCTGCCTCAGGCAGAGATGTTCGAACATCTCTCGGAAAAGCTGCAGCAATTCATGGAAAACAAAAGTCGGATGCTGGCCTCCGGAAATCAGCCAGATCACGATATTGCACATTTCTTCCAGCAGATCCAGGTGAGGCTATCCCTGCCATATGGACAGAATAAAGGGGAAATCAGGGCAAGGAAGGGCCCTACATTCACTGAGGACATAAGATGTCAGTCAATATCCTGGAAACTTCACCTGCATTATCTTAAAGAATTATCACAGCCATCCTGCAATCTAGATATTGTTTGTCCATTTTTTAGAAACATACCCAGATTTACTTTTCACTCGTACTACATGTTCAACCTAAATCAGCAGGATACTTAGCTTATCATGGTCAGTCAGGGATTCAAGTTGATGGAAACTTCCATCCTGACAAAGTTTTTATGATTGCTTCAATGGGAAGAGGGAATATCATGTGCATTTACATTTTGCTAGTCAAAGCACGTTTCACTTGAGCATACCTGTCTGTGGTGATATGTAATCCTACAGATTTGTAGAAGGCACAGAGCTAAATATATTTGGTGAAGAGTATTACGTACCAAAGATATATATATATCTAGGAGTGGAAGTGTTAGGTCATAGTATGTGCTTATATTTAATTTGACCAAGGAGTGGCCAACTTGACCTCTGGCAAGACTGCACTGCTCTGTTTCATTGGTCTGTCCATTCATATACCATAGTACACTGTTGTTCATTATAGAGGCTTGATGATATGTTTTAATATCTGGTTGGGCTAGTCTCCCTCATTACTTTTTTTTTTCTTCAGGATTTTTCCTAGCTATAATTGCATATTTATTGTTTCATATGAACTTTAGAATCAACTTTATTAGCTATAAAGAAGAAGGTAGTATTTTTATTTGAGTCACATTAAATTTACTTATTAAGCCAAGCTGGTGTGGCTCAGTGGTTGGGTGTCAACCTATGAACCAGGAGGCCGTGGTTCAATTCCCAGTCAGGGTATATGCCAAGTTGCAGGCTCCATCTCCTGTGTGGATCATGCAAGAGGCAGTCGATCAATGATTCTCTCTCATCATTGATATTTCTATCTTTCTCTCCCTCTCCCTTCCTTTCTGAAAAAAAATAAATTACCTATACATACATATATATATACATGAATACACATTTTTATGGGTGTATTTCCATTTATTTAGGACTGTTTTTGTATCTTTCATAGTGTTGTAAAAGTTTTATTCATAAAGGTTTTATATAGTTTCTTATTAGTTGATTCCTAAAATTATACCTTTTGTGTTGCTATTATAAATTAAGTTTTCGCATTTGATTTTAATATGTTGATTTTATATTTTGATATCTTACTTCAAACAACGAATTACTTCATTGTTGGATTTAGTTGTATTGTTGATGCTCTTGGATTTTGCAAGTACACTTTCATATCATGTGAAAATGTAGTTTTACCTCTTTTTCAATTTTTTAAAATATATTTTTATTGATTTCAGAAAGGTAGGGAGAGGGAAAGAGAAATAGAAACATCAGTGATAAGAGAGAAGCATTGATCAGCTGTCCCTCTCGTGCCTCACAATGGGGATCAAGCTCACAGCCTTCTGGTTCATAGGTCAACACAACCTCTGAGCATACTAGTCGAGCTCTTTTTTAATTTTTATGCCAACAATTTTCTCTTACCTAATATCTTCAATAGTGGGGAGAGTGCCTGTTTTACAAAAGAGATCACCTGTAGGAACGTAGAGAAATCTATTAGCTTAAGAGCACACACTAGTAAGTGGCAAAGCCATGATTGAAATTTTTTAAAAAAATATATTTTATTGATTTTGTACAGAGAGGAAGGGAGAGAGAGAGAGAGTTAGAAACATGGATGAGAGAGAGTCATCGATCAGCTGCCTCTTGCACACCCCCTACTGGGGATATGCCCGCAACCAAGGTACATGCCCTTGACTGGAATCGAACCTGGGTCCCGTCAGTCCCCAAGCTGACGCTCTATCCATTGAGCCAAACCGGTTTCGGCGATTTTTTTTTTTTTTTTTTTTTTTTTACTCCAAAACTATTCTTTTCATTCTGTTATACTGCCTAGGTATCGTTCATTTCTTAGTGTGTATTTATTTATAAGGATCGGAGGACTTAATACATTTCCTTTTTCTTGACAGGAGCTCAATTCAGAAATGGAAGACCAACAAGATAACCTTGCTACTCTTGAGCATCTGGTCACTGAACTGAGCTCCTGTGGCTTTGCACTAGACCTGTCTCAACACCAGGACAGGATACGGAACCTCAAAAAGGACTTCACAGAGCTACAGAAGATAGTTAAAGAAAGGTGAGTTCCCATATGTGTTGGTCAGTGTGGGGAGCTAGTTTTTTCTTGCTGTTGAGTGAAATTATTACCTCTCCATTCCTTACCAGAAAAGAACTCTACTATGGTCCAGCCGGTGTGGCCTAGTGGTTGAGTATGAATCAGGAGGTTACAGTTCGATTCCTGGTCAGGGCACATGCCTGGGTTGCAGGCTTGAGCCCCAGTAGGGAGTGTGTAGGAGGCAGCCAATCGATGATTCTCTCTCATCAATGTTTCAGTCTTTCCCTTCCTCTCTCTGAAAATCAATAAAACGTATTTTTTTAAAAGGGGAAGAGAAAAAAATCTGTGCTATAGAGGAATAAATGATTTAGAAAGTGTCTCTTTCAACCAGAGCTACCCAATCTACTTGATGCTTAGTGGGGTTTTTTTTTTAATTATTAAATGATGAATTCCTTCTAAAAAATGGGGCTCAGTTCCCTCCCTGTACCATCAAAAGCCCAGGTCACTTGGACCAAACAGAACAAATTTGTGGCAGCAAGTAGGATTGTGGCAGGATTTGAAATAAAGAGAAAAATTGGAGACTTCTCAGACATAATTAAGGGTTGGTTATATTGGCACTCACCCTGCTTGTTTTGACAAGTTATTTTTTATTATTAATCCTCACCAGAGGATATGTTTATTGATTTTATAGAGAGAAAGTGCTACAAAATTTACTAGGGAGCAAAAAATATGCAGGAGTACCGGAGATACAGGAAAAAAAAACATTTATTTTCACATGTTTCACATGTACCGGTACAATGAAACGGTTTCTCTCCAAGCCCTGAGCAAGCCAATATGGAGGGAGCTCTCCCTTTATACCTTTTTGGTTTCTTTGTCCCCCAAATATGGATGGACTTACAGACCTTTCGCAGGCTTTGCAAAAAGCCCCGGGTGTTGGTGTGGGGGCTGTGAGACCACACCTAAAGGCCTGGCCTGGTGCCAGCACTGATAACCCCCTCGGGGGTTTGTATATTGTTCATGGTTTATGGCCTCTGTAAAATGGGAGTACTTAGGTAAACAGGTCTTGTAAGAACAGATAATTAAGGAAGGGGTAGTGACTAGACTATAAGTTAACAGCAATGTGCATTAGGTTCTGGCACAGATTCAGATTGCTAGCCTCCAAAAATGTCTCATTTTCCCCATCAGAAGGGGGAGAGAGAACATGAATCCATTGTCTCCCATATGCACCCCTGGCTGGGATTGAGTCCACAACCTAGATATGTGCCTCAGATTTGGAATCAAACCCTCAACCTTCTGGTGTACAGGACCAACTGAGCCACCGGCCAAGGCTTGACAACATCTAAGTTGCTGTTTTTGAAGAGTGTCTGGGTTCTTTTTTCTTTTAAGACAAACATGGGGATATATGACAAAGGTAGCTGATTTCAGGTAATCAGCTCACTGTTGAAAAGCCATGATTCCTCCACTAGAACACTTCACATGGATTTAAGAGCTGGTTAAGATTTTTCTCTTGGTTTAGCCATAAATATAATCTCCATTTAGCAGATGATGGCCTTAGTGACTAGAGGAAAGTAGTTGCTCAAATTAATGCAGGTAATTTAGGGAAGGAGAAGGGGATGAAGGCCAGGCAAGCTTTGTTTTTCTTCCCCTGTGCTGAGGCCATTTCCAAACTGAATTTCAAATTGATTTCTCCTTTCTCCTGGATTTATTTTATTTTGGTCCCTAGTGTACTTACCCTAAGTACTCAGCGCCTCTTGTTTTAGCTTTTTGCTTGTTAAAGGAATTAGCATTTGAATTAGGCCTGGAAAGAGTCAAATACCTAAAGAGTATCAGAGCTGGACTTAAGATCCAAAGCCTACATTCCTTCCATTGTATCATAGAACCTAAATAGCAAGCTCCCTGTAGTTTTTCTCCCTTTCACTTTAGCTTAGAGTAAGATTGAAGACTCCTTTCCCCAGAATGTCCAAACAAGGGCAACAGATTCTTTAGTTTGATGCTCTCTTACATTATATTGTTTTGCCAAAGCTGCTGTGGAAAAGATGATGGGAAGAAAAGGGCTATTAGGAAATGATTCCTGGAGTCCCAGAATGAACTTAGTTTTAGTTCAAGTAAACTTCACACAGTTTAGTATGGCAAGTAACCAAACCTCTCCGTTGATAGAGAGGAAGATGCATCAACTTGCCAGGAACAATTGGATGAATTCCGGAAGCTAGTTGGGACCTTCCAGAAATGGTTAAAGGAAACTGAAGGAAATATACCACCTGCAGAGACTTTCATGAGTACTAAAGAGCTGGAAAAGCAGATTGAACACCTGAAGGTAGGTGAACAAAAATATCTCCAGGAATTGGGCTAGCCGGTAGACAGTAGTTTAGAGGCATGTATGGACTCATTCCAATTGTGGTGGGAAAGTGTGTGAGAAATCCAAATAATCCATCTACATTAGAACTGAATGTCCTACCTACACCTACCCCTACCCAAGCACTGAGCACCAAAAATCTATTTAAAAACCAAAACCAAAAATAAAATTTTGGAATAATACCTCCGAAGTTTCAGCTGTTTCTTGGATGCATCTCATGCTATGGTAGGCCATAAAAATTTTTTTTGTAAAAATCCAGTTTTTAAGTAGCTTAAATTCTCATTGTATGTTTGAGAATTAGACAATTATATGTGAGCAAGTAACAAAATATATGATCAGGAAATCAACATAATTAGTCCTATAACTAATAAAAGAGATGATATAATGAGGTGGTTGGGAGATAGCTTCAAGACAAGGACCCCTTTTTCCCCATCCCCTGCAGAATCCCTCTGTACCATTTTTTATTTGTAGTCATGGGGCTCTGCTTATACCTCTTACACATTCTTCTTTTAATTAAAACCAGCCTCCAACTAACTCTTATACATTTGTCCCCATTGTCTTAGGAAAGCAGGATTTATCTTGAACAGATAAGAGTTTTTTTGCTTTCACAGAGTCTGTTCCAGGAGCATTTGCTGTAGGGCAATTCCCTAGAGCAGAGGTTCCCAGTTTCTTGGTTTTAATACCCTTAGTGTTTCAAGGAATTTTTCATGGCAACACAGGCCAAAAATAAAAATAAAAAAACCTCACTTGCTTAGTGGTCAGGTCCAGACCACTTACTAGTAGTTGTTCACATGGTGTCCAACAGATGTCACTGTATTTCCCTCAAAATTTTAAAATATCCTATGTCAATACATAGGTTAGTAACTGTAATCCTTTGGAATCAAGCCCGAGTAATAAAGAATTGACAATCTGAGATTTGATAAGGTTCAGTCTAGGAAGCATGAGCTTGCTAGATGTTAATGGCTCTGGATCTTTCTCTGCTGCTGCTCTGGATCTTTCTCTGCTGCTGCTCTGCAGCTTCAAATCAAAAGCAGCTTCAAATCAAAAGGAAGATTTCAGGGAACTTTAGGAAGGGATTTCAGGCTAGGACGATGTCCCAGCTTTGCAAGGAGTAAAATCTTACTTCTGTGGCAGGCCATCCACATCTCAGAGACAATACAACCTGATACTTTTGACATAGAACAGATGCCATTGTTTCCTAATGGCATCCTATAGAAGTGAGAGCTTTGACTTCAAACCCAATATAACGTTCTCTTGAACATACAAAATGTAACCATGATACTGTGTAGTTCTCTATAGCTCAGTATCTAGCTCCTCATTTTACTCTCCAGTGACCATTTCTTTTTTATTCTTTATATGCATGCTTTTCCCTTTGTCCACCTGGCAAATTCTTACCTTAACTCAAAGCTTTCCTCCCTCTTGCCAAAGCTTGTGATATCAGGGTTGACTGACTGTCCATATTTCTGTAAAAGTATTTATCACATTATAATGCAATTGATAATCTGAGCTCTTGGTTCAGAACTGTGTCATTGTCTTACTGTGTATCCGCAGTGTTCAGCATGAGGCCTGGCCTATAGTAAATACTCAATAAACATTTGATGAATGAATGATGGCATGAATGTAAAGGTCCTGAATATTCCAGGATATCCTTCTTTCATACCTTGGCTATCTAAACCAAGATCTTGAAATGGTGAATATATAAGGATGGTCTCTTAATGCTTATAAAAACTTTAGGGAGTATATGTAAAACAGGTATCTCTCCTATAAGTTACCTTAGCTGTTTTGTTCTTTAAAACAGGGTCTCTTAGATGACTGGGAAAGTAAGGGAACTTTGGTAGAAGAAATCAATTGCAAAGGCACTTCTTTAGAAAATCTCATCATGGAGATCACAGCACCTGATTCCCAAACCAAAACAGGTGAGTTCAAGCTCTTAAAAATGTAGTGAATAAACCTCATTCTTTGCTTTGGCCCTTGTAATGATCTCTTTAATAAAAGTCAGAAACAAGGTTGGATATGAGAACAAATGTGTATTGGGGGAGGTGGGTGGCACAGGTCTGTGAAGTAGTCTTCCCCTTCAATCTGATCTATTTTCCATTTTCTATATAAGAGTACTCCATTTTGGAAAATTCCTTCCCATGATAGGAAAAAGAAACTTTGTTGGCCCACTTGTTGGCTCAGTTAAAATGGGATTGTCTAACTTGAACATTTTCTCTTTTATATGTGGGAACAGGATGACTATGCACATCTTTAAATTGGGGTCAGCCTTTAGATGGTATAAGCATGGTTTCTTGGGAAAGGCTAGATAATAAAAGCCTAGTGTGCTCAGTGTCTGATTGTCTGGTCATCCATTCAACCAATCAAAGCATAATGTGCTAATGATATGCTAAGGCCACTCAACTGCTCACTATGATGTGCACTGACCACCAGGGGGCAGATGCTCTGACTGGTAGGTTAGTTTGCTGGTAGGGTGTGGCCAATAAGGATGATTGGAACTGAGTGAGATGGGCCTGACATGCCCTGGAGCCCTCCCACAGTTCTTCTCTACCTGGCGGACCTCCTGCGTCCCTCCCTGGCCCCAATCCCCATGCCTGGCCTGTGCCCTCTCATAATCCGGGACCCCTCGGGGGATGTTAGAGAGCCAGTTTCAGCCCAATCCTGCAGGCCAGGCCAGGCCAAGGGACTCCACTGATGCACGAATTTGTGCACCAGGCCTCTAGTTTAGGAAATAATATCATATTCCAGGGACTGGAACATTTCTTGGAAGTGGACATAAAGATTGTGCCCAGATACATGAACAATCTCTGGTTGCAAATTCAATTTTAAATGAATCCACTATGAGCCCAGTGACTTAGTAGTTGCTAATTGGTATCTCATAAGTTTTATAACCAGACTATGTTAATGTACCCCTATAGTCGCTTAAATAGTATGGAAAAGATGACCTTTTTTTCCTCCTGAGAATAGCTACTTTTCTGTTGTATCCTAAAGTTTAAAGATCTCCTGTTACTAACTAGAAGTTAAAATTGAATTGAACTCAATATTGTATTATTTAAAATATTCACATTTCAGGAACTGATGGATTTTTAAAAAATATATATATTCTAACACATAAACCTCCAAATTTAGTGATTTGTTGGTATGTGACTATATCAGGAATTGGCAAAACTTTTTCTATAAAAAGCCAGATAGTATATATTTTATGCCTGTGGGCCATATGGTCTCTGTCATATCTACATGCCTCTGTCGTTATAGCACTAAAGCAAGCATAGATAATATATGTGTATGGGTGTGGCTTTGTTCCAATAAAGCTTTCTGTGCAGAAACAGGCAGAGGGTCAGATTTGGCTGGTAGGTTATAGTTTTCTAACTCCTGGACTAGATCACTGGTTTTTCAAACTTTTTAAAGCATTATAACCTTTTTTTAATTTATTTTTTAAAATATATTTTATTGATTTTTCTACAGAGAGGAAGGGAGAGAGATAGAGAGCTAGAAACGTCGATGAGAGAGAAACATCGACCAGCTGTCTCTTGCACACCCCTTGCCAGGGATGTGCCTGCAACCAAGGTACATGCCCCTGACCGGAATCGAACCTGGGACCTTTCAGTCCGCAGACCGATGCTCTACCACTGAGTCAAACCGGTTTCGGCTATAACCTTTTATTTTTAATTTAAATCTCACATATAACTCTACTACAGAAAACAAAAATGATATTTTGTTGGCATAAGTTTCCCTTATAAGTTATTTTGGTATTCATCTGTTATGAAATCCATTAATGGAGAATATTGAGACTATCATTGTGAATATAAAATTTTGAAAAAGGATTATTAAATGACAGCTTTATCATCTGATTTATTTCTAAATTTTGTTTGGTTACATTGTATCCAGAAACTATAGTTCACTTAGATAAGCAGTTGTAAATGATGACAAATGTTTTTAAAAGTTTATTTTGTAATTTTAGAGTACTCTCTGATTAAACTGAACTAGAAGCTTGAAAGTGATATAGTAAGACATTCTTTTTCAACGTTGAATCACCAAAAATATTCAGTGAGAGCTCTCATTTTTTCCTTAAATATAGAAAACACCTATAACTGGTGACGAGGACAAAAACAGTCTTTAACCTGACATAATCATGGCCTGAAGTGTTAAGAATTCTGTTATTACATAATTCTACCTAATGTGTGTTTACTCTTAGAAGATGTATCTCAACTTTTTTTTGACATTTTATTTAATGTAGTACGCATATCCTACACAAATAGATATTTTTCTTTGGACATGAATGGACATGTGTAGGTTTGAATATTGTAAAGTATTAGTGAAGAGCTACAACCTTCCAATCGATGACACTCAAAAAGAAGCTTTGATGTGTGCATAGAGGTGCAGGAGCTTCTCCCCCCCCCCCCCCCCAAAAAAAATAATACAATTGGCCCTTAATATTCACGGGTTCCTTATCTGTGATTGCACCAACTACAGATCAAAAATAATTTCAGCCCTAACTGGTTTGGCTCAGTGGATAGAGCATTGGCCTGTGGACTTAGAGTCCTAGGTTCAATTCTGGTCAAAGGCATGTACCTTGGTTGCAGGCACATCCCTATAGGGTGTGTGCAGGAGGCAGCTGATTGTTTCTCTCTCATCGATGTTTTTTTTTTTTTCTCATCAGTGTTTCCAACTCTCTATCCCTCTCCCTTCCTCTCTGTTAAAAAAAAAAATTTAATAAAATATATTTAAAAAATAAATATAGCCGAAACCAGTTTGGCTCAGTGGATAGAACATCGGCCTGCGGACTGAAAGGTCCCAGGTTCGATTCCGGTCAGGGGCATGTACATTGGTTGCGGGCACATCCCCGGCAGGGGGTGTGCAGGAGGCAGCTGGTCGATGTTTCTCAGTCATGGACGTTTCTAACTTTCTTTCCCTCTTCCTTCCTCTCTGTGGAAAATCAATAAAATATATTAAAAATAAATAAATAAAAATAAAAAATAAATATATACTTTTAAAAAGTATTATATTGCCCTAACCCAGTGGTCGGCAAACTTTGTCTTGCAAGCCACATGTGGCTCTTTGGCCCCTTGAGTTTTTAGCAAAGGCCAGCTTAGGAGTATCCTAATTAAGTTAATAACACTGTACCTACCTATATAGTTTAAGTTTTAAAAATTTGGCTCTCAAAAGAAATTTCAATTGTTGTACTGTTGATATTTGGCTCTGATGGCTAATGAGTTTGCTGACCAGTGCCCTAACCGGTTTGGCTGAGTGGAGAGAGCATCAGCCTGCAGACTGAAGGGTCCCAGGTTCAATTCAGGTCAAGGGCATGTTCCTTGGTTACAGGCACATCGTCCCAGTAGGATGTTTCTCTCTCACCGATGTTTCTGACTCTGTATTTCTCTCCCTTCCTCTCTGTAAAAAAAAAATTTTTAAAAATCAATGGAATATATTTTTTTAATAAAAAAAAAATAAAATAAAAAGTAGTATGTTGCCAAAGCCGGTTTGGCTCAGTGGTAGAGCGTCGGTCTGCGGACTGAAGGGTCTCAGGTTCGATTCCGGTCAAGGGCATGTACATTGGTTGCGGGCACATCCCCTGTGGGGGGTGTGCAGGAGGCAGCTGGTCGATGTTTCTCTCTCATCGACGTTTCTAACTCTCTATCCCTCTCTCCTCCTCTCTGTAAAAAAATCAATAAAATATATTTAAAAAAAAAAAAGTAGTATGTTGTTGCTGACATGTGCTGTGTGATTAGGGCAAAGATCATTGCTGTACTGAATATGTACAGAGGTGTTTTTTTTTTTTCTTGTAATTATTCCCTAAACAATACAATATAACAACTATTTACATAGCATCTACATTGTATTAGGTATTATATGTAATCTAGAGATTATTTAAAGTTTACAGGAGAATGTAGGTTATATGCAGAGACTCTGCCATTTGATATAAGGAACTTGAGCATCCTTTAGTTTTGGTGTCTGTGGAGGTCCTAGCACCGATCCCTTGTAGATACTGAGGGTTGTCTATAAATTTGTTGTATCTAGTGGGTTAAGGATATGGTTGAACATAATTAAACACTCATGGTTTATTGCTATTTCTAAATAGTTAGAAATATACTCTGAATATTACGGTGAAGCCGAACACTTACAGAGTAAGTGTAAAATCAATTTGAAATCACTAGCGTAAGTATTCTCAAAGTTCTCTTCCAACTCTGAAAAATCATGAATATTCTAGTTCCTTACATTTGCATAATTCTTTTTGTTTCATAAAGTGCGTTCACGTACATTACTTCACTATCTTTGTCCAGCAGCCCCGTGAGAGTTGACAGGATAAGTAGTATTATCTTCAGATCAGGAAGGAATCTGAAGTCTGTCCATAGATTAGAGCTCCCCATCCCGGCTTAGTGACAATCTCGGGTAGAAACTTCTCCTAATTACAAGTTCAGTTTCTTGGCCATCCCCACACTGTAATGGAAGATGATCTTTCTGTGTGGTTCCTTTTTCAATGAAAATACACTAATGTTAATGTTTCATAATGACTGTTTTTAATATAACTGCACATGACTTTTTCCACAGTGAAATCAGTGTACAGGAGAGTTTTGATCTAGTTTTTACTTAGGAAACTTCTCTGAAATACAGGAATAAACTTGGGGAGAATACAGGTGAAATTGTGGTAATTAGAAACAGAATCAAAGACCCATAGCAGGATTCATGGGAATGCTTATGGCACCTCAAATTTCTGTTTTCTGGTGGGCAGAGGGGAGCAGAAAGTCATGAAAGATAGGGAATCTTCCTTTTAAAAAAAATACATTTTTTTTTTTAATTGATTTCAGAAAGGAAGGGAGAGACAGAAACATCAATGATGAGAGTGAATCATTGGTTGGCTGCCTCCTACACCCCCCCCACTGAAGATCAAGCCTGCAACCCAGGCATGTGCCCTTGACTGGAATTGAACCTGGGACCCTTCAGTCTGCAGGCTGACACTCTATCTTCTGAGCCAAACCAGCCAGAGCAGGAACCTTCCATTTGAAACAATATAAGAAAGGCTCGTTTTAATATCTTTATTAAAAGAATGTTGCTTTTTATGTCCTTGACTGTATTACTTTTTATTTTTATTATGTTGAAAGACAGATATTAAAGTTGAACCTTTTGGGTGTTAATTATAAATCCTCATTAATTATAAATGTCAGGTCCCATTCTAAGGACTTAATCATTTTACCACTCCATGCTTCACAAAATTAGGGCAGGGCCCAAAGAATTTGGATTTCCTCTAGAAAGAATTGGGGATTATTTCTGCCAAAGAGCTGAAGCATCTCTAGTGACACTTTGTGGCCTGGCAGCTAAAATGATTTGTCTCTTCCCATGAGTATGTTGTCTTGTGCTGTGTTAACTGCCTGATAACCTGAGCTTAAAGTGAGTGCCAAAGAACAAATTCAGTGCTTCTATGTATTCCTAACACGTTTGTCTTGCCCTGTTTGTCTCTCTGTCCTTCTGCTCAGGTTCCATATTGCCCTCTGTAGGAAGCTCTGTAGGCAGTGTAAACGGATACCATACCTGCAAAGGTGAGAATGCCATTTCAACAGTGCCTCTATGTTGTGTGTTTTAGGACAGTGTTCATGTTTGCATCTGTGTATGTTTCCATATGTGTGGAAGAACTGCTGCCAGGATGGGTATAAGGTAAAAATCTAGGGAGGAGCATGTAATGCCTCTTTGTTTGCTAGTGACAGGCTAAAGACATTGGCAGCCAGTGAAATGAAGCTACTAATGATATAAACTGGGCCATTTGATAAGACCAATAAGGAGAGACCTTGAAGATAATATATGTGAATCTTTGAATTATAAAGAACCTATACAGGATAAGTAGTCTAGTGTAGTCTTCAACCTCCCAATTAAGGGACTTCTCTGTAGTTTAGAGAAAAGGGAGCAGAAGAATGCTCTAAATCCTTTGCTCTCATCTTGTTGTTCCATGTTTATTTAGCATTTTATTTATACATCTGAGTATACCAGTATAATGCCAAAGTCAGAAAGTAGATGAATGAGAACTCTCTTGCTCTGTGTGTGTAAATAGGAATTTTTATGTGATTTAACAGAAAGATGACTTCTCATTCTGTAGAAGGAGTAGAAGTGCTTAGTCCTGATAAGTAATTTAGTAGTCAGGAACCAATGGGGTTGCTCAGAGAGCTATTCCCAATCTGATTTCTGTTTCTATCATATTAGATCTGACTGAGATTCAATGTGACATGTCAGATGTAAACGTGAAATATGAGAAACTTGGGGGAGTACTTCGGGAACACCAGGAAAACCTTCAAGCTGTCCTCAGCAGAATGCAGGAAGTTCACAAAGAGGCAAGCTCAGCGCTGCAGTGGTTGGAATCAAAAGAGGAAGTCCTAAAAGCCATGGATGCCTCTTCATCTCCAACCAAGACAGAAACAGTGAGAGCCCAAGCTGAATCTAACAAGGTATGGTATTTCTATTAGCAGCATCCCAAACACTAAAAGGAAGGGACTATTATATCATTGTTCCTGCCTGAGCCCAGGGACCTGAGATGAGACATGGCCAACCTCCTCAGTCATGATGAGCAGCATGGTGGACTTTCAAATGTTTAATATACCTAAATTCTCCTAAAGAATCATCTTACCTATGAAATTAGAAATTGTTGTAAGTCAGATGTTCAGAAACCAAACCAGGTGTGCTTGCAAAGAGAATAGCCCTCCTCAGAAGCATGAGATCATTGAGAATGGATCTCATTTTCTGTATGATGCTGCAAACCACACAGCCTCAACTAGGCACCTTTCCAACTCTTGGAGGGCTCTAAATAGCAATTGCAGTATGTGCTTAAGATTGACATTTCGAACTAAGAAAAATATCAGTACAAAATCCTGTAAAAAAAATTTACCAACTTTTTTTGTATCCCAATTGAGCATAGCATGTGATCTCCAACTGCATAAACATCGTCATCGTCATTATGATTGGATCGTGACACTTTTAGATTATCGGGATTAAGAATTTCTCCTTATTGGGCTCTACTAATGTGTTGTACATAAAAGAAAATTGGTTCTACTATTTAGATTTTTATTTTAAAGTAAAAGTTGAAGTAGAAAGTTTAAGTATCTTAAAATCACTAAATAAGTTATAGTTAGAATCAGAAGTAGAGCCTATGATTGCCGCCCTATCTCCCAGTCGTTTTTTCCACACTCACATCTTTGTTTCCTATCCAGAAATCTCATGGCATGCATGATGTTCTTTCTCCTAGGCCTTCCTGGCTGAATTAGAACAGAATTCTCCAAAAATCCAAAAAGTAAAGGAAGCCCTGGCTGGATTGCTGTTAACATATCCCAACTCACAAGAAGCAGAGAACTGGAAAAAAATGCAGGAAGAGCTCAGTAAGTTACCACAGGGATGCTACAGATTCACCTGTCTAAATTGCTAAATTTCTTCAAAGCAAATTCAGAATTTCAGAAGATTGTGTAGAGCAGGAATTATTTTTAGTTAATTTTCATAAGCAAACAAGAAGTCCAAATCAGGTTAGAGAGTGAGCTTGATAGGGAAAAAGTTAGAGATTCCACTCAAAGTGGCAGAAGTTTGGCTTTCTTGGGCAAGTCAAAATGACAATCTGCTGTGATCAAGAACTAAAGAGAATATTGGTGATTAAAGGAAAAAATGGGAAATCTAAATAGTGAAAAGAGAGATAAATTATAATGTGTTCATCGTATTGAACTACAAATTATGTAGATAAATACTAGTATGGTAGGGTATGGAGATATGGGGGGGAGATAAGAGATCAACCAAAGAACTTGTATGCATGCATATAAGTATAACCAATGGACGAAAAACTGGGGAGGGAGGGCATGTATGGGGGTGGGAGGGTAATGGTAAGATATGTACACATATAATACCTTAATAAAAAGAAAAAAATACTAGTATGAAAAAGCATTGGTATCAACGATGTTTATAATATAGAAAGTTTTTTCAAAACAGGCTATAAAATAACATCTATATAGATATTTTATGTGTGTGTGTATGTACTTCAATTCTATCACATGTCTAGTTTCCTATAACCACCACCACAATCAAGAGACAAAACTGTTGTTTTAGTTAAAATTAAATATAAGTTATTTTTAACTTTGTAAATATTTAAATAATCCTCCAGGGGTCATTTCCTGTAGTTTATTTGGACATAATTTAGGGACTAGGACTGTGGCTGATGAGAGTAAAGGGATACATTTTCCCATTTCCTCTCCACAGATTCCCGGTGGGCCAGGGCCACAGAAGTGACAATGGCTCGGCAAAGGCAGCTAGAGGAATCTGCAAGTCATCTGGCCTGCTTCCAGGCCGCAGAAGCCCAGCTCCGGCCCTGGCTGATGGAGAAAGAACTGATGATGGGAGTGCTGGGGCCCTTGTCTATTGACCCCAACATGCTGAATGCACAAAAGCAGCAGGTCCAGGTGAGCACCATCACTGAGTGCTTTAGAGCAAAAAAGTGGGGTCATATAAACCAGGGTTTGAATGCAGCTTCAGTAAGTAGATTTCATATGACCCTGTTACGTCATTTACTCTCTCAGAATTTCATTTCCTCCGTTTAAGTGAGATATTTCTTTTTAAAATCCTCAGTCAAGGATATTTTTTCCACTGATTTCTTGACAGAGTGGAAGGGAGGAAGGAGGAACAGGGAGGCAGGGGAGGGAGGAAAGACACATCGATTGGTTGTTTCCGACTCGCACCTCAAGCGGGACTGGGTTGGGACCTATAACTGAGATGTGCCCTTGACCAGTAATTGAACCCGAGACCCTTCAGTCCGTGGGCCGATGCTCTACCCCTGAGCAACCGTCCAGCGCTAAAAGAGATATTTCTAACATCTTTCTCGCGGTGTTTGTCAAATAGTAAATAGTCAGTAACTGTATTAATATCATTAGCAGGCAGTAAGATCAATAGATGTGAAATTGAGAACTTCTAACTAAATTGTAGAATCATACTTTACTTATAATCTCCAGTGGTAATCAGTAGTCATCTGCATTACTTAATGCAATGTCTTATATCACCTAGTTCTACTTAAAGTTTTTCTGCTGATCAAACTAAAAAAAAATTGATTTAAGTGTCAAACATCACAGAACTTTAGGTGGGTCAAAGTAATGCATTTCCAATGAAATTCTGCCTCGAACCTTTCTTTGTTCCACATTCCACCCCAAACTTGTTTCATTTCTTCTCACCATCCACCATGCCCCTTAAATTGAGACCTAAGTGTAGTTTTTGAAGGAACCCTTTCTTTTAGCCCCTGCCTCCAATTCATTATCAAGTCTTATTTAATGCACTTGCAAGTATTTTTCTAAACTAATGGTTTTTTAACTTTTTAAGTCTTTTTTTCCCCAAAAAATATATTTTATTCATTTCAGAGAGGGAAAGAGATAGAAACACCAACGATGAGAGAGAATCGTTGATTGGCTTCCTCCTACATGCCCCAACTTGGGATCAAGCCCACAACCCAGGCATGTGCCCTAGACCAGAATTGAACCCAAGACCCTTCAGTCCACAGGCCAATGTTCTATCCACTGAGCCAAACCAGCTAGGGCCTTGGTCAGCAAACTGCAGCTCGCGAGCCACATGCGGCTCTTTGGTCCGTTGAGTGTGGCTCTTCCACAAATTACCATGGGCTGGGCAAGTCTGTTTTGAAGAAGTGGCGTTAGAAGAAGTTTAAGTTTAAAAAATTTGGCTCTCAGAAGAAATTTCAGTCGTTGATGTTTGGCTCTGTTGACTAATGAGTTTGCCAATCACTGAGCTAGGGCAAAATATATATATATTTTTTAAAGAGTAGCATTGCGCCGAAACCGGTTTGGCTTAGTGGTAGAGCGTCGGTCTGCAGACTGAAAGGTGCCAGGTTCGATTCCGGTCAGGGGCATGTACGTTGGTTGCTGGCACAACCCCGGTAGGGGGTGTGCAAGAGGCAGCTGGTCGATGTTTCTTTCTCACCGAAGTTTCTAGCTCTCTATCTCTCTCCCTTCCTCTCTGTAAAAATCAATAAAATATATTAAAAAAAAAAAGAGTAGCATTGCTTTATATCTTTGCAAATCTCTTTAATATCTGGCTTAATAGAATATTCTCAAAGATTTTCTTTTTTGCTTTAGCATTCAATTGTATTCTCAGATATCATGTAGCCTCTGGAAACTCCATTGAACATTTGTGAGAGAATAAGAATTTTAAAAAGCAAATAACATCTTAGTATTATTTTAAAAATAGTTTTGACTTCTTGGATCCCTGGTAGGACTCCCGGGGGCCCTTGGATCATAATTTGAGAACCACTGCTCTGATCCTTCTCTTCTCCATCCTGAATGCCTCAGATGGACTTAATTTCAGGCCTTTCTTATTGCAACAATCTATACAGAGCTTTTTTGTCTAGTCTCTGCTCTATACTTAAATAAGTAACTCTACGCAGTTAATAGATTATCTCCTTAAATCATATATCTGAATATATTAAAATATTTCACTGGCTCTTGGCTGCCTGTGGAACAAAGTCCAAACACCTGCTCAGTGTGGTATATAAGGTTTTTCACAGTATGGTCCCAGTTTTTCTTGCCAGCCTTGTTTTTAGCTCTCCCTATACACCCAAGTTTCTACCCATACAGATAATGTGTTCTTTCCCAAACATGCATGTTCATGTAGCCCTGTGCCTTTGGCATCCTTCTCTGCTCATTTGGGGAACTCCTACATATTCTATTTATTTATTTATTTTTTACAGAAAGGAAGAGAGGGGGTTAGAGGGTTAGAAACATCAATCAGCTGCCTCTTGCACACCCCCTACTGGGGATGTGCCCACAACCAAGGTACATGCCCTTGACCAGAATCAAACCTGGGACCTTTCAGTCTGCAGGCCAACGCTCTATCTACTAAGCCAAATTGGTTTCGGCTACATATTCTTTATTGTGTCATCTAGGAAGCCTTGCCTGATCTTCCTCTTCTACTTTTTTCATCCCCCACAGAATTGATCGCTCTTGCCCCTTGCTTTCACAATTGCATGTTCCCATCAGTGTTTTATCATTTTTATTTTTGTTATGTTCTATTATTTTTCCTTGTTTACACATCTGTTATTCCCTGAGGTCATGTCTTACTTGTATTTTTATACAGAGTAAGTGCTGAGTACTTTCCATAAATTTTCTTACTTAATCCGTGCAATAGTCAATTAAGTACTTCACTATCCCAGTTTACAGAGGAGGAAGCTGAAATTTGGAAAACTTTTGAAAAGTTGCCTAAGTTTATGCATCTACAATGATAGAGTCAGTTCTTGAACCCAGACAGTTGACTGCAGAACCTGTAATCCTAATTTTTTGATGAGTGAGGCAGAAGATAGAAAAGAATAAAAAGCGTGGTACTTGCTTTAAAGAAGCTCATTGTTTAATTGTCCTCTATTATAATGTACAGGTTATATGGGCTATAGGAATTAGGAGAAGAAACCAAGGAAAACTGAGGTATTGAGAGTTGAAATGACAACCAGCCAGTCATATAGCTGGCTCTCGGATACAGAGTTCCTAACTCAGAGGCCAGGGTTTTGCCTGGCAAAGCTAATGAATGCCAATCCAGAAAGCAAACTGATTTCTCAGCCAAGGCCAACCTTAGTAACTGATATTGAAACAGTAGGACAAAGAAGAGAAATAGACAATCAGTGATCCTCCTAAAACAAGTTTTTATTAAGCAGTTGTTATAAATGATACTCTGTTTTCCTAATAACCTGGTGCTTAAAGTTTTCTGGCTTGTTTTTCAAAAGTTGGCACTACGTTGTACAATCCAAAGTCAGTTTTTGTTTTGACACTGATTTGAGATCTGTTTTTCTCTCTAAACATTCTTGTATCTTTTCTATTACAGTTTATGCTAAAGGAATTTGAAACACGCAGGCAACAGCATGAGCAGCTGAACGAGGCAGCTCAGGGCATCCTGACAGGCCCTGGAGATGTCTCTCCATCCACCAGCCAAGTACAGAAGGAACTCCAGAACATCAATCAGAAGTGGATTGAACTGACTGACAAACTCAATTCCCGTTCCAACCAAATTGACCAAGCTATTGTCAAAAGCACCCAGTACCAGAAACTGCTCCAGGACTTATCAGAGAAGGTGAAGGCAGTCGGACAGCGACTGAGTAGCCAGCCAGCCATCAGCACTCAACCTGAGGCTGTGAAGCAGCAATTGGAGGAGACCAGTGAGATTCGGTCTGACCTGGAGCAATTAGACCACGAGATTAAGGAGGCACAGACACTCTGCAATGAACTCTCAGTGCTCATTGGTGAGCAGTACCTCAAGGATGAGCTGAAGAAGCGTTTGGAGACAGTTGCCCTGCCTCTCCAAGGTTTAGAAGACCTGGCAGGTGAGTTGGGTTGAGGAACACACTAATGCTGTTATTAGTGGCAAACCAAAAGAGGAGTGGGTTAGTGGTAGCCTTAAGAATGTAGGGCCAAAACCGCTTTGGCTCAGTGGATAGAGCATCAGCCTGCGGACTGAAAAGTCCCGGTTCGATCCCGGTCAAGGGCATGTACCTTGGTTGCGGGCACATTCCCGGTAGGGGGTGTGCAAGAGGCAGCTGATCGATGATTCTCTCTCATCGACGTTTCTAGCTATCTCTCTCCCTTCCTCTCTGTAAAAAATCAATAAAATATAATAAATAAATAAATAAATAAATAAATAAACAAACAAACCAAGCTTTCCTTTCACTTTAAAAAAAAAAAAAAAAAAAAGAATGTAGGAAGACTCTAGGTAGCTTTTGGACTCAGAATAGGGTTAACCTACCCCTTTGTCCAGCTACAGTGAGAACTATTATGGTCATTACACATTGATTGGACATTAGCAATATGTGAAGCGGTACATAATCTGGTCCTAGAGATTTGTGCTCATAGATGTGCTTATAGGTGGAGTTACACAGCTGCTTTCACTGGTGCTTACTTATTTTCTTTATATCGTTCACCTGTACACACACATATACAATATACAAAATTAGAACATGTTCTTGACTTCTTCATGGCCTTGTACAAGAAAAAGATTGTCATTAATTCATTGCCTCTTTTTCTGGAAACATTTATGGATTTTTACCAGCTTAGAAGTAAAAATTCACTCTTACTCAGATCTCCTTACACAAGCATGTCAAACTTGCGGCCGGCGGGGGCCCCATTAAAATAGTAAGTGGAGGAGCCTAGCTATGTGTCTCCTTTATGATAGGCCCTCAATTAACGTTCATTTTCTTCCCCTAAGATTAAAACACATACTCTCAGCAAACATTTTAAACGCCAGCTCATACTTGATTTAAATTTGATTTTCTCATTTCAGCTGATCGGATGAACAGGCTCCAGGCAGCTCTTGCCAGCACTCAGCAGTTCCAGCAAATGTTTGATGAGCTTAGAACCTGGTTGAATGACAAACAAAGCCAGCAAGCAAAAAACTGCCCAGTTTCTGCAAAATTGGAGCGACTCCAGTCTCAGCTACAGGAGAATGAAGAGTTTCAGAAGAGTCTTAACCAACACAGTGGTTCCTATGAGGTGATTGTGGCTGAAGGAGAATCTCTGCTTCTCTCTGTACCCCCTGGAGAAGAGAAAAAGACTTTACAGAACCAGCTGGTGGAGCTCAAAAGCCATTGGGAAGAGCTTAGTAAAAAAACTTCAGACAGACAGTCCAGGCTCAAGGACTGTATGCAGAAAGCTCAGAAATATCAGTGGCACGTGAAAGACCTCATGCCGTGGATAGAAGATTGTAAGGCCAAGATGTCTGATTTGCAGGTCACTCTGGATCCAGTGCAACTGGAGTCCAGTCTCCTGAGATCGAAGGCCATGCTGAGTGAGGTGGAAAAGCGCCGCTCCCTGCTGGAAATATTGAACAATGCCGCGGACATTCTGATCAATTCTTCAGAAACGGATGAGGATGAGATCCGGGATGAGAAGGCTGGGATCAACCAGAACGTGGATTCCCTAACAGAAGAGCTACAGGCCAAAACAGGGTCACTTGAAGAAATGACTCAGAGACTCAAGGAGTTCCAGGAAAGCTTTAAGAATATTGAAAAGAAGGTTGAAGGGGCCAAACACCAACTTGAGATCTTTGATGCTTTAGGTTCTCAAGCCTGTAGCAACAAGAACCTGGAGAAGCTCAGAGCCCAGCAGGAAGTGCTGCAGGCCTTGGAGCCTCAGGTGGACTATCTGAGGAACTTCACGCGGGGCCTGGTGGAAGATGCCCCGGATGGATCTGATGCTTCCCAACTTCTACTTCAAGCCGAGGCCACCCAGCAAGGGTTCCTAGAGGTGAAGCAAAGAGTGAACAGTAGTTGCATGGCAATGGAAAACAAGCTGGAAGGGATCGGCCAGTTTCACTGCCGAGTCCGAGAGATGTTTTCTCAATTGGCAGACCTGGACGATGAGCTGGATGGCATGGGTGCTATCGGCAGAGACACTGACAGCCTCCAGTCTCAAATTGAGGATGTACGACTGTTTATTAACAAGATCCAAGCTCTCAAGTTAGACATAGAGGCTTCTGAAGCAGAGTGCCGACAAATGCTGGAGGAAGAGGGGACACTGGACTTGTTAGGTCTTAAGAGGGAGCTTGAAGCCCTGAACAAACAGTGTGGCAAACTGACAGAGAGGAGCAAAGCGCGTCAGGAGCAGCTGGAGCTGACGCTGGGCCGCGTGGAGGACTTCTACAGGACGCTGAAGGTGCTCAACGACATGACCACCGCGGCAGAGGAGGGGGAGGCCCTCCAGTGGATCGTGGGGACCGAAGTGGACATCATCAACCAACAGCTAGCAGCCTTTAAAGTAAGTCTTGCCTTTGTTTTTGTTTTTTTGTTTTTTTCTGTCTAATATGAGTATTTCTTTTCTTGTAACTTGGAAACTAGTTGAGTGTATATTTTCACTTCTGTCCCAGTTTCATTATTCCCATTAACATCACCATCAAAGTGTACTTTTTTGGAGACTAAACAGTCTCTTGGACTTCTAAGCAAAGGCTTGAACATATTTCGACTGTAATGTATTTCAGTGTTTATAACCAATTAAGGGTATATAAAGAAATGTCCAAATCTCATCTCTTACTCTAAGAATCTCCTCTTGTGAAATTCTGGAGATTTCAAATTAACCAATTATAGCAGTGAATGTCTCCTCAGGTTCCTAGTCTTCAAACTGAGGTGTGAGAAGCCATAAGATAAACATGGGCTCATCTTCCTAAAGTGTCGGGGGCAAGGGGGGGTTTGGTTTGGTTTTGTTTTTCACAGATTTCAAAGGAAGATTATTGGTGTGTTGTATTTAGAATAAAATGTAAAATTCTCATGAATTATTAAGATAAAACATGACACTTCAAAGAAAATTTCCAATTATAGCAAGTATCTTAAGACTTTACCTTAGGTTCCTCAAGAGTGCAAGTCCTCTGCCTATAGTGAAGTGTGAGACTGCCTTAAATTGCAAAAATGTTTTCATTCTTTTCCTGAGTCAGAATTACTAAACCTGAGGTTTTGCGAGTCTGGTTAAAACAACAGAGGAAGATGAAAGGAGTTGACTCAGAGTGCAAATTGGCTGAGTCTGAGTCTTAGCTCTCATTGCGTGAGCCTTTCACCCTGAGTTGGCTTTGTTGTAAATACCTAAAAGCGCCTCACTCAGCTGCGGGAGGCCTCTCTGCTGCTCTTTCCTTCCTCGTGTACGGAGTAGATTTGGAAAGGATACTTCTAGAACTTTATTTCCATCACTAGTGTTAATTATTTCCACTTCAATAGTGAGCACTCCTGCCTCCAGAGTTAAGGTGTTCTCTCAGCCCCTTCCTGTAAGAATTCTTCCTGTTAAAAACATGGGTGGAGAGGTGGTGGTGTCACCAGGTCAGAGCCACGTGGTCCTGAGAAAGATCACAGATTTGTAGAAAGAGCCAAGGTCAGGAAGGTGGCTGTTTCAGAAGGGCCCCTCCAGGAGTTTATGGTATGTTCAGCATTAAAATGAGACATGGGCTGAAGGCCCCTTACTGTGTGTGTAAATGCTGCAGTTTGGAGTAACACAAGTAAGTCATCATATTTGGGTTTCTTTAAGCACTTAAGAAAGGGAAGGGTAGGTAGAGAAAATTCAAACCCATGAGCCCACTTATTTTCCTCTTAGAAACTCCCACTCCTCTGTTCCAGTGGCAAGGAGGCATTCCCTGCTTCACCATGTGCGATTGATTTCCTCTCTTCCACTGCAGGCTCTGAAAGCAGAGATTCTTCTACAGACATGCTTCATTGATCCAATTTACTTGGCTTTGGATTGCTTAGAACTCCAACCAATTAAATGGGTTTCTTAGAAAACTAAAGCTAATTCCTTTAGGTTCCAAAATAGTTTACCAGCTATGTTCTGGTTTATATGAGAATTTTTATTAGCCTAATTTTCTAAACACTATATTGTACATACGTTTTTCTTTATGAGTGCAGGTTAACATAACTAAAGAGATGATACTGTTCTCTACAGTGTTGATATCCTCAAAAATACTAGAGACATTTGGCCCGCTTTATGTTAAATATTCCTAAATTACTATGCAGTTTGAGTTCTGTATTGTAAATTTTTGTTTCAGGCCTCTACATTGTTGTACTGGTTGGGTTGGCAGTGTGTATATATGTGTAGTTTTTTGTTTTTCCTATTACCATGATATCAGGTATTAATTCTTACTGCTATTACTTCTCACTACTGGCACTGGTCCTGCCTTCAGCAATCTACCCCTTCCTTATCTCCATTGAGCCAGAAAATGAAGTAAACAAGCCTGTTAAAATTGTGTTAAATATGAGCTGTAGCAGTCTCGTTTCACTGACTTCTGAAAATAACCCTCCCATCACCAATTCTGTGGATGTGAAGGCTGGGACCAGAGAGGGTTTATCTGCAAGGGACTGATGTTGACAGAACAAGTCTGGACGAAGAGGGAGAGAAAGAGAGTGAAGTTCTGTGCCCTGTGTCTATCCTCCGCATGTCGGGAATGGAAATCAGAAACGGAGTTCTACCTTATAAAGCTCCACCTTATGGAGTCAGAGGCTTGGGGACAGTTTTTGTCTCCTCCCAGCAACGGTCTTTGGTCCTGAGGGGAGGAGCACACTCCTGGCTCAGTTCATGGTGAGTGAGCTCATGGGAAGTAAACACAATGAGAGGGAGGAAGCTCTGGGTCAGTTCCCTAGAGGCTGGTCTTCTCAGACCCTTCTAAGGACTGAGTCATTTTCATGATTCGAGTGTTGAGTTCCTGGGTTAAGGTTCAGCCATAGATAAACTCCCTCCAGATACACACCAGCCACACGCCATGTTCATAAACTGTGACTGCTTCCAGATTTAAATTGTTTTCAATACGGGAAAACCAGAGATGAGGAGTATTTTACACAAAGCATTACCTTTAAGTTTTTAGCTTTTTCTTTATAATGGGATCCTCCTCTGCTGAAGAGAAGAGGATATACATCTAGCTGACTCCACTGGGGTTGGGTGGACTAGACACGAATGAAGTCTGTGGAGAACCTCAGGCTTACTTGGAACTGCAATAGTGCTGATAAATACATGGAGAGGCAGTTAGAAAATTTGTTTTCTTAAATGAACATGAAAACTGTAAGTCATTATCCCTAGAAAAGGCTTTCCCTCAATTGCTTCTAAATAACTGATAGAATCTGCCAGCTAGTGTGGATCTAGCAGATAAGCATGGAAGACAGCCCTTTTCCAGTCTAAACAGGCAAAGACCTCATGGCACTTTGCTGGATTCAGCTCTTTATTGGAAGTAGGAAGGAAGAAGCCATTCCAGAGCTCACAGATGAGGATACTGAGCATGCTTTCAGAAAACTGGAAGGAAAATACTTTGGCTACTAGTAATCTCTTCAGGAAATTCTGTTTTCCTGAACAGGAGAGTCTCTTATTATTGAGGAACAGGAATTGTATGTACATAATGGGACACTAACAAGAAGAAGGGAACTTTATTTCACTAAAATTTAAGCCAAAGAATTCTCCCAAGGTGAACTTTCTTGGAAGGGTAGAAAAAGACTTAAAATTTGGAAAAGAAATGTATTAAGTCTGAAAATGACAAGAAGCTTTCTCATTTTGAAATTCTCCCTATGTATCTTTTGTAGTCAAGAATTGAGATGATTCTGATTCTTAACTCCTCCCCTGGTCCCTACCCCCACCCTGAACCGGCCTGGTCTTTCAGTCTGGAAACATGTGCTGATGTTGGCATCCTACTGGTGAGAAACCTGGGTGTGCCGTCATGTACTCTATATCTTGTATATATTTATATTTATTATGTATTCAGGCCAGGCTTCAGACTTGGAACTCTACCACTCAGCAACTAGAAAAACCAAGTGGGAAAAATTGAAACATTTTTAGGGTATGTAGATTTCTCAAAAGGTTCACTTCAACTGATGGGGCATTTGAAGCATCCAAGCCTGTTGGTTTTTTTCCTCCCATGTCTTTGAGGCTGGGCTGGCAGGATATAGGTGAGGCAGCAGGCTTCCCTAAGACTGTTCTCAGTCTTAATTCAGGTTGAGCCAAGCCCAAGGTCAGGGACTGCATACACTTGCAACTTCTGTCTGGAGACTCAGCATCCTACTCTGAAGCCAGACAAGAAAGCCTTGTAAACCTCTTCATTGGATTCCCAACCTTAGGCTTCCCTATGAGCATCTGTGAAAACTCTTGGAAGACATGTGTCTGACATGGAGTTGAAAGACTGCCAGTTTACAGAGATACTTATTCCTTCCTTTCAAATAATCACAAACACAGTATCAGCCCATCTGTGTTTTTGCCAGTTAGGTTCACTAGAGAATAAAGCAAATGAGGTCAGCACGGTGTACCTACCCTCGGAGGGAAAGGGAAGCACTCGTGGGCTGACCTGTCACCTGAAGGTTCAGGCATCTGCAGATTTACAGCAGCCAAGATAAGTTGACTAAGCACCCCCTACTCCCACCTTGTGCAGACCTTGGCTTGTCAGGGTGTTTTCCCCCTTCCTTAAGCTTGGCTACTTCAACAGTAACCACTAGGGTCCACAGAAGTAAAGAGAATGTTGCCCTAGAACAGGGTCTCTCAACCTCTGAACTCTTGACATTTTGGATTGGATCATTCTTTGTTGTGAGGGCTGTCCTGTGCATTGTAGGAAACTAGATGCCAGTAGATGCCAGTAGCTACCCTTCCCCAGGTTGACAACCAAAAATGTCAGCTAGTACACATTGCCAAATCTCTCTTAGCTGGCAAAATCTGCCTCAGTTGAAAACCACTGCTCTAGAAGAAAATTGCCATCTCTATGTGGGAAACAATAGTCAGATGGAAAAAAACACTTGTTGATTAAGTTAAATTTGGGAAGGAGGGGGTGGCTCCTGGTAATCTGATTATGACTGTGTAGTAGCAAAAAGTGCCTCTAAGTCTGCCTTTCTTAGGCCAGGCCCTGGCTGGATTCTTTTTTTTTTTTTTTTTTTTTTTTTTTGCTGGTACCAATCTGTGTGATTTAAAACCTCCCTGTCACTTTCTCTAACATCTACACTTTATTTTGCATAGAGTTGTTGATGCAGGTGTTGGTTGATGATGCATTTCTAAAGAGAAGAGGAATTTCCTTTGTGGAAGTACTTCAGGGAGTCTCCTTGTTCTGTGTCTTTAAGAGGAGACTACAGTTTGTCTGTTGTTCTCCTCAGCCCAGGAGCTCACAGTTTGGCTGCTGGTATTTATAACCCAATGTGACCAACCCCCTGACCCCTCCCCCAAGAATTCCAATGCTCTGTGATAATCCTCTCCACCCTCACCATAGGACCTGGGTGGGGAGACCGTAAAGGAACCTTTAAGGCCTTTAAGTTGCTTCATGG